AGATCGTCACCAATTCACTGCCCACGCATGCGTAGTGCACACCAAAAGCACGATGCGCACGCATGCACATTGCATGCCAAACACACACTTCGTGCAGAAAAAGAAGACTTTACTAGGTAAGTAGAACAATGAGGGGGGAACAGCTGTGCTGCGCAATTTAGCTTCGCAGAAAGCAGGATTTCCTTTCTAGTGAAGCTAAACCGCGCAGCACAGCTGATCGTCGGAAATACCAGTTTGGATGAACCGGTAGCTTTTTTAAACTACCGGTTCTCCCGAACTAGTAGTTTTTATCACTACCGGTTTACCCGAACCAAAGCGAACCAATCGCATTTCACCCCTGCTCTATACAAAAGTGCACTAAGGTGACCCAGTTTTGAGTTTTCTCCTCACCTTCTTCTGCCTTTCTGGGCTAAACTGGTGTTTTTGTAATAGTTGCTACATACCTTCTTCAAGACTATTGTTATAATCCTCTACCTCAGGAACAGATTTGATTTAGATTCATAAGATTATCCCTATTTGCTTATGAATCCATACCTGTTTTGAATTATTTTCTCATCACAATAATATCTTCAAGGACACTCGCTTGGAAGCTCCACAGAACTAGGATCCTCCTTTTGATCTTCTATATGGTGCAGTAACGGAGCTGCCCATCCAGACTGAGCTACACAGCCCTGTACAAGTTCCAGTCAGACCCTCTGGGGCAGAAGCAGCATTTGCGTCTGCTTCAGTGATCTTCAGCTGAGAGAGGAACTTAGCTGGAAACCTTCTGGAATCTGAACTTTGCCAAATCAGAATACTCTATCCTGCCTAGGAACATTTGCTTGATTTGGAAACTTTCATTGGAGCAGAAGGGTAAACTAGAACCCGGGCTTCCTCTTCTTCCATAGTGAACTTTCATTAGCATGGTGTTAATCAGAGGTGGGTTTCAGCAGGTTCTGACCAGTTCTGGAGAACCAATAGCAGAAATTTTGAGTAGTTTGGAGAAGCAGTAGTAAAAATTCTGACTGGCCCTGCCCCCATCTATTCTCTATCTCCCAAGTCCCAGGTGATCGGGAGGAAATGGGGATTTTGCAGTATCCTTCCCCTGGAGTGGGGAGAGAATGGAGATTTTACAGTATCCTTCCCCTGCCACGCCCACCAAGCCACACCCACCAAGCCATGCCATGCCCACCAAGCCACACCCACAGAACCGGTAGTAAAAAAAATTGAAACCCACCACTGGCATTAATGCTATCTTCTTGCTACCTGTGTAAATCCTGCCGATTTATTTGACCTGGCTGTGGTTATTACAAATGGTAATATTTTCCTGTGGCTGTCAGGGTCACTGGCTGCTTACCAAACAGTGTGACTGCAATCATCTGGAAGCCATGTGTGAGGTTCTCCCCGGTTGACTCTTTTAATTGATTGCCCACTCATGTAGGAATTGCAACTCGTTTTTAGGGATGGCCCTGGGAACAGGATCAGAATTCCTCATACTGAAAGTTGATCATGTTGGTCAGAATGTGTATCCTGGGTGGAAAGAGTCCACCCAACTGATACACAGATTGATAACAATCAACAGAGAAAAACTAAAAGAGGCACAACAGAAACCTTGAAGGTGTTTGTAATAAAAATCCATTCATTTAAAAAAAAAAGGGGAGGGGAATTACAAGATCAAAATACAGCGAAAGATTTAAAGCTGCAACCCTCCTATTTCACTATCAGATATATATTGATGGTCGTGCTCATTTGGCTCTATGAGGAAGTTATTTGGTCAATACAGCTTCAGGTTCAAAAGGTTGTTTTTATTATTTACAAATATATACATGCATACGATAATGAACAGGGTGTCCTGTTACATTTTTACCCTAACTGTATGACTCAGATGTTGAGAGGAGAGAGAAGTTCACGTGTTGTCTTGCTGTGAGATAGATGAGAGAGAGAGAGAAAGAAAAAAGGGAAGATATCCAAGTGGTTTCTAGGTAAGAGTTCAATAAAAGAGTTCATTGGCTGATATAGTCACATGTGATGTCTGTAAAGACTTATCCCTTCTAGTCTCTGGTGCATCATATGCAGGCAATATCTGACATTCACCTCTCATATCAGGCAATTGGGGGTTCAAGCAATTAGAATGTAGTCTTTCCCCATTCTTTGTCAGCTAGATTCAATTTTGCTATGCTTCACATGCCAGCTAAATATATAAAGGATTTTGGACGAGTAGTGTCTCAGGGCTGGCTGAAGAGCAGGGTAAAATGAATTTTAGCTTGTGGTAGGCATGGAAATCATCTGGATCAGTGGTGGGTTCCAAATTTTTTTACTACTGGTTCTGAGAGCGTGGCTTGGTGGGCATGGCATGGTTTGGTGGGTGTGACTTGGTGGGCATGGCAAGGGACGGATACTGTAAAATCTCCATTCCCACCCCACTCCAGGGGAAGGATACTGCAAAATCCCCATTTCCTCCCGATCAGCTGGAACTTGGGAGGCAGAGAATAGATGGGGGCGGGGCCAGCCAGAATTTTTACTATCAGTTCTCCAAACTACTCAAAATTTCCGCTACTGGTTCTCCAGAACTGTTCAGAACCTGCTGAAACCCACCTCTGATCTGGATGATTATATATTCTCTCAGCCTTTGGAAGAAGAGGAAAGCAACCCTCTTTTGAGAATGGTGCCTAACACTGCTCCGGAGGAGTTTGGTAGTATCTTTTCAGATAATGAACTTTATTACAAGGAATGTGCTTTTGTTAACAGTAGCTCATTTCATCAGCTCTGATCCAGTTGGAAAAGATCTTTCGGATGTTGAGCTACAGTACATCTTTCCTCTTATCGTGAAAAGCCCCCTAACAGGGGCTGGGCCAAAAGGATGCCAAGTTATGCTGCCTTTCTATAACTTCTCTTCCCTTTTTTAAAGGCAGATTCAAGGACTCAAGGTAGAACCATCAACTACTAAATGATCAGCTAAAGAGCCAAGGTGGCGCAGTGGTTAGAGTGCAGTACTGCAGGCTACTTCAGCTAACTGCAGTTCAAATCTCACTGGCTCCATGTTGACTCAGCCTTCCATCCTTCAGAGGTCAGTAAAATAAGGACCCAGATTGTTGGGGGCAATATGCTGACTGTGTAAACCACTTAGAAAGGGCTGTAAAAGCACTATGAAGCGGTATATAAGTCTAAGTGCTATTGCTATTGCTATATGAGACAATGAGGACTTTTTATAGTGGGACATCCTAAAGACCATCAGATCCCAATTTCTCTTGGTCTTTTCTTTGCAGTGACAACTTCTCTTAGTAGCATTTGTCATGCCCCAAGAGCCGGTATAGAACTGAGCAAGTTTCTAGCCCTCAAGCAGACTTCGCTATGAAAAATCCCCCAAGGAGGGATGGAGCAAGGTTTCCAAAGATCAAGAGGTAGCTGTTGATTTTTCCACTGACCTTGGACATTCCTGTGCCAAAGTAAGTAAGGGGGGGGAGGAATGCAGGATGGTGAAACAGGGGGATGGTGTAAGAACTGAGATATGTACCAGGAAGTGCCTCTTTAAATATCATCTCTTTTGCAAATTCACTGACTGAACTAGCGTTCAGGTGAGTTGCCTTCTTTCGGGCTCTTGGGAAGATTGGAGCAGAGGGAGAATGTTTTGTTCTTCTATTCCAGACCTGCCAACTAGTCCATCAGTGGGACTTTGGGAGCTCAAGTACAAAAAGGCCTTCTACTCCTTACCTTGTTTGGAAATGACAGAGTTTGAACCTGGGTTTGAACCACATGCCAAAAGAACAAAGAAAAAAATTCTGCCACAATCTAATTCCTACATTGCCTATAATTGTAATCCCCAAACAAACGATATTCTTCTTCTTTTAGTCCTGGCATGAAAAATGGCCAAGATAATGTATGTGAAACATTTACAGTGTTTCGGGAACAATATAAAAATTATAGAATTATAGAATTGTGAAGGAACCATAAGGATCATTGACATTCAGGAAAATCTAGCCTCTATCTCCTAACTTCTTCTTTGAAATCAGCAACCACAATATATGGACTGTTTCAGTGTTACGATGATCAGGAAAAATGATCAGGTCCTGATATTTAAGTGAAATCAAGATAGCTGCAACTTCTACCTGTTATTCTTGGTTCTAGTTTCCTTTAGAGAGACATATGCATCTATTGCATATATATTTAGCTTTGCAGTACTCATACCTGGGGTGGGTTCTAAAATTTTTTACTACTGATTCTGTGGGCGTGACTTATTTTGTGGGCGTGGCTTGATGGTCATGTGACAATTATTTAGGATTTAGCAGAGGTATTGGTCTACCAGGTTTTTAACTGCTTGCAGAGCTATATCGATCTACCCATTTATTTTTGCAGGCACTGATCTACTCATGTATTTTTGCAGGCATTTATTTTTGCAGGCACCGGTCTACTCATTTGTTTTCTTTTAACACTGATCAGTTGCAGGGTGGCCCTTTGAAGCCCTGTGGCAAGAGTTTAAACAGTTTTTTTTCCCTCTAGCCATCAGCTGGGACTCGGGAGGCAGCAATAGATTGGGGGTGGGGCCAAATAAAAGATAAGAATAATGCAGGGGGTGGGGGGGCGCGGGGTTTTTTTCTCATTTTGCCATAATTGCAAGTAGTGCAGACATCCATGGCTACAGCTTCTGTGGAACATTTGGAGAGTCACAAATTCCCTGTTCCTGAGATCAAAGCCATTAACAAACCTGGGCGGGTAGGTTTGCCACTAAATAAAGTCAGGACATTAAAGTCAGGAGTGAAAATGCGGAATGTATATTAAGGGTGTGTTAGTCCCTGACCATGTTGCCCTGCTTTCAAAATCCTTTGAGGTAGGAAGAAGGTTATTTTGTATTCTGTTTTGTGCCCAGGACATTTTAATCCATGATTGGTTGCTTTAATGTAGAAGGAGAAAAAAAATTGAGATAAAAATGTGGCAACCCAATATCTTCGCTATCAAAAGCCAGGTAACCTCTTGATTTCCAAGCTCCTCCCTAGTTCTCCTCAGCTGCCTGCCTTCACATTACCACTCCCAGGTCATCGAGCAGCATTTGGGCAGAGCCAGAGCGCCCTTTATCCTTTCCTGGTGTCAGACAGACAGACTGACAGCCAAGCCTTCAAGCCCTGGAAGCAAGAACTTCTGCCATTCGTGGAAGGCTGAGACTTCTAAGGTAACTCTCATGGATATGTCTGCCAACTGTAGGCAGTGTTCTTTCTCTGGGACCCGTTGATGTGGGTTCACCCCCTAAGAATCTAGTCAAGGGCCCTGGGTTTTCTACTCCATGTACAAGATGTTCTACATTGGATAGAATGTCTAGACAGGTTTGTTCTACCCTGAACATATCTGGATTGACAACTCCTAAGGATCTCATGGAAGACCCACGTTCTTTGCTTCCATTAAGCTTTTATCAGAAGACTTGGCCCTGAAGACACTTCTGTTCCCACCAACCCTCATTTTTTCATTCTTTCTTGCAGCACCCCTTACCTCTTACCCTCTTATTGGCATCATTCACTTCCTTATTATCGTAACACTGCCAAAAGGTTTCATTTGCGAAAGAGAAGCCACTGTCTTGTTAAAGGGACTGAAGGCTAACACAAGTGAAGAACTGTTGCAGAAATTGGGTATATGTCTAGTGTATTGAAAAGAAAGGCTAGGGGTGATGTGATAGCAGTGTTCCAATAGCTAAAGGGCTGCATCAAGGAAGAGGGGGGGGGTTGTCAATCTATTCTCCAAAGCACCTGAAGAAAAGGACAAGAAGCAGTGGATGGAAACTAATCTAGGAGATAAGTAACCTAGAACTAAGGAGAAATTTCCTGACAGAACAATTAATCATTAGAATGACTTGCCTCCAGAACCTCCAACACTGGAGGTTTTTAAGAAGAGATTGGACAGTCATTTGTCTGAATGACAAATTCAGATCCTGCTTGAGCAAGATCCCTTCTACTTCTGTTATTCTTCCATTGCTGATCTGCTCTTACCATTAGGAAATTGAAGGAACTATATGATTAATTGAAGTCCGCCCTTGGGGGAATTGAACATTGTTGCTTGGCAGCTGAAAATGGGAGCCAACTTTGTGAGATGCTTTAAAAAAAGGAGTTATTCGTTATTGGCCCCTTAAACTATCGCTTTATTTTTGAAGTCACCAAGTTAACATGTGATCCTGCATATCTGATCAGTTGACCTGCTGATAGGATGGATTTCTCTCATATGAGGTGGGGAGGAAAGCGGAGAAAGAAAAGGTTGAATGGGAACTCTGAACTATTTTGCCCTTTGCTCTTTCACATTTACTGTTGCTTCTCCTAGTGGTATTTCTTCTCTGGTCTTAAATCATATTGCAAAGATAATCCTACTTGGGGGTGGGGGACAGGAACGACAAAGCAGACTTGCAGACAAAATGGGGTAAGCAGCCAGAGAGTTGTCTACCTCCTCCCCAACTAATTCAAACACATTGCAGTCACAAACAATTCCCCTATATCAGGGCCAGCATGGCTGGCTGAGGAATTCTGGGAGTCAAAGTCCACAACTCTTAAAGTTGTCAAGTTTGGAGAGCCCTGCAATATCATTGGTGTCCCAGACATAATGCAAGACAACATACAACCAATATGAAGCGTGGGCTTCTTTAACATACTACAGTTGATGATGATAAGGTCACAGCAGTGCAATACCTTTATTGCAAGTGAGGCTGTTCAACATATAGAATAGAAAAGAATGGAGTAGAGTAGAGTAGAGTAGAGTAGAGTAGAGTAGAGTAGAGTAGAACAGAACAGAACAGAACAGAACAGAACAGAACAGAATAGAATAGAATAGAATAGCTTTATTGGCCAAGTGTGATTGACACACAAGGAATTTGTCTCCGATGCATAAGCTCTCAGTGTACATAAGGAGAATAAAATACATTCATCAAGAATAAAAAAAATACAACACTTAGTGATAGTCACGGCTACTAATAAGCTATCAAATTGTACTAGGAAACAAGTAAAAACAATATAAATTGAAAGATACAAGCAACACGGTTATAGTAATAAGTGGAAAGAGATAGATACTAGTAAAGAAGAGAAGAATAATAGTAATACAGTCTTAGTAAATTATTTGACAGTGTTGTGGGAATTAGTTGTTAAGCAGAGTGAGGGCATTCGGGGAAAAACTGTTCTTGTGTCTAGTTGTTTTGGTGTGCAGCGCAATATAGTGTCGTTTTGAGGGTAGGAGTTGAAACAGTTTATGTCCAGGATGCAATATGTAGATATTTTCACAGCCCTCTTTTTGACTGTGCAATATACAGGTCCTCAATGGAAGGCAGGTTGGTAGCAATTGTGTTTTCTGCAGTTCTAATTATCCGTTGAAGTCTGTGTTTGTCTTGTTTGGTTGCAGAGCCAAACCAGAGAGTTATGGAGGTGCAGATGACAGACTCAATCATTCCTCTGTAGAACTGGATCAGCAGCTCCTTGGGCAGTTTGAGCTTTCTATTTCCAAGAGACTCAAGATCAATTATGATGCATCAGCTGGGCTACCTACCTTATAGTGTGGGCAAGGCCTATTTGTTCTAAGAGACCTGCAAAAAAACTTCCTAGGAGTTACTCTGTGTTCCCAACAGCTGTTGCTTTCCTTTTTAAAGATTCACGTTCAATGTGACAACTGTTAAGAACTGGCATCTGCAGCAGTGGTGGGTTTCAAATTTTTTTTACTGCTGGTTCTGTGGGCGTGGCTTGGTGGGCATGGCAGGGGAAGGATACTGTAAAATCTCCATTCCCACCCCAATCCAGGAGAAAGTTACTGCAAAATCCCCATTTCCGCCTGATCAGCTGGGACTTGGGAGGCAGAGAATAGATGGGGGCGGGGCCAGTCAGAATTTTTACTACCGGTTCTCCGAACTACTCAAAATTTTCGCTACCAGTTCTCCAGAACTGGTCAGAACCTGCTGAAACCCACCTCTGATCTGCAGGCTAGGTGTTGCCAGCTGCTTTCTGATCTTCCCTACACACAAAAATATATGAATTTTAAACTGGCTAATATGATATAAAATATTTATTTTAATTTAGCTTAGTGTTTGATAAATGGTTAAGTTTCAATACAATAGTCACTTCCACCTGGAGATCCCTCTGCATTGAGCTGTTTGTTTTTATTGCAGCATTATATGTTTACATGAGTATAATAATATCCTGCAGCAGGCTCACAACAAAATCCTGATATCACTTCAATTGGAGACTTTTATTCCCACTGTTGCCGGAATGCTAGAAATACCACAAAGGGAGGACAAAATGTTGCCAAACAAATAGAAGAAATAAATCTGCTTGTTCCCAATTTCCAAGCCTTTTATACAAACATACTTCTGCAACTAAAAATTGACCTTTAATACATCCTGTTTGGCCACAAACAGAGCTATCTGCATTTTTTTTGAGTGGCCTGCTGGGCTGCAGATGAACCATTAACTCCTCCAGATAAACCAATCTGGTGGCTTTTAAGACTAGAAACAAGCAATATCCCCACTCTTTTGAAAGTTATTGTTTGACTCCATGGAACAGACACCTTAGAACCAGCGGTGGGTTCCTCCCGGTTCGGTCTGGTTCGGCCGAGCCAGTAGCGGTGACGATATGACATCACCGAACTGGTTCTCCCCCCCCTACCCTCCCACCCACCCACCCACCCACGTTATTCTTACCTTTTATTTGGTCCCACCCCCAATCTATTGCTGCCTCCTGAGTCCCAGCTGACTGCTAGAGGGAAAAAAACTGTTTAAACTCTTGCCGCAGGGCTTCAAAGGGCTGTCCTACAGCTGATCAGTGTTAAAAGTAAACAAATGAGTCGGGTCATAAGTGCGAGGACCTTCCGGAAATTACTCTGACCAGCTAGCCATGCCCACCTAGTCACATGACCTCCAAGCCACACCCACAAAATAAGCCACGCCCACAGAACCGGTAGTAAAAAAATTTAGAACCCACCCCTTCTTAGAACAGAAGGAACTTGCAGCCCTCCAGATGTTTTTGGACCACAGGTTCCATCATTTTCTTTATCCATTTACCAAGTTGGCTTGGTATGATGAGAACTGCAGATGACCAATAGTTGGGTGGGAAGCCATTTCCATGCCTTAAAGCAGCGTTTCTCAACCTTTGCAATTTTAAGATGTCTGATGTTTGCTAGGACTTGAAGTCCATACATATTAAGGCTGCTGAGGTTGAGAAAAACTGCCTTAAAGGGATAGGAATATATATACCGCAAGCTTGTCTGGATCAGAGCAAATTTCTATCTGGTCTAGCATAAATCATGATCAGTCAGATGATTCCAGAAAGCCTGCAAGCAAAACATGGAAACATTGCATTATTTGCTTTCAAAGCTTTCAAAGCAAGCAACTAATATTCAGAGGTAGAGTGACTGTGAAGCTTAATAGAGCCTTCTTTAAGTTACTGGCAAAAGTTAATACATTTCTCCACAATCAATATATCTAATCTCTTTTAAAACATTCACCTCTAAACCAGGGGTGAAATCCAGCAGGTTCTGGAGAACCGGTAGTGGAAATTTTGAGCAGTTTGGAGAACCAGTAACGGAAATTTTGAGTAGTTCGGATAACCGGCAAATGCCACCTCTGGCTGGCCCCAGAGTGGGGTGGGAATGGAGATTTTGCAATATCCTTCCCCTGGAGTGGGGTGGAAATGGAGATTTTGCAGTGTCCTTCCCCTGCCACGCCCACCAAGCCATGCCCACAGAACCGGTAGTAAAAAAAATTGGATTTCACCACTGCTCTAAACAGTAAGTTCCATGACCGAATCATACAGGTAGTCCTTGACTTACAACAGTTCATTTAGTGACTGTTCAAGGTTACAATGGCACTGAAAAATGTGACATGACCATTTTTCAACTGTTGCAACCTCCCCCTGGTCACATGATCAAACTTCAGATGCTTGGCAACTGACTCATATTTATGAGGGTTGCAGTGTCCTGGGATCACGTGACCAGCTTTTGCGATCTTCTGACGAGCAAACTCAATGGGTAATCCAGATTCATGTGATACCCATGTTACTAACTTAACAAATGCATTGATTCACATAACAACTGTGGCAAGAAGTCGTAAAATGGGGCAAAACCCACTTAACAAATGTTTCACTTAGCAACATAAATATGGGGCTCAAATGTGGTTGTAACTGGAGGACTACCTGTACAAAGAAATGCTTTATTTCAAGCCCTCTAATCCTAGGGCTCTTCAATCAAACAGGCAGCTTCTATGAGCAATTGAAAAGGGGGAAATACTGTATATAAAACAGACTCAGCCACAATCGGCTCTCATACAAACAGCCCATCCATATTTATTGTATATGAACTGCCTTTGGAAATGGATGAAGATGCCTACCTCACTGTTCTAGCCTGCTATCTATTATGTAAAGTCCTGTTGGCCCTATAGACACACAGCCTTGCTGGAACAGCAGCCCTGAATTAACACATCTGGGATGCATTGGCTGAAGGAAGGCCGTGTTCCCTAATGGTCAGGAAGCCCTGTATCTGTTGGAAAAACTGAAGGGGTAGCTGTACACATGGAAAGAAATGCATATTTACATTTTGACTGATTGCTCAATTCTTTTCCCACTCCTTATCAGTGCCTGGTCCCCAAATAAGATATTTGTTCCTACTTATCTCTCTATATTTCTGGGGAAAGTCCAACAATCCTCTTATGCCCCCAGTTCCCACCTGTTGTTTTTACAGAAGGAGGGGCTAATGCCTGGCAGGCCCACCTACTCTGCTCCAAAATAGTCCACCCATCCTTCAGGCAGATCCAAACCCAGATATTATTATTTGCTCTAGAGTTGCTGTTTGACTTGGTGCTCAAGGCAGCCGGAAAAAGCAGGCACCAACCAAGACGTGAAATTATCTACGAGCATCTCATCTGGATCTCCATTACTCAGATATTCAAAACGGTTGAAGGCTGGTCAGCAATTCCAAATTTTATCCTAGCCTGGGCATCGTGAGTGGGTCAGGTACTTTGATTACATTCTTTAAATGTTTGCTTCAGTTTTTTTTATGTTTGCTATGTTTAAATAGCAAAGTTGCTATGTTTACAACTTTGTAGCTGTTTGCTAGAAATCTCTAGGTCACGGAGATGACAAAGGCTTGTACAAAGTACTGTCTCATTAATTATTTTGGTTAAAATTGTAGCTAAGAAATCGATGCACGAGGAAAAGGGCTCCATTTAAAAACCAGTCTTTACCTCTGCTTTGACTTTGCAATCCAATGTATGGCTTCTTATACTGCACCAAGCTACTATGTGATTGTAGTTTCATTTTGGCTTAACCTGGTCTGTGAAGGGATCCCATTGAGATGCATAAACCAAATTTCAGGAACATGATCTTGTGGGGAGGAACGCTCTACATCTGCAAATTGACCTGCTGCAGGTTAATTAAATATCAGACACAAGTGTAAATATAGGTCAGCTCATATGACCATTTTGAATATATGTGGTTTTGAACAAAATTATTATGTAAAAGAAGCAAAATTATTTTTACCCTGTTCTTCTATCTAATTTAATGAGTTACTTTATTTATTGGCAATATCCTTCTTTCAAAATTCAAAACTTGAATTCTGTAAATTAGTCATTAATTTTCTATACTGATCAAAAAGAGGCAGAGAGGTTCAAGTCTGAGCTGGTTGAATTGGTGACCGGCCCCAAATCAGGTCAAAGGAAGTTGGATTTTTAATTTAAAGTTAGAGAAATCAAGTCAGTGTAGTGATGTAGAGTCATTCTGTGATATGGGCGGCACATAAATTTCATAAATAAATTACAATGAATATAAATTTCTAAAATGCTCAGTGCAGTGCTACATTAGGAATATTATATGCAAATATTAGGAATACCTTACACCAGACCCTGCATTACTTGCCAATTCTAGATCCAATATAAGGTGCTAGTTTTAATTTATGAAATCCTTCATGGCTTAGCACAAGGATACTTTCAAATCATCTTCCCGTTACTTGGCCCAGCTCCTGCCCACCTAGCAGTTCAAAAGCATAAAAATATGAGTAAATAAATAGGTACCACTTCAGTGGGAAGGTAACAGTGTTCCACGCACCTCAGTACATAGTTATTCTGGCCACATGACGACAGAAATGTCTTCGGACAACTCTGGCTTCCTCGGCTAGGAAATGAAGATGAGCACCACCTTTAAAATCAGAAATGACTGGATGGGGAAACCTTTACCATTATACAAGTGTTGTGGTTCTCCAGCAGCCTGCAGAGCTGGCAGCGGAGTCGGATAGCGATGAGGCTGAGGAAGAACATGGGCCAGTCCTGGAGGCTGGGGAAGGCCCGGATGAGGGCTCTGCCTCAGAGGCAGAGATGGGGCCAGGGCCATCGGGGAGTGATGTGCAGACTGTCAGAGGCTGACAGTAGAGAGGCAGAGGAACAGGCTGCTCCTGTTCCTAGTACATGTATGAGAAGAGCTGCCAGAAGGCAGGAGCAGATAAAGCAGAGAGGACGACTCAGGAGTAGGGCCAAGAGATGATTGGCCCCTCCCATAAGGCTTAAAAGACCAGCAACGGCTCTTGGCCTCTTTGCCGGAAAACAACGTTGAGAGAATTGGTTCTTGTTCCACTGTATTCATTTCTTGTCAGCATCTTCTGCTTCTGAACTATTGCCAAGAAAAGCCTTTGGCAGTTTGCCTAATTATCCCAAGGTCAGGTGATAAACTGAAGAATGGTGTTTTGAAGAATTTGCTTTAATTTAGTTTGGACTACGCTGAGAATGAGTTAATTCTCAGCTGTTCTAATAAAGTCTGTTTGTTTTCGAACTGTTTGTATTTATTACTAACTATTTGGGCCTGGGTCACAACAAGTAATTCTCGACTTGCAACAGTTCATTTAGTGACCATTCAAAGTTACAACGGCAGTAAAAAAACACTTATGACCAATGCAGCCTCTCCATGGTCACATGATCAAAATTTGGAAACTTAGCATCTGACTCATATTTATGATGGTTGCAGTGTTCCGGGGTCATGTGTCCACGTTTTGCGACATTCTGACAAGCAAAGTCAATGGGGAAACCAGATTCACTTAACAACTGTATTGTTACTAACATAATAACTGCAGTGATGTTTCATTTAGCGACAGAAATGTTGGGCTCAATTATAGTCATAAGTTGAGGACTGCCTATACAGCTTGGAAAGGGAGTAGGACAGTAATGGGTTGCTCCCGGTTTGGTCCGGTTCTTGCGAACTGGTAGTAACGGCAGTGGGAGGCTCCACCCACCCACCCAAACGTCATCATGAATGATCTGCGCATGTGCAGAAGTGCGTGCGCTCCCATTGCGAACCAAGAGTGGAGGTAAGTAGAACCCACCCCTGGAGTAGGAGATGTGGGGGAAGCAAAATGTTTCCAGGCCCAGCTTTGAGGGCCCTCAAGGACTACCTGTATTTTCCATATGGAGCCTTGGAGAGCTTTTTTGATTGTGGCAGCATAGAAACAAAAAATAGACAAATAATTATCAAGATTTAGTTACATGCAAACATGGATCTGAACAATGAGGAAATAATTGAGATGTTTGTTGTGCAAGCCCAAAACCTTTGAGATCCTTCAAGGAATCTTATCAAGAACAGATGCTTAGAAGGTCTCTCCTACTGCATTGGTTGAGAAGAGGACAGGATGTACAGTAAGTCCTCTTCCAAGCTCTCCTCTTAGCCAGTCATGGCAAGGATTTCACTGCCCTAACAGATGTTAGGGATCTGTTTCTCTTCCAGGATCTGTGGATAAGTGCCACTGTTCTAAGACTGTGATTCTCTTTCAGGGCTCAGAGTTTGTTTGTTTTTTTCCCTTTCAGTGCAGGCCCCTGTTGATGGACCAGCGGATTCTGAGATTCCCTCTGGCCAGATTCTGCGTGGCTTGGCTCTCCCTGCAGGCCATATGCCGCTTTGCCCAGGGTGAACCGCGTGACTTGCTGGTTGGCGGAGCTGCTGGGCCTCCGTTGGAAGACGCCACCCAAGAGCACGGTTACTACCTGCAGCAATTGTTTGGGCAATATGGTGAGAACGGCACTTTGTCCTTCGAGGGCCTGACCCGCCTCCTGCTAAGCCTGGGGCTGGGAAAAGTGCAGGTGGTGGAGATTGAACACGAGGAACTGGGACACGGTCATGTCTCCCATCTGGATATCCTTGAGGTCCAGGAGAACAAGCACCTGCACTCCCACTCAGCACTGGATCACATCGGCAAGACAGAACATGGGGCCGAGACTCAAGTGGAGAGTGTCACCCCCACCAGGTGGGCCCATTTTAAAGACTGGAAACATCCAGCCGGCAAAAATGGCTGCACTGGTGTGGGCTTGTCCATTCATAAAATAGCTTTCCAACTGAGCATGGGCAGTCCCCAAAGATCCATTTGTCAGAAACAGTGGTGGAATTCATTTTTTAAAAACTACCGGTTCTGTGGGAAATGACTTGGTGGGTGTGGTGTGGCTTGGTGGGCGTGGCTTGGTGGGCATGGCAGGGGAAGGATATTGCAAAATCTCCATTCCCGCCCCATCTTCATTCCCACCCCACTCCAGGGGAAGGATACTTCAAAATCCCCATTCCCTCCCCATTCCTGGGGGAAGGATATTGCAAAATCTCCATTCCCACCCCACTCTGGGGCCAGCCAGAGGTGATATTTGCCGATTCTCCAAGCTACTCAAAATTTCCGTAACCGATTCTCCAGAAACTGTCAGAATCTATTTATTTATTTATTTATTGGTTCGATTTATATGCCGCCCTTCTCCGGAGACTCAGGGTGGCTTACAATGCGTTAAGCCTTCATACTTTTATATATACCTGCTTAGTAGGGCTTTCGGCCCCCCCAAGCAGTGTTCTTTTTTATACAAAGTCAGCTTATTGCCCCCACAATCCGGGTCCTCATTTTACCTAACTTGAAAAGATGGAAGGCTGAGTCAACCTTGAGCCTGGTGAGATTTGAACTTGCAGTAATTGCAGGCAGCTGGTGCTAATTAACAGCACTTTAGTCTGCTGCGCCACCAAGGCTCAAGAATCTGCTGAATAGCACCCCTGGTCGGGAGGTAAATGGGAGGGTTCCCCCCCCTCTCCGTAGCCTTTCAGAGGATTTCAGGGTACCTTTGCCTTGTTGTTCTGGACAGGCTGGATGTACTTCCAAACAAAGCATCTGGACCTTGTTTGTTTGCTAAGAATACCTCAGTGGCACCCAGAGATAAATCAAACTGATGCTAAAGGCTGGTTCTTTGTTTCCCGCTGCTTTATTTATTCCCTAGGAAAGAATCTGAAGAAAATGTTAAAGTCAGGTGGGGCAGAGACACAACCTGGCAAGTGCCAAGGGAGGTCTGTGACAAATTAGCCATCCTGATTCTACAGTGTGAGGGAAAAATACTTGCGTCTGTACACAATGGAAAATTGCCAGCGCATATTTCCATTGAAGAATGAATTAATCAAGGCATGGTGCTTTTTATGTTCTTGATCGGCAGCTAACATCTTGCACAGCATCTAAGCCCAAGCAAAATAAACATATTGCTAGCCTCAGCGTTCTGATCTTGCTGAACCAGGCAACCTGCTGTTGAAATATTTATTGTCTTTCAAGAAGCCGAGAGCTAGCAATAATAGGCCTGCTTCAACCACTGAAAGAGAAAAAAGGAAGTGAAGCAGCAGCTCTTCTCTGTCAGCCATCAGGGCTAACATTACATTGGGAGGAGAGAGATAAATTGAGAAAAGATAGAGGTAGTCCTCATTTAGCAATCACAACTGGAATTGGCAACTCAGTCATTAAGCAAAGCAGCCACTAAACAAAACTGCTACCGTGCTTATGATCTTACTTCAGTGTTCTTTTGCTTTACAGACCCAGTCTATAGTCTGTAAATGAGAGAACTGGTCACAAGGTTATATTTTCATCACCATTGTTAACTGCCAAAGCTGCTGTACAGCAGTCTAAGCAAGGACCACATATATATTATTTAGTTAGATTTTATAATAATAATAATAATAATAATAATAATAATAATAATAATAATGAAATGTCATGAAAGGAATGCAATGCACTGATTCTGCTTTCGATTAGGAAATCCCACCCTCAGCCACAGACATTCGCTAGCTCTTAGTCCAAACTACCTCACAGGATTGTTGTGAGGAAAAAACAGAAGGAGGGAGAGCTATGTACACCATGATAAACTCCAGGAATAAAAGTGAGGTATACATTGAAAATAGTAATTATCTTCAAACCTGCAGCTTTGTGTATTTTAGTTCTATTTCTCTTAGTTCTTTTTCTTCTTCTGATTATTTTCAGGGAGATTTAAGTTAGCCTTACAGTATCAGAATGGTTTCTTAACATTTCAGTGAAATCTTTCCCTGTTGAGTTGATGATGATTTCACGTGTCCTTCAGGCCAGGATTCTCTCTGCTGGAGCCCAAATTCCATACCTCAGTGTCTCCTACCTTCCATGAAGTCAGCCATGACCTCAAGCCCAGCTTTGGGCAAGGCCGAGAGAAATCTGACAAGGCGAAAGAGGAAAATGTTTTCATGTCTCCCCACGGACATTCTAAACTGAACCTTCTGGAGGGAGTCATTGCCTTGGATCATTCGGTCTTCAATCACCTGCATGAAGATGTAAGAATTGGAGATGTGTTGGAGTCATTCTCAAGATTTCCTGTCTCACTGCAGCAAATGTATTGACCATATTGGGCTGGCAGGGAAGCAATTATGCTTTAAAGGGATAAAATGGGGAGATTACAAGTTGTATTTTATGGACTGAAAAATAGAAAATGAGTCGAGATTCTTTCTTTATACTGGGGACATGTTCCATTTGGAAAGAACTCATATATGTGCTTGAAATGGGGCACTCACAGCTCACCTATGGATGGTAACCTATAGATGACCTTCAGGCTGCACCTGGTCTTCAAGCTAATTGACAGAAACTTGGTTATCACCAGCTATCCCCCAAAATAGATGGTTAGAAGGGACTTAACCCCATTGCAACCAGACATCTGTTTTCAAAAGCCATCCTATAAAAACACCTCCTATTAAAATATGCACCCATCCATATAGTCACATACAGACACCACCACACTCACATAGAAAACACAATGTTGCCCAACTGGTGTAGAATCCTATCTCTGCTTTTGAGGAATGCTGAATTTTTCTGTAGCTCCCCGAGAAAGCACAATGTATTTCCGATTTCCCACGCTATCCATTTCTGTTACTGTAATTCCCCTCCCAAGCTGGGCAGTGGTTTTCTCCTCTGCTCAGTAGTGCCCCCCCCAAATGGATAATGGATAATCGTAGTGGAAATTCGTTCTTTCCTGATTGGAGGGCCACAAGCCCATTTTAGTCCCATTACTCATTTCCACAATAAACAGCCTTTTGGGTGGTTCTTCTCTCTCCAGTGCCTCAATGTGTCTCAGCTGCTTGTCAATTTTGGCATGAATACCGTCTCCAAAATTACCCCAGAGCAGTTCACCCTGCTGTGCCCAGCCCTGCTCTACCAGATCGATAGCCGTGTTTGCATCCAGCACTTGGACGATGTGACTTTCGACACGGCCGGGAATTCCCTCTGGATTGGTAAGCCCTTCTGCCCTTCTCAAATCAATCCGACTCGCATGTCTCCAGTGAGGTTGGCTTGGGTGAGCAGTAGGAGACGGAATTAGTGATGTCACGGGAGGAGGCATGGTCAAAGCTGTCCCCCTCTACTTTACTGGTAGTCCTCAACTTACAACAGTTCATTTAGTGACCATTCAAAATTACAACGGCACTGAAAAAAGTGACTTTTGACTGTTTTTCACACTTAGGACTGTTCCAGCATCCCCATGATCACGTGATCAAAATTCAGATGCTTGGCAATTGACTCATATTTATGACGTAGCTGTGTCCCAAGGTCACGTAATCACCTTTTCCAACCTTCTGACAAACAAATTCAATGGGGAAGCCAGATTCACTTTAACAACCGTGTCACTAACTTAACAAATACAGTGATTCGCTTAACAACTGTGGCAAGAAAGACAGTAAAATGGGGCAAATGTCTCACTTAGCAACAGAAATTTTGGGCTCAGTTCTGGTCGTAAGTCGAGGACTGCCTGTATAGCTTGAAAGGGGAGTAGGAGGTGTGGGGGGAAGCAAAATGTTTCCAGGCCAGCCTTGAAGACACTCAAGTTGGGGCATTCATTTCGGGTGCCGCAATCTATGGATTTTGGTGATGTGATTTTTGAGGGAGGGTGTTTTTTATTGCTGTTTATAGTTTGGGGAAATGTGTGAGGTAGCAGTTGGTTTTCTACTTTCACTTCTTCCATTCATTTATCAAAAGGAGTAGCTGAAGATTATGGATGTGGCAAATTGTAAATTGGGTGCTATGGCGGGGGTCATGTCATTGGGTGGTCAGTCACATAACCTCATCAAGACAGTATATTTTGTTAGAAAAATGAATAAAATGAGTAATATATTATAAATTTGAACACAGGGTAGACATTGCAGAAGGTTCAGTTTACTGCTATATAAATGCAGTAGTAATGTTAGTTTTGGGCTCTTCTTTCTTTTCCCTCCCTTCCCCCACACGACAACTCCCTCAGTCATTCAACATGGCTTCCTTTCAGCTTTCAGTTCTTTCCTTCTTCTTTTTTTACCGTTCTCTCTAGTCGTGTAAAGAATTCCACATTTCTTCTGCAAATCCACACTGCTGCATACCTATTTAAAATATATAAAACAATATTCCGCGCCCTCCCTTCAAGGTCACTCAAATTGTTCCTCAGAAAATCCTTATTGAATATAGGAGAAAATGTCTTCCAAAATCATACTCGAGTCTCAATTTGCCTGGGTCTTTATTCATTGCTTCTTGATTCAACTTTTCTTTCACCAAACTGGCTTTTTCCCAACATCCTCTGCCTCCAACCTATTTTCTAGGAGTTATTTTAAGAAGATATATAATTACTTATGCCTTCATTACTCTCTTGTGAGGAAACTATTCATTGCAATCTGTAGAGAGAAAGTATTGTAGTCCTTCCATCCCAGGGAAGTGTAGCTAATAGGGTCACCACTGTGTACAACTTGCTAGTTTTAGAGCTGTGTTTCTTATTCCTATCACCCTCTATGCTTTCCACAGGCCTGGGCTGGGGATTTTTGGCTATCACCCTGACCAGCTTGCCCTCAGCACTGGCCATCATCTTGGTGCCCCTACTCAGTCGAGAAATCTTCCAGTTCCTCCTGACTTTTCTGGTGGCGTTGGCTGTGGGGACATTGTGTGGGGACGCTTTGCTGCACCTTTGGCCACATGTATGTACCACTTCTCTTTCTTCCATTTGGGGTACATTCCAGAGGTAAGTGGGTACCACCCAACCATCTCAACCTTGTACAGGGAAGCCCACCTAAGACGTTGGGATTCTGCTCTCTTCACATCATTCTCATCAATACTTTGTCCTCTTTGTTCCCGTTGTTTTTAATGAGGTATCTCCCACGTTTCAACTCAGTGAATACTCCTCAGGACTTGCTGGTTTGCTTCCCTGTTAGTTGTTTTCTTGACAACAGGATTTCTCATCATTAATGCTATTGTTAAACTCAGTGGGACTTGCACTTGCTCCCAGGTGAATAGGGTCAAAGTGATGTCAGATTCAAACAGTAGAGCTGAACTCCTGTCATGTTTCCATGAAGAACAAATGTGGGGATTTTTGCTCAGATCTGTCCAGTCCTATTTTAAGGTGGTTTAAAAGGATTAATCTCTGTTCTGAATTCTTCCTTTCTCTGCTCAGAATAATTGTTTTTATTCAGGCACAAGTGGGCTCCCATGGCTTGCTGTCCTCCGAAGAAGATGGCATTCTGAAGGGTCTATGTGTCCTAGGAGGCATTTACTTTCTCTTCCTCACTGAGAATCTCATGGGAACCCTCAACCAAATTCGTGCAAAGAGGGTAAGAAGTGCACTGGATTATAACACTCCTCAGGGCAGGAAAAGACATGTGTTATTCATATACATATGCCTAATCCAAGTCAAACAAGCAAAAATGTTTTATATGCTAAGGTTTCCCCTAGAATGAGAAAAGACATCTCTGAACTATGGCCATGTTATACTACTTCCTCCACTACAAGGAGATGATACCCTCTGACATGATTAGGGTGGGGTTAATATCTCAATATGCTTTTTAAAAAAGTTTTGCTTTTTCTGGACAGAAACGTATGGCTGGAAAGCAACTGAAGCAATCGTCTACTAAGGTGGATGAGAATGACGCAGAGAGGACATTGCATAGTGAGTTGTGAATTACTTTAGTATAGTACATCAAATCCATATTAGTATTTTGGTATTCTTTACATTCTATTTTAGCAGGGAAGATATGTGTCTCCTAGAAATTTTCAAAGGAATTTATGTGCTTTGGTTCAATGATTATACACCTTTTTGAGCCCACTTGAATAAATGCATTTTAAATATATAAAAATATGTATTTGAATGGAAGCTCTTTTCTAAGACCTCTTTCTTCTGTCCAGCTATTGGATAGATAGCTGAAAATGATCTCAGCGATCAGTATCTAGCATCAGCACTGGTACTACTTGTCCCTTCAGAATTGTGATTCAGTTCTGTATTTAGCTGACATGATGTACCTGACAAGAAGCTGTTAGTTTTAGATAAAGTTGCCTGAATTTGGAGATGGGCAGTAAATAAATTTGATGAACAAAAAACTAAATAAATTAATAGTTATGTTTGAGGAGTTTTTTAGAAGCTAATCTGTTAATTCAAAGACATACAACAAGGAACAACAATAAATATATTTAGAACTGAGAGAAGAAACAAAAATGAATTTGTAACACAAAGACACTAGTAGGTAATATGTTTCCCATATCCCATATTATTATAGAACGCATCCCATAATTGTGAAGGGCCATTTTCATTCGGTAGCTAGAAGTACTGAATATGGCACAGGACCAGATTATCTACCGTATCGCCTTTCCCTAAGGACATCTATCCATCTACCAGGTCAAATAGCATGGGCACACTCCATTGGTTCCTTCCCTCAAATATTATCATCTAATGGGAACTAAGAAGCATGACTTTTCCATGGCAACCCTTGCCCTTTGGAACCTCCTGCCACCTGAAGTTTGGCAGGCTTCCACCTTTTAATCTTTTGTAATATCTTAATGACCTGGATTTTCCCCCAGGCTTTGGGAGAAGATTAGATGATAGCACATTAACAGAGATTGGTGCCAGATTTTTTTTAATGTTTTCTGTTTTAACTGCTTATGTTTTATAGTTTTAAAGATCATTTTATCTGTTTTTTAATCTTTGATTGGGAGCCACCCACCCAGAGTTGGCTGAAAGATGACTAGAATAAAACATGACTAGAGAGTGGAACTAATAATAGAGGACAGGCATCATCTGTTGTAGGGCCTTGTCCAGAATCTCTAAAATGATCAATTGCCATCAAGTACAATCAAGGGAGAATATTGATCTTCACCAGCAAAATGGCATGAATCTGACCTGTGTCTTTGCTCAGTCTCTCTAGGTCCTAATGGATTGCTAGGTGGGTCAAAGGTCTAACATGTTTCCCTGAAACCTCAGTGCCTTTATTTCTCAAACTGAAGCAGATTAGGAAACAAGCCAAACTGCTATTACAAACCTATGCTCCTCTATTCTTGGCGATAACTCTAGAGCAGGGGTGTCAAACTCGATTCCATTGTGGGCCGCATCAGGGTTGTGTTTGACCTTGGGGTGGGGGGGCATCTCGATGTCAGTTGTGTCAGGGACACCTGTGGTGGCCTCAGCGCTCTGTCAGCTAAAATGGGCTCCTGAGCTCCGTTTATGGCTGCAACAGCCTCCTGCAACCCTCTGCCAGCAAAAACAGAGCACCTGTTCGCTGTTTCCAGGGTGGTCCTGTGGGCCAGATCTAAGCACTCCACGGGCTGGATCCGGCCCACGGGCCTTGAGTTTGACACCCTTGCTCTAAAGAATGTGCATTGTAAAAAAGGTTAAATATTTAGGGGTATATATTACAACCTCAAATGTAAAATTATATAAAAATAATTATGAATTGCTATGGCAAAAAATATAGAAAGAGATGGAGAATTGGGGAAAATTACAATTATCTTTGTTGGGGACAATAGCAGCAATAAAAATGAATGTTTTACCTAGGTTTTTATTTTTGTTTCAAATGATACCAATACTTAAGAAAGATGATAATTTGAGGGAATGGCAGAAGGGTATTAATAAATTTGTTTGGGCAGGGAAAAGACCGAGAATAAAGTTAAAAATAATGCAAGATATACATGAAAGAGGAGGTCTTAAAATGCCTAATTTAAGATTATACTATGAAGCAGCTGTCCTAACAATAATTAGTGACTGGATTAATTCAACAGAAGAAAGAATATTGAATATTGAAGGATATGATTTGTTATATGGCTGGCATGCTTACTTATTATATGATAAAAAGGTGGATAAGACCTTTAAAAGCCATATACTAAGGAATGCCTTGTTACGAGTTTGGAAGAAGTATCAATATAAGTTAAATTATAAGATACCTATATGGGCAATACCCAGACATGCGATAGAGAATATAAGTATAGAACAAAAGCAAGAGGTGATTACCTATAAAGAGCTTCTTAAAATGGAAGGGGGTATATTGCAGTTAAAATCTATAAAGGCATTAAAAGAAGAAAAAATAATTCAAACTTGGTTTCAGTATGGACAGTTGCAAGCTAGATGGAAAGAAGACCAGAGAATTGATATCATGTAGAAGGAGGAAAATTTGGTAAAACAAATTAGAGATCAAGGTCAAATGCATATAAAAAGATTATATAATATACTCATAGAAATAGATTCAGAAATGGAATTAGTTAAGGATTGCATGATAAAATGGGCACAAAACATTCAGGAACCAATAATGATGGAAAGTTTGGAAAAAATATGGGTTAGAAATGAAAAATTTACCCAAGCACAAAATTTAAGAGAAAATTTTTATAAAATGTTTTACAGATGGCATTTGGATCCTAAAAAGTTGGCTTGTATGTATCCAAATTTGCAATCTAAGTGTTGGAGATGTGATTGTGACGATGCTACTTATTATCATATATGGTGGACTTGTAAAAAAGTTAAAGCATTTTGGATTAAAATATGGTGGATTATCCAAAATATTCTTAAAAAGAAGATAAAGTTTACTCCACAATTGTTTTTGTTGGGTATAATCACAGATTGTATGGTTATAGAGACAAAATTGATTTTAAATTTAATAACTGCAGCTAGACTTTTGGTGGCGCAATACTGGAAGAAGGAAGAATTGCCTACTATTGAAGAATGGACATTAAAAGTGGCAAATTTGGCAGAAATGGCGAAAATTTCAGCATACTTGAAAGATCATTCACAAGAAAGATATATATCGGAATGGAGAAGATGGATTGATTACATTCAAAACAAATATCGAACTATAAAATATCAAATAGCTTATGAATGAATAGAAAAGTTAAGAGTATGTATATTTAGTTAAGTAAAAGGCGAGTTAAAGTGTTGAGGGGGGGATAGGAATCTGTAGTTAGTTAGCTTAGCTTAGCATATGATTGTTAATTGTTTTACCCTATATTTTGTTCTGGGAAGTCTGGGGAGGGGGTGTGGGGGGGGAAGGAAAGGAGGGGGGAGAAGGGGAAATATTTGAAAAAATTTTTTTGTTCTTTTTTGTAAAACTTTTCAATTAAAAAAAAAAGAAACTAAAAAAAAAAGAATGTGCATTGTGTGGCATGTTCTCAGTTTCCTAGGCTCTCAATCACACGTTCTAAGATCTTAAGACGTGATGTCAAAGAGGCAAGTTAAACAACATTTTTTTCTTTCTTTTAATATGGTCTAAACTTTTCAGGTGCTGAATTGCAGAATTTGAGAGTGCCAGAAGAGGACGCTGGAAATGTATATGGCGAAGTCCAGGACTGCTCCATTCAAATTCAGAACTCAGAAGATCACAGGGCAAGCCTGGAAAAGCAAACAGAAGAGATACATCACCATGGTCACTCCCACAGCCCAGCTGGGACTCTCAAGGCTGGGATAGCTGACATCGCTTGGATGGTTATCCTTGGGGATGGGGTACACAATTTCACAGATGGATTGGCAATAGGTCAGTGATTTCTAAGCATGCCTTGCTCCCATCTTGTGACAGAAAAGCAAAATATCTCCTTCTCGCAGAACCTTTCCTCAGGAGATTAAGGTGGCATACATAGCACTCCTTCTTCCTGCTTTTCCTCTCCCCCACAACCCTATGAGGGAGGCTGGGGTGAGAGGAAGTGACCATCCCACAGTCGCCAGGGAACTTCTATGGCTGAGGGTGGATTAGAATCCGGAACTTCTCCCTCCTAGCCCAACACTGCTACACCACATAGGTTCTTTTAGGCTTACATGCCTTGCTACGCTGTTCTTCTTCTCTAGGGGCTGCCTTCTCAAATGGACTCTCCAGTGGCTTAAGCACTACGTTGGCAGTCCTCTGCCATGAACTACCCCATGAACTGGGTGAGTGAACAAGGGGGATAACCCTGCTTCAGGACTATCTGATCTTTTTGCCTGTCTTGTTTTCAAGCTGGCCCAAAGCACCGTGGAAAGCAAAAGTAGTCATGCCTGCCACAACAGGTTCATGCCTAGACATTGCTGGCTTCCAGAGGGGTTGAGGTAGCCTTAACTTTCTCTCTCTTTGGCAGGAGACTGTGCTGTCCTAATCCGGGCGGGCATGCCACTCCGATGGGTGCTGTTGTTTAACCTGCTGTCTGCTTTCCTGGCTTATTGGGGCATGGTGTTAGGGACAGTTGTCAGTCAGAACACTTCCCAAGTCACTCCCTGGATCTTTGCCACCACAGCTGGTGTTTTTCTTTACGTAGCTCTGGTTGATATGGTAAGGACTCTGTTTCATTTCTCTCTGTATGGTACAAGCCTTAATTTATTTATTTCTACCTGACCTTTTCTTGTGGTGGTATATGTGGGAGTCTTCCCTAATTTTATCTTGATGGTAGCAATGAAGAAAGAGTGGCTGACACCAGAGGGCCTAAACTCACCCACTGAACTTTGTAGGCATCTGGAGCCTTGAACCAGGCCTCTCTGCTCCAAGCCCAACCATCACAATGACACTTGGAAACCACAAAATGTGAAATGTTCCTTCTTATTTATCACCTTCCTTCCTCACCCTTCTTTATGGAAAGCACAAAGTGGTGTTTTAGTATAACAATCCTGTACTTAAATTGGGAGAGAGACCAATTTATGTCCAAGTTGCAGGGATGTTAGAATGTTTTTCATATCTAAAGCTTTAGCCTCAACCAAGCAATGGGAAGGGAACATGCAAAATTGGAGGAATTTTTTTTGATCCTTGGTACATCTGGCCCCGATTCCTGCCTAGTTCCATCTGCTGTAGCTTTTCAAGATCAAGGAAGGTTCAAGTGGAAATTTTATTTATTTATTTATTTTATTGAATTTGTATACCGCCCTATTCCCGAAGGACTCAGGGCGGTGAACAGCCATAGAATAAAACATAGAGATACAAAATTTAAAATAAACTAAAACGAATTAAATAATTTGGCTGAACAAATTTAAAACCCCAATAATTTAAATCCAAGTTTAAAATTTCCATTTAAAAAGGGGAAAGACTTAGGTCAGGCCAGCTTGATGAAATAAGAAAGTCTTGAGCGCGCGACGGAAGGTACGCAGATCCGGGATCCTCCGTATCTCCGGGTGGAGCTTGTTCCAGATAGTAGGTGCCCCCACAAATATGAGGTCAAGTTTACCTCTCTGAATTCAGCATCTTGTCTCTGAGATTTTAAACCATTTATTTGGAATATTAATGTTTCTTCCTATCCCCCATATACTATAGAAGTGGTAGAAAGCTATAGAAAGAGAATCAGGTACTTGTAACAGAACAGGAAAGGTAGAACTGTAATTTCAGACACTTTGGTTCTTATTGTTCCTCCCTTTATAGACTATAGGAAATGAGAATAAATCTAAAAGGATATGTAGGACACCTGTGAGGAATTAGGGTTTGTGACCCTGAAATCCAAACTGCAGGTAAATTTCAGAAACATGCTTCCTAGCCTACATGGCACTTTCCTTAGAAAACATCTTGAAAATCTCCTGGTGCATGAATGGCCCTATGGAAGTTTTTCATCTGGAAAATACCTGGTGCTGAATTGCTTAAGGACTCAAGTAGCCCAAAATTTCAATGTGATTAAGATGACTATACATTTGCTGTTGCTGACTTCTTATGGGCAAAGATCCTGTCAGTCAGTTTGTACTAGACTATGAATGCTGCCAAGGTGATAACAGCTGGTTGTTTTTCTCTAGCTACCCGAAATGTTGCAGCGGCATTCTACCAGCAGCAAAAAAAGATCCTTCAGACACTTTGTTCTTCAGAACTTGGGCTTTCTCAGTGGTGGCGGCCTTATGCTCTGCATTGCTCTCTTTGAAGAAGATATCAGTGTCCGCATGAATGAGTAGGACATTTCCAAAGGAATTCCAAGCTGCAAGGCGAAATGCACTCCTGGCTCTGTTGTCAGTTATGACTGTCTTCTTCCTATAGCTGAAAAGGCAGCTGCAAAATCCTTTACTGTAATTGGGTAATCCAAGGAAGTTGAAGAGAACAAAAGAAAGTTTGGAAGAGTGACAAACTCTTTTGCCAACTGCCCCGAACCTGTGTTAATGGGTACGGTGGCAGTAAAACTTTGTGCCATGAAAATGTATGTCTGATTCAGCCTGCTTGACACTATAAAATAAAGCAGGTTGCTACTAAAATTGGCATGTTGAAAACCCATTATACTTTGTTAAATGGAAGAGCGGGCAAGTTGTCTTAGGAGAGAGTGGACCTAATTTAAATGTCTTGTTTTAACGTAACGTGAAATTATTTAAGAAAGTGTACCTATTCTAGGTAACCGGTTGGTTCTATTATGGTACCAGGTACTTATGGTTCCTACTGCATTTTGGTTAAATAATGGTTTCAAAAGCAGCAGTTATTCCAGGTTAGAAATTTGGGTCTTTAAAGACAAACACCCAGTTAAACCTGAGGCAGTATCCAAGAGGAGCTTGAGACTTGGTTTTCTGTGATGGGAAGAGAAGACTCCTGTAGGTGTGCGCATGGGATAAATATACAACAGAAAAGCTAGATAAGGGCTACCTTTTTCCAGGTACAAGAGGACGTTCAGACACCAACCCTGCATTAATGTCTCCTCTGAAGGAATCTAAGAAAGTCCCAGCAAAACAAGCAATAAAAGCACTTGCTAAAAGGGCAGGTGAAACTTGTCTTTAAATTTTATTTTTTCAGCAGCATTCATTGACACTACCGATAAGAATATCTGAAAAATGTTTCTGCTGGGGACACTTCACAATATGCTGTGCAAGGTTGCTGGAGGCAAGGGGGCAGAATTTCAATCTCTTAAATCAGGAAACTTCCAGTCTCCAGCACAAATTGTAAAGAACAAGATTTCGAAGATGTCAAGGAAGGGGCCAGCAGTGTCAGAATAAACAACTAAAAAAGGCAGGAAGGTAATACATGGGAAAAATCAGTTGAGGTACAAGTGGCCTATTTTAGAGAGGGGGAACTTTTCTGATAGCCACAGCCAGCACATTCTTAATGGCCTTCGGTTTGGGAGGACATCATATTCTAAAGCAGAGGTGGGGAACGCTGGGCCTTATATGATTTTTGGATTTCAACTCCCAGAATTCTGGGAGTTGCCTGGTTGGCTCAGGAATTCTGGGAGTTGAAGTCCACAAGTCATAAAAGGGCCAACGTTCTCCACCCTTGTAAATCTAAAGAGAAAGGCTCTGGAGTTATACCCAGGATACTGAAACAGGCAATCCCTCGGTATTTGTGCAGGATTAGTTTCTGTGCTGGTTGTCTTTCTTTCTGGGAATTCATAACTGGTGTGGAAATAAGCAATTGTTAAAAACACACACACCCCTGCTTATTTTCTGGTGACTTTTGGGTGTGTGTGGTGATGGTGGTGATGAAACTGAGCTGCCATCAACTTCAGCTTTACTGACCAGTCATTTGAATTCCAAGTAGGTTGTGTCTAGCAGGGCATGCAGTAGCCACATTAGTCATATAATTTTCTCATGTGTTTGTTCTATCGCTGTTTTAAGTTAGAGTAGTTTGCTGGTATATTACATTCTGAGATATGGTTATCACTTGAGTTGAATTCATTTCTCAAGTAGCAAAAATACTCCAATCCCCCCTCCTTTCACCCTATTCAAGGTATCTCTTAGCCCAAAGGTAAGTTACCTTTTAACTTAGAAGTAAACCACACACTGTACCTCTATAGAAATATCTTTAATCCATGCAGTTAAAACTGAGCTCCTGCATAGGATGGATTTTTAAAAAAATATTTCTGCACCTCAAGGTGATTAAATAGAATTGCCCTGTCTGGCTACAAGCCAACTGGTATAAAAGGATATTGATGTGGAAGGGGGGGTGGGGGAAGTGTTTTACAGATTGTAAAATTATCTGTGGTTTGAAAATGTTATTTTTGACTCGGATTATAAAATTACAGTCGTGTCATCAAGAATTCTCGCCTGTTATCTCTTGTATTTTTACCTACATTGTTGTATCTGGAGACAAGAAAAAAGCAAGGCAAATAGAAGCAACAGCATTTTAATCAACATAATTGATTCAAAGCCACAATATGAATAACAGGACCTGGTCGCAGCATACATTGTAGAAAATAGATCAAGTCTGAATGCTTTGTTTTTTTTTTTAATTTTAGTTTTAAGTTCCTGTTAACCCTTTTCCCCCCAACCTCCCCCTCCCCCAAGGTAATGCAGAAATTTTGAAAATGCATATATATCATCTGAGACAAAAAAAAAAAAAAGTTAACCATTCACTGAATTCATGTAAAGGGCTTATACAAGGTGGCTTCCACACTGTGCGCAAGACTGAGATGTGTAGAAAGGGGGGGATGGATGGCTTGTGATACCTCACTGCATTGTTATTCAATATGATTTTACATAAGATCTCTTTAACATAATGTTTTCATTTCATGGAACAACCAGGCTGGGGTCGGGGTGGGGAAGAAAAGGAAGAATAGTTGATGGTTGGTTTGATAGATCTGCCTTATCTAAGAATAAAACTCTTGAGGGAAACATAATTACTTTGTAAAAAAAAAAAAATATTGAAGGGACTGCTTCCAATGAAAAAACGAGGGCAAGGAGATCCATAAGAAAGGGAGATTGCCAATCAGTCTCAAAAGAGCAACACTCTGATTGCATATCAGGAACTTCCTTTGCATTGGGCTTAAAAGCAGACTTTGGGGAATGTGAACTGACCTTGGCAACTCCTGCCCTGTAACCAAACAACCCTCTTCTGAAACACTCAGAGTGAGCATTTGGGCATATATATATGTATATATATATATATATGTATTTGTGCTTTAAACCAGTGTTTGAAGGAAGATCATGTGTCTGCACGTAAGAAGGCAAGCCTGTGAGCTGATTTGAATGCTTATTTTTTTTTGTAATAATCTCTTCTAAACATTGGTCCAAGCTTTCCAAAACTAGCAAGATAAGGGGGCAAAGTTAAACTTCCCCACAATCATTATGGTTCCAAAGATACAAGCAATGGAGAAGGGTGATGCTTCATAGGCAGCACTTCCATTCTTGCTCCAATAACCAATCATTCATCCCCAAACCCAAAATATTACCATTCAAACAATACTCCCATCTTCACTCACCCATTACAACGTATACACACTCTCATACGTACGTATGCACGTGCACACACACACACACACACACACACACACACACACACACACACACAGAGGAATCAAATTTAAAAATATCTGCTTAACTAAACCATCCCAATTAAGGCCCCTGCCTCAGAGGAGGTCAACATGGTTGCATGCTGGTCTTGATCAGCAGGTTGTAGATTCAGTGCTCTGAAGGTGAAAACACAATATTTCCCAATCCCAATCTACCCTATTAAATACAAAAGACCAAATACAAAACAGGTACAGTAAATATGAGGTGCTGATTTAAGAACTGCCTTCCATTCCTCCTCCCAAATTAATGCTCACTAAAGTTTTTATGGGAAACAGAGATTTCCCATGCCATAGATTTCCCCTCCTTGCCTGGTGTTTTAAGATGTGAAGCATCTTAAGAGCAAGAAGGGGTTTTGTGTGCCCTGATTTGCTCAGGTTTTTTACTGTAAGAATTAGGTAAGATGACCCGTTCTTTCTCCATAGCCCAACCAAACTGTTGAAATATAGACTGACTTCCATATCAAGACACCTATCCTCTTTTTAATATAGTACAGGCATCTCTATCATCCTAGAGAGCTTTTCCACACTGGCAGGAGGAGAAGGACTGGGAGATAAAATATCCCAAAATATAAAATTTATGCAGATTAGAATTAATTCAGATCGCACCTAAAGTGGTAAAGGTAACAAAGGATGATTTTGTTTCAGAAAACTCTTGTCAGGGAAGCTCACTTCCCGGAGTTCTTTCCAGAACGAAATGTTTTATTTATCAGAGGGACCCTAAAACTCTTAATTTTAAATATGAAAGAAATAAAACAAGATTTGACTTTACCACTTTAGCCAATCTTAACACCACCTGTCATGAATATATATGAAGACTCTGCAGGCAAATACCCATGCACACAATGTGAAGTGCTTGCACAAAGGGCAAGCAATTTTAAAGGGAAATGCTAAGATCCATTCCTCTTCTCCAAATCAGTTTTTTTCAAACAGATTAAGTGGAAATCCTTGACCTGCTCTAGTCTGAATCTATAGCTCTGACTCCATATGCAGAGAGCTTAATCAAAGGAGGAGGAGAACAATTTTTATTGTAGAGCCAAGGGCTCCTCAAGTGTCCTGCATTCCGGCAGCTGGCTGTAACAGACAAAAAGGAAAAGAAAAAAGTCTAGTAAAACAACTTTTAAACTGGCGCAATTTCCCTCCCGGTTCCCTTAAGAACTGATGCTGAAGCGAAAATGAGAAGCACACTGGCCTCCATGCAATTAAGAGAAAATACTATGGTAATGTTAACCAAGGATTAAAAACCTTGCCTCAAATGTGCAGATAAAGCTAACAGAATGCTTAAACTGACGTGGTGTCAGAATATGCACTCTTCTCTGAATGCCTTTGGACCAAATGATTCAACATGGAAGACAAAAAGCCTTCCACTTATAAGCAGCAGTTACAGATTAAGCAGGGGGGAAAAAATACTGTAGGGTACCCCATCCCAGTACAGCCGAAGGGATGGGCAAGTTAAAATCCAGCACATCTAGCCAGCAGCAGTTGGAAAAGGCTGCTTTAGCGCTCTGTTTCCATTTTCAGTGGATGTGACAAGATTTCCTTTGACAGTATATTGTGGTTCTCCTAGCTATTATGGGCTACCTACGTTATAAGGTTTTTTTGGTCCCAGACTGAAATGCAAGAAACTGAGAAGTGCTCAGCGGCCAAGAAAAAGGAGCTAGGCAAAGGGGGTGTTTGAGTGAATTCGTATTTTAAGATTTTATATTATTTATACAAGGACCGTGTGTGTGTGTGTCTGTGTGTGTATGCCTGACCTGATCTTCTGCTGATTAAAACCACCCTGAAACAATTGCACCGTTATTTCCACAATCTGCTAAAAGTTAGCATCAACAGTTAAGATATCTTTATCAATCCTTAGAAGACAGGCTGGAAAATACATATGTGTATTCCCTCCCTCCCTAAAACAAGGAAAGTGTACAATGTGTGCAATGCCCTCACACTTTCCTCCCCGACTCTTGTTGCATACTTGCAGCTATGGCTGGGGAGAGGAGACAGAGTAAAGTGGGGGTGGGGGGTGGGTGAGAAGCACAGTTTGCGGCTCATGCAGACAGAATATATCATCTAAGTCACCCCTAACAAACACAATCACAAAATATTGGCTGCATCTACCTTACACAGACAACAAAAAAAAAAACACAATTAGGGTGCCCCCTTAAAAGGTACATACCATTTGTGCATCTCAGGGTAAAGAAACCAAGGGAGAAGGAAAGAACTGGTAAAAGCAACGAGGACAACTATGGGGAAGGTACAGTACATGAGAGATCAAAGGTCATCGAAGCTTTCAAGCAGAAAGCTCCCATTGGGGCTGAAAATCAGTGCTTATAAAGAATCTTATCACAATACTTAAAAATCCTTCTATTTATCATTATAATGCACCCTCCCCCCCCAATTCTTTTTTAAATAAAACAGAACACGAAACACCCAATAGTACAAACTATAAGAATGGACTACAAACCCTCAACACAGCAATCAGTTTTATTCTCCCTCCCCTTCTTCTATCCCCTTTATTGCTGCTCCCAAAGAAGAAATCTATTTCAAGCACAGGTAACTTTTTAAGTTGCCCGCAAGCTCACAGCCAACAAGTATTGCTATAAGACAAGCCCACAACTAGTAAAAAAAACCCAACCCAGCAGGTTGGCTGTTACAGGGGCGTGCGTTGCATCTGTCATGAACCCAATGGGAGGAAAAGAAAGCAACTCTTCCAGGTCTTCAAAGGAAAACCGCCCCGAGCTTCCAATTTCACCCCAGTTCATGACTTCCAAATTGCAGAGAAGGCATGACCAAGTAATTCAAAACAAACATGCAACAGGAATGCTAACAGTAATAATAGCTACGTCCACAGTTCTACTTCAAGAAAACAAAGGCAGGCACGCTCTAGTTAGATTGTCAACATGGTCTCCCTATCCTAGATTCAAAAATAGACTGCTGGGGGTGGGGGGTGGGGAGAAATTAAGGGCAATCTGCAGGTCTCATTGATGTAACTTATTCCCTCTGAGCAACATGCAGGACATACTGTTTTCTCGCACCTGAGTGGGTTTGAAAGTTCTAACATTCATATTAGACTTTAGGAAGTTGTGAATGTTGAGTCCCCTACCTTTTTTGGGGAGGCGGGAAATATGAGCTACTCTATACATCGCTCATCATAACATTAATTAAAGTAGAGGCTTAGATCTGAAATTTACACAAGATGGTAGTCTTCTCTCTATGTTGTTGCCCTCTGAATTTCTTGCGCCAACTCTCTAATTTCTGGTCTGTGGGCCAATGGCCACACTGGGTGAGGGTGATGAACGCTGGCACCCAGAATATCTGGAAGATGCTAAGATGGGACTTGGGTAAGTAGTAGTGGAAAAATAATATTATGAAGCTATTTTTTTGAGGGGTGCATTTGCATTCTTAGCATAAAAATAACTAAGCACATCTTAGCCAATCAGCACCAGTATAACATTTCTCCTGTCTTTTCTTAATTTGGAAGGTAAACAGTCTAAAGTCAGGTGTATAACTTAATTGTTTCTCACATATGAATGCAACTTGAGAGCTTTTGACAGATTCTTGTGAAAAGAACTAAGAATGAAACGTGCGAAAAGCTAAGAGTTCAAGCCACTTCCACTTATATAGTTGGAATACATATTTGCCTCAACACATTCTCAATAAATCATTGAAGTGGGTGTTCTTTTTCTATGCGAACATAGGTCTGAAAAGTGATAAGGACTGCTACTATGAGGATGCTACTATGAGTAGTAGTTTATAGGATTTATATCTAGAAAGTTGCATGGCTGTTTATAATTCTCATTTCTTTATTAAGCAAGCGCTTGGACACTTGCCTAGTTTTATTGCCGATTTCTTTTACTAATTAATCTACTACAGAAACACTACCCTGTTTGTACTTTATTCTATGAAGATGGATATTTAAGAAAAGCAAGAGGCGGCCCTATTCTCACCCCAAATTAGTTCAGCTTCAAAGGCCCAAGTGCTGAGGGGAAAAGGGCCAGGCCAGTAGTGGGTTGCTACCGGTTCACCACGGATCGGGAGAACCAGTAGCAGCGGGGGGAGGCTCCGCCCAGACATCTCTGGTGCACGCATCCACGAGCAAACCAGTAGCGACGGGATTTGAAACCCACTACCGGGCCAAGCCAGAGGTATATGACCAGTAATTCCCACTTTTCTACAATTCTTCAGCACAAAACTAGGTTCTACTTAGCCACTACTTCTGAAAAAAACACACACGTTTTTCTTGGACTTGTGGAAGGCCTAAGCTTGGTGCCAGAAAAGGAGAGGGTGACATCTCAGCTATAGCTTGCATCATCTTTTCCCATGTGAAAACCTAGCAGGTGGGGAAGGGCTGGTGGGGAAGGAGAGAAAGTCTACTTCTCAATTTCTGCTTGTAAATATAAACTTGTAAATATAAACTTCCACCTGTGTTTTGATAGAAGCCTGGAGGGCTCAAAGCTCTGGGACTGAAGTCTTGCATTGCAGCCCTGTTCCTATACATTGAAATCACTGGCAAATATTAGAAGTGAAAACAGATAACGGCAGTAATTGATAAAATGTATTAATTTGGGTGGACAGAAAGATTAATTTGTAAAATAAAATAGCACAAGAATTAAAAAATAAGAATGAAATTTAAGAATCCAGCATTAGGTTCGATACAGTGCTGCTTTAGTGGGAAAGGAAGCAAGATCCATTAGAAAGCCAAAAAGAATAACAGATATGGCAAATAACTTATGCCATTCCCTACTAACAGAAGAAACTGCTTGATTTTGGGGGGGGGAGGGGGGGAGAGGAGAAATTAAATGAAAAATCAGAAATTGCCACATACATATTTAGTGCAATTTTAAAAAGCTCTGAATCTATACAACATAGCATCAAATTACAGCAGGGCAGAAAGAAAACTACCCTAGCAAGAATTAACACACATTTTGTTTTAGTTCCGCTTTCCCAAAGCTGGTGTTCTCACCCCAGAAAAGTGGGATTATAAATCTCAAAACCAAACATACAAAGAATGGAGTCACCATACCCGCAACTAATTTTTAAGGTACTAGAGTAATATGTATGGACTGCAGAAACAGAAAGAAGGCAATGTTAGGTTTGAAGAAGCTAAATTAACGTCCTGCATCATCCCACTCCACCTGAGATCCAATATCCTCCAACTTTCACACGGACTAAGCTAGCATACTTCATAAGGCTTTATGACTAAGCATTGCTCACTTTAGGAAAGAAAACCCCAAGAGTTCCGTCACCTTGGTATACAAGAGAAAATTGAGAGAAGGGGAAATAAAAATAAATTCTAAATCGGATGCCTGCTTTTCTTTATGAGATGAAGGATAAGAGTTAAGTGAAGTTAGGCAAAAAAATGAGACGGGGGAGCCAATTTAGACTTCACACTTGAGAAGGACCTGACCCAACTACCATCATACTCCCCTTATACAGTGCAAATCCTTCCTACCAAAATGGGCTTTGTATGTAACCTATCAATGTTAAATTAGCCTTTTCACTACAAGGAAGATAGAAGAACATTGTAAGGTGCTTCTTCTCATAAGGTAAACAAGCTACATTCATGTCAGGTAGCTAAGGCGTCTGGAATGGTTAACATTTGTAAGAATATTCTTTCAATACAATATATGTTTCAATTTCTACTTTGAAATCTAGCTGCCTGGATTAACATTCTCCCTTTCTAAAAGAATCAGAAGTCAGTTTGATAGTGCCAAAAGAGTAATCTCAAGATAGAGGAAAAGCAGGGAAAGAAATTGGAGAAATGCCAGCAGGCTGCCTTTAAATGCATTTCCCTCAGTTTTACTCCTTCTCTACTCCAATGTCAGCAAGCCAGAGATGCTGATGTAACACCTAGGTTAACTGCAATTGCATTCCAGGAACTTCCTTTCACTATTATTTTTCCAAAACATTCAAGTAAGGACATGCATACAAAACTATCAGCAGCCATTTCAATAAATATCTTCAAGTGGACCAACGAAAAATGCCTTTTAAAATATTAATAACTGGCAACTAACACAATCCAATAATGCCCTAGTCACTTTTAGTCCATAAAGCTATGTTTCCAAATCTTACCTTCGACAATGATCTTTTCTGGTTCTCTCATTTTAAAAGCTAATTCCTTCACTGGCCTCTGTTTTTTGTCAGTATAAAAAGAGTTTATTTTGGTACACTGCGGGATTCTAAAAAGTGAGCCCAAACCACTCAATATTGTCTACAAGATGCCCAACACAATATGGAAGTCTTCTCTGTGTCAAACTCCAAGAACCCACAGTACCAATTTCCCCTTTGGTTTTGATCATTTATCTCCAACTTCTCATCTCTCTAAGTGTGCTCTGCTGATTAATGCCTCTATTTCCAATTTTGCTTAAGAGATCTTCAACCGATTAGTGCAAATTTCAGATACCAAATAAATTACCAGAATGTAAGAACCTAGGCTTGTTCTCAAGTCTGAAACATTTGTTTCTGTGAGGCCATTCCATTTATTTCCCCCCCCACTCCCCGAAATGCTACTTGCATTTCCTAAATTAAAGATGAACAATCAGAGGATTCCACGTTAAGAATGGTAAATTTAGAGGGGACAGCTGTACATTGGCAAACCCTAATTGTATCACCACAAAGAGGCAGGACTTGAAACTAACCTTTCTCTTTATCTTCATAATCAAGTTGACAGGAGGGATCCCAGATTTACAGTGCTGCAACCAAATGCCTGGGACAAAAATTACACAATAGATTCATATATCCACCGTGCAAGTCAAAGGACCAACTAGAGCAGGGCTGTCAAACTCGTGAGGCATCTGGCCTACGGGCTGCGAGTTTGACAGCCCTGAGGTAATTTCCACACTTCCAGTCATTTTTTGGCCTTTTCCCTACTGCTGATAGAAGCACAAAATGCAGGTGTATCTAAAATGTAGTAATTATTTATGCAGGCCAGACAGGATGCAACCCTACCTTGGAAAGCAGATAATCTGAACCATCTGCTGATGTATCTGTCCTTATTTTCCTCCCTAACCCCCCCCCCCCCCATATTCAATAACTAAATATGCTGTTAATCTGTACTGTCAGTACACCTGATGTCCAAATAGGTTGGAAATCTGGAAAACACTGGTTTCATGAGAAAAAAAAATACAATGTAAGGTTCTTTATGAAATCTCTCTTCTGGTCAGCATGAAAGGTAAGGGAATGGGAACAAATTCCCAAGTTTTTCAGAAGGCAAAGCAGGCACAAGCTGGTATAATCAAACCCCCCGCGCGTCATTCTTTTTAAAAAAAAATGCAGGGATTTTTCTACAAGCTGTGTGGCTGAAATTGCATACTAATTTTTTGTTTAGAAAAAAAGTTTACTGCCACTCACCGTGCACACGAGGCTCAGCTAGTTTTAAAGACTTCCATGCAATTCTGCTTTATTATATTCAAGTTGACAAACTAAGATAGGATTGGAATTAAAAGTAAGGCTATTTTTCTTTCTTTTCTTTTTCATCCCTTTTGTTTTTGCACCAAAAGTGAATTTGAAAAGATGCTCATCGCATACAGGTATACACACACACACACACACATACACACAGAGAAAAACTAACACACAAAAGGAGGAGAATAGTTTATACCTGACTGGAGATGAGGTCTGTCCTATCTTATTCAAAGAAATGTTTTTATGTGCATAATATACATCGGTGCAGCATTTACACATAGATCACGGAAAGAAAGACACTAAGAACTTGCTACAGATGCCTTACGGGAGACTTTAGAGATCTATCCCCCTCCCAACCCAGCCCAAAATATTTTCTACCTATCTGTAACATTAACAGCTTTTTCTTTGTCCCCCAAATTCATGATTCGAATGAAATCATTGCTTCAAAGTTCACAGAATCCCAACTGCAATTAACATTCCTCCTTGCTTCAGTGGGGAAAAATAATCTATATATCCCCATCTCTTCTTTAACATTGACTTTGTAGGAGTTAAGCGATGCTGAAGTCACATTTTTTCTCAAATGCTACATGCTTGATACTGAAGCACCCATTAAAAAAAAAAATCCACCAAGAGAAGGTTTAAAGTAATGAAACAATTCAAGGTTTTCACATTTACATTTCCAATACGGATGGTGGTTCTTCGCCCTTCCCCCCCCCACCACCATTTTCCTGCACATAAAAAATATGCTCAAGGCCAAGCTGAACTGAGCTTACAGGTTAAATAATTTGTTTTTAAAAAGCCAAGTATGCTATGAAAGATCACCGAATCTCTCTTCACCACTTTCCTAATCTTGTCATCTCTTTGGCACTATTGGGCAAATAGCTAATCAGAACGGAATCACACGACAATTTGACATGGAAAATGTTTTTGAGAAAAATACATGGAGTAATGAGGAGAGGGAAGGAAAGTTAAATATGGGATATATAAATATACTTTCCAAGACTCAGCAAGGAGAGGAGGGAAGGTTACTTGCTTGGATATTTGTTTTAATGACTGATTATTATTATTTTTTAAAAGAAGAAGATTGCTCACATTAAGGTTCATAGCTATGCCAGAATACCTTATACTGGCTGGAGTTTAAAAATTCCTATCATTAGAGGAATCTTTCCACCCCAATTTGCCTACCTGCAAAGTATTCTGTCCTTGGATCAACTATCACGTTCCTACCAGAAGGAAGCCAAAATGTTTGGATCTAGCTCTCAATACAAAGTGAGCATTAGCCCTAAAGGAGATTCAAAGTCTCTTGCACATTTAGTCTGTACAGAAGCTGGCCAGAGACAGGCCCCTTTGGTAATCCACTGCACCGAACCAAGAAACCAGACTAGATAATATACAAGGGTTGTGGGTGCTAATCTACAAATCATTTTCAGGGACACAGATTCCAATCCTATAAGTTCATTTTTTACATTACAACTCTTTAGGAATATTAGAGGGGGATTTTGAACTCCTTGGGCAAGGGTGGGGGATAGAGGGCAAAGAAAATGTAGAAGTAATGAACAATAGCAATGCTACAAATGGGTTTTCTTAAGCTCCAGCAACCTCTGGGGAAAAGTAAACAAAATAAAGTCATTTTTAGAAAAAAAGGAACAGCATCATTTTATCAGGATCTATTATTTTAAATTCGCTGAAGTGCCCACTTAGGAATATATGATCAATTTATCGCTTCTCAGTACTTGCCCACTACAAGGACATTTACATTCAGTGTTTGTCAATAGTTATATGGCTCAGCTGGGCTCCCAGCGGAAGGCCCATTTATCTAACAATGGCAGTGCAAATACACTTGTCAAGCTGAAATGTATTTGTGCTGTTTATTTTTTTAAAACACAACTTCCCTTTGTTCTAATTCTCTGAACCCTAGAACCATGACTCTAGAGCCCTGAAGTAAATTAAAAAGAATTCTCCACCCACCTCCCACCCAACATAGACTAAAGAATTAAAAAAAAAAAAAGTGGGGGGAGGGACAAAAAGGAAAATAGGCTTTTCCTGATCCCGTATTCCCTTGCTGGCCTTTCTCCTATAGGTTGCTATAAAAGGGGGAATCAGACCCTCATGCTTTTAAACAAAAGTGCTTTTTTTTTTTTAACTTGTAAAGCAAGTGCTTCGGAGAAAGGTGGTTGGAGAAAAACTTCCTTATTTGGATTGGTTAAGAAGGGAAGCCCCATGATTGCTTTTTGAGACAAGTGAAAAGGAAAGGAAAAAAAAAACAAAAAACCATCATCCAGAAATATTATGAGCAGGGTCTTCTAAGATGCAAAGAAGGATGCACGGTTAAAATAGATTTTATGCCATTCCTAAGGAAGATGGCAACAGGAAGAAGCTGCAAGCCAAGATCCTCTTCTGCCCCCACTCCCCGTTTTCTCCCAACCCTGTGTAAAATACTGCACATCAGGAAGTCAAATGTGCTTGCAGAATACTGGAGGGAAGGGGTGGTGGGAGAAAAGAGAGGAAGTAAAAAAGGAAGTTTGCCTCCAGCCCTCTTTTACAATGCACCAGGGAAAACCAACTCTCATCTTAGCACAATAATGCAAGTTATTACCACCAGACATTTGAATTATTACTTAAAACTGTCAAGCTGTGCTGTCAAAATGTACATGTTACAGCATTAAAGGAGAACAAGACTGGCAACTAAAATAGAGCTGGCCACATTTCTTTACACCCAACCCAACTGCTGCCTCCATTTCTTTGTTTTTTTAAAAAAGCAACAAAATATATTAATTTAGATATGCGCTGCTGGAATTGTTTCCACTCCATTTTTTTTTCTTCGTCATCATTTTAAAGGAAAAGGAAAAAGTTAAATGGAACACTAGAAATATAATAATGTGCGATGCTACAGAGCTAAGTACGCTGAAGCCCTTAAAAAGATCACATTGATTGTCATATCTTCCATTTTTAGGATGAAATGTAAGAAAGGGAATGCCTTGGGGTTTTTTTGTTTTTTTGTGTGGCAAGAATGCAATTAAAAAGACGATCCTGCCTGATTACTTTTCATCAATTCAGCAAAAGAAGTCCTGCACAAACCCATGATAGTTCTAATATAAGGAGGTAACGTAAGAAATAAAATTGATGCCAGCCCAATTCATCTGGCAGTAGGGTTAGAAAATTCCCTTATTCTAAAACTTATCTCAGAATGCTGATTGTATCTCAGCTTCTGCCCCTTCCTTCAAATTTCATTCCTGCTTTTTTAAAAACAAAAAAACTGATAAGGGAGCATCTCCGCTTTCTAAGGACTGTGGTCCATGGAACCTTCAACCTCCTTGGTTCAAGGTCTCTTGTAGAAATTGTCAACTATTCAAGCTATATTCATTCCCAAAAACTGTTACAGAAGCAACTACAATTCAATACATAGAAGTAAAAGGGGGAAAAAGGGGTTTTTTTCTCCTATAAGAACAAACTGTGCTAGGATTTCTCAATGAGTCCACATTCCTCCAGGCCACAAAGACATGGCTTGGGATGAATACAGACCTGTGGGACTTCAACTCCCAGAATTGGCTGAGGAATTCTGGGAGTTGAAGTCCACAAGTCTTAAAAGTTGCCAAGGTTGGACACCCCCCCCCCCCGGTTTAAACCATTGCACCTGTGGGAAGAGACAGAATTCCTGAAGGCCTCCTAGTTCTCAGCACTGCAAGAAACACTGGATCTCTCCCACCCATTTCCCTACAAATGTCTCAGTCCAGTTTCTGCCTTTAGAGGATTATTCATTTAGCCCTTGAAAAGAAATCAAACAATGACCAAGAGTGGCTTCAGACTTACTTTGGCCCTCCCAACTTATGTCCTCTTTGCCCTTCTTTGGGGGGGGGGCATAGAAAGGATTGCGCATAGAAGGCTTAAAATAAAATTAGGCAATTTGAAAGAATTGCTAGTACCTAATAAAATGTAAACAAGTGGTTTGTTTTTTGTTTTGTTTTGAGCTCTCCATCTACAGGATGCCGAAAAGGACCTTTCTCATCAAAAAATGGGGGACAGGGGAGAAGAGGAATCTTTAATTCAAGTTTTGTTCATTTCTATTCCAACAGTGAGGTATTTGGTGTAGAAAGGTTAACACTTTCTTTCAAGGTAGAGAATGTGGAGTAACCGAGGGCAGAGAAAAGTAACCCAACCATAGTGCAGTGAAAAACATTAATGGCCAATCTGCAACAGGCTGTCCGCTGTGCTTTTTTGGCAAGTGCATTGAAACTTTTAATACGCTCATTACCCGGCAGCTGCAAAAATGAAAAGATTTCTTAAGATTCCTTGGGCATCAAAGAAAGAAGAAACAGCTAAGCTAGTAGTGCCCTAGTCTCTGCAGAAGGCTTAGTCAAAGGACATTGTTAGGTTTGTTTAAAGACTAGAATTCACTACCTTTAAGGCCCCCATTTTTTTTAATTTTTTTTGCAATCTATCCATATGCAGGAAACAAACTAAATAATTTAGCAAATACTTAGAAGAACTGATCCCAAATGACGTGTAATAAATCTCTGAGACAAAGCCCATTTGGGGGGGGGGGAGGGGGAGGGAGGCTGGGTGTGAGGGGATGGGGCAGAAGAAGGATCCATAAAAAGAGAAGAAAAACAAAGTGATCATATCCTTTTAAAAAATGCACTGTTTGGCAAAGGGCAAGATAGTGGCTGTGTCATTTGGCTGTAGGAATTTGGCTTTGGTAAATTCAAACAGTGCCAAAAGGAAGGGATTTGTGTCTTGTCTACACTTATTATTTCATCATAATCTTTTCTCACTTCCCGATTCAACTCTCCTCTTTGAAAGATCTAGCCATTAGCCACACTCTCTTAAGTTTGCTGTTTCCTGATTCTTCTATTATTATTATTTTTTTGGAAAACCAGTCAATGCAAATAAATAAGGCTCTAGCAATTGCATTGGTGTCCACTCTGCATCATAAATCTGGTAATGAAAAGGCCAGAGCAGAGGAGGTATAGTTTGCCTGTCCATTTAAATTCTGGGTTTTAAATTCCTATACATTGTTCAAAGTGTAAAATGCACCATGATGCAAAAGAATTCAAGTCTACAGCTGGCTCATATATTCTCCTTAACAATCAAAGAGAGTCTGTAAGAAGATCACCTGGGGGGAAATAAAAACCAGTTTGTTTCCCAGGGTTACTAGCCTTAAAGCTTGCTGGTCCAAACACACTATGCCTTGGGATAATTCTTTCTGAAAATTCACATGTTCTGCTAAACGCAGTCCCAAGCCTACCACAGCTCTGCAGGACTGGGAAAGCGATGGAAAAGATTATTAGGTCATAAAGTTTTGCCCCAGCAGCTTTCATCTGATTGCTACATCCCAATCTTTGGCTTTGAACATACTTTGTGATATGGTAATCTTTTTTTTTGTTGTTGTTAGTTTCTACACATGATACAGTTTACAGTACAAAAAGAAAAACAGTGCACTCTCAAATGTGTAATAAATAGGAATTTTAAAATAAAAAATACGCACTCATACTAGCCCCACCCATGGATGGACGGACAGACAAATACACACACACCCTCTAATGAAATCTGCTGGATGTTATTCTAGTTGGAAAAATTATAAATACAAATGTAGGATTGTAAGATTCTGAAGTGCATTGTTCTCCTTGCAGAAAGCTTTTTTTTTTTCTTTTTGCTATTTTTCAAAAGATAAAATGCTTGCTTCTTTATAAATAACTTTTTTAGGCAACACTGACTTGTCTAATGGGAAACACTGCACAACACAGAGACAGGAGGGGGCAGGGGGAACCACACAAAAAAAAATCTCTTTGGGGACCTAACATTTTGCAACCCCGATAACCTTCCCTCTCCCCCACCACATAAAAAAACAAAAAAAACAAAAAACCAGCCTCCAAAAACAGAAGATCCCTAAAGTGCCTGATGTGGTTGGAATAATTCTGGCAGCGCATATACAAGTTTTTTGTTTTTTTTTTAAAAAGGAACCGCGTTGGTTGGCAACAGCATCCATGGTGCACGCAAGGGACTATGAGCTGCCTAAAGTATCAGAGTATCCAGGTACAGTAGTTCTCAGTTCAAGTGTTTTTCACTGGAATCAAAAAGGGCGAGCACAACAAACTAACAAACAAACAAAAGTTACCATACGGGAAGAAGCAATGATAGTGTCACTTTGCCAGCAGCTGCTGCCTTTCTTGGCGGTCCTTCATTGATCAACCTCCCTGTCCTCATTTCAAAATGCAAAACAAAAAGCAGCAGCAATTCAAGCTTCTGCTCCCTGCCTATACTGCTGGGTCCCTCGGAATTATTTTCACTCTGAGGGCACAGAGAAAATGATCCCAAATGATAAGGTGGCCTGCCAGAGGGGAAGTGTGGGAGACACAGTTAAGATGATCCAGATGATCAAATTCAGGCCCTTTGGCTGCTGCCACAACCCCATGCATGAAATAAATTTAATTGGCTCTTCACTCAAAGCAACAAGCCTTGAGGAATTGGACTGAAAAATGTGGGTCGCTTTAAAAACATTGAACTCAGAAGAACTGGGCAATACCCTTTGGCAAACAGCAAGGGAAAGAAGAATACAAGCAGATTATTTTTTTTTTTAAAGCTTCACAGAATAATTTTAAACAAAAGCGCCTTAAAAGGATGAATCTGTTCAAAAACCCACACTTCTTTTTGTTAATTTTGATAGCAAAAGAAATGCTAGTGGTCAAAGCAAGTATCTAGGTAGGATGCAGAAGCTGAGATCACTTTCTCTAGGGTTTTTTTTTCTTTCCTTTTTTTTTTTTGGTTCCTAGGACCTTTTGGAAGGCCCATTCCCAGTCTTGTTCTCCTTTAAAGTGTCCTATATTGATAGAATTCCTAAATAAATAGAAGAGATACTAGATCACCCATCATCGTTGTTTTTTTTTTTTAAGCTATTCCGAATAACAGCCATCTAAGCCGATGGCATTGTGCCTATCCTTGGTGTAGGGGCAGCTGTTCCCGTTGGGCAGGGAGCTGCAGGCGGCTGTCTTGGCAGCAATGCCGCAGTTCTTGAGGAGGTTGAAGCTGAAAGGGCTGATGGCGTCTTTAGGTGGAAAAGGCTTCATGGTGGAAAGGATAAGTGCCAGGCAGTCAGCAACGTCTTTGTTGGGGGCACAAGCCAAGGCTGGGGTATGGCCTGGAAAAGACAAGCAAATTCAGTTCCACAGAACAACAACAGCAACAACAACAATTAAAGCAAAGCCATTCCTGGGGAAAGGGGGCAAGCAGATTAGAAATTAAAGGGCCGGTTTGGACTATTTCTTCAGAATTCCTTACATTAAATGTCGACTATATATTTTCAACAAAGCAGGTTTTTAAGATGACACTGTTTCTATTTCTTTCTCTCTCCCTTTTTTAAAGCAACCTGCTTAAAATTCAGGAGACAGCCATTAAGGCTAAGAGGTACTGATAGTCCTTGACTTATCACCTGAAAGTTCACTTAACAATGGCCTCAGGAAAGGTACTTTACAGCTTGTAAAGTACATCGGACCATTGCAAAATCTCTCTCTTTCTGTCTCTCACCCACACACAGGTCATGTGATTGCAATTTGGATGCTTGGCAACCTATTCCCTTATGACCAGTTGCCAAGCACCCTGCAATCATGTGATCACAATGTGCAATCTTCTCTGCTGCCTTCCCTAGAAAGTCAATGGGGAAGTCAGCAGGAAAGGTTGCATGCCGCTGGCTGCCACTTGCTGACAAGACTCCTTCTTGTCTCTGGGGGGCTGGCTGAAAGAGCTCCCTACTGAAAGCCAAGCAGACACAGAGCTGAAACTCTTCAGGAGGGAGCTCTTTCAGCCAGTCCCCAGGGATAAGAGATTCTTAGTGGAGCTTCTTAGTGGAGCGGCAGTGTGGTAATATAAGGAATGTGGGGTGCTTCAGGGGGATGTGGGAGGCCCAGCATAGATCACACACAAGTGTCTCTCCAACCTATAGGCTGAAAATGCTGCTTGGGTTTTGGCAGGTAGGATTTTCAGCTCTTAAGAGGACAGATCCTCTGCCAGGTCTCCCAGTGTCTGTCCGTCTGCCCCAGGCACTCCATACTCCCTACCTGGGACTCCATCCTCTTAATGAATGAGACTGCTCAACAGCTACAATTGGACTGCCAGACTGCAGTCGCTAAGTGAAGCAGTCATGTGACATCTCACTTAATGACTACTTTGTTCAATAACTAAGATTCTGTTCCCAATTGTAACTTCAGGACTTCTTGCTCTGAGAGCCATGAATCTGCTTCATCCCCTTTCAAACAATCTAAGTGGAGCATCCACAAACTAACTCATGGCAACAAACACCACAGTTTAACCAAGTGCTGTGCAAATCATTTTTTACTTCTCAGAAATCTTCTTGTCCTTAACACCAGTCACTGAGTTTCATTTTTGTGGGGTATATAAGAAAACCCTCTCTATATCCACATTTTTATAATATGCAGGTCTTCATATTGACTTTGGGAGGCATAATATACTAAAAATAGATAAGAACAATCACTGGAAAAAATAACAAGTGTACGTAGCATTAGCAAAATAATCATTCTGTTACACAAACATTTCACCATGGGGCCCACCATCCACCTTAATCAAAAGGCTGGAGGAAAATCCAACTCTACAATATTATTTCTGAGGAATGTGAATCCCTGTACACAATAGTTCACAATGTTGCATTCTGTCTTGAGAGACAAAGAATTATTACACCAAACTCTCATAATTCTACTGGCAGTGAAGACTGGCATTTCTATGATAGTTACAACACATCTGGAGATTGGAAAGTTGCCTTTCCAATCTAAGACTTTCCAAGACTAAGATAGGTATTGCAGGAGTTGACCAGGCTGAGTCTGAGGAAGGGAGTCAAACGTGTTATCAGTCTCAAGTCCCTTCATGTCCAGAAGAGATCTAAGTCCAGCTCATCTTGAATTCTATTGACTCTTATCTGCCACCAATTTGCTTTGTTAGTAGTTCAGTTTCTTGTAGAGTTTTACCATATAATAAACATATGTATTCATTTGAACTGCCTGGGCTCTTGATTTCCTGCCTTGACCGGTATCTTTACTGCATCAAACTTTGTTGTCCGTCCCCCCCCCCCATACTAAACGAACTCTTGCCTTGAGCTTCCAGATGTGAATGATGCATACCTTCTTCATCCACAGCAAGCACAGTGGCACCTCTGCTCAGCAGAGCCTGGACAACAGAGGCCAATCCGTTTCGAGCTGCAATATGGAGTGGCCTGTGTGCAGTGGGAAGAGAAAGGATGGTTATGCTATTGGCCAAATTCAAGAGGAGGACTCTTGCACCCCAATCTCACTTCACTGCTCTCCTCCTAGCAAAGAGGAACATTTAATATTTACTTGGATTCTCAAATTCCACCACCACTGCACTAACAGGGCCTTCTCCACAGCTCACTTTCGTGTGCCCTCAAAAATATATACGCCATATCATCATCATCATCATCATCATCTTAGCCATGGTCTAATCCATTGCAGGATGAAGGCCTTTTCTGCATGTTTCCAACCTATATGGTCCTGAGCTTTCTTTTGCCAATAGGGCTCGCGATATTTGCTGATATTGTCAATCCATCTTGTTTTAAGTCTCTTTCATGCACATATACAGTATCATGTAGCAACTAGAAAATTTGGCCCTGGAAGGATTTGTGAAGGGAAAAAATGGCTCAGAAAAACTGTGTACTTTGGGGCTCAATGGTTTAACAGCTGCCCTCATCCTGCTCTACATATATGGGGCTTCACTGCAACTCTTGTCAGCCTAAGGATCGAGGTGTGAGCCACCCAGGATTGTTTAAGATGGGTGGCCACACAAATCTTTTTAAAGAAATAGAAACAAGTAAATAAGTTTCTAACTTCTTCCCATCCTGCTGCTTATGAGGGTGGTGTGAGAATGTGAATGAATGGGACACATGAGTTGGGGAATACTTCCTGTTCTTGGAAGACATGGGGAAAGCCAGGAGGTTTCTGAAGGATTGGAAGAATGGGAAGGACAGCTTGGAGAATGGTGTGGTGGGGCTTGAGCTGGCATTTCTCAGTGGCAGCAGCAGGGCTGGGGCTAAAGTAGAGGCCTGGGGATGGGAGCAGCTGGCTGAGACTGCTGAAAGCCTCCCAGCCCTGCTGCTGCTGAGTGCCACTGTGCATGGTGACCGAAAGAGCACTGTGACACACAATGCTCTTTTGGTGGTTTGTGGGCGTTCATCTTTTAACTTGTTTTTTTTTTTTTTTAAATTCTGTTCTTATTTTGTTCTTCACTCTGTTTTTGCTTTTAACAATGTCTCTTTTATATGGTTTTACGACTTGTGTATCTGTAAACTGCCCAGACTCATTTGAAAAGCGAAATGGGCAATGACTAAGTTTGATGAATAAATAAAATAATTTGGGGAGGGGAGATAAAAATACACTGCAGTTTTAAGTACGTGCTACAAAATATCTACACTTTGATTATGTGATTGTGTGTGTGTGTGTACGTGTGTGTGTGTGTGTGTACGCATGTGTGTGTGTGTACGCATGTGTGAGTGCATGCTGCAATGGATGACTTTGGGCACAGATCCTAAGTCCATTTTTTCATCACCATGGTAATTTCAAATAGTTGCTGAATGACGGTTGCAAGTCAAGGATTACTTGTATGTTGGAGGACTATATGCATCCTGCACCTGTGGGTCCAACATCCCTGCTACAGACAGTACAATTGACATTTAATCATAGGGATAGCAACATTTTGTCCTTTCTCCAGATCTTGTCTGTTAATGCAGAAACACAAAGTTGACAAAAGTGGAAATAATTTACCCTGCACCTCCATTCTCATTTAATTCTCTGTGGCATAATTCAACTCTATAATTTCATCCAGAAGTACCTGTGTTTCCCCAAAAATAAGACCCAGTCTTATATATATATATTTTGCCACCAAAAAAAGGCACCAGGTCTTATTTTCGGGGATGTCTTCTACTGACTCACCTTGCACCAACAGCCCCGAGCGCTTCAATTTGGATCTCTTTTATCAGCTCCAGAGGCCTTTCCTAAAGGCTTCTGACAGCGAAACGGAGGCTGGGGGCGACACGTGCAAACGGCTGCAGAAGTGGGCCAGCAAGGCGAGGCAGGTGTCGGGGTATGCGAGGCCTGGCTGCAACTGTCTGAAGGTAAGCAGTTCCACAACCCCCCACCCCCATCCCCACTTGATTTTTACCCATGCGCCTTGCCCCACCCGGTGCAACCAGGTGCAACAGAATCGGCAGGTCTTAACTAGGACTTATTTTGGGGGTGGGGCTTATATTGGGCACATGTGTAAAAATCAAGCTAGGTCTTATTTTTGGGATAGGTTTTTGGGAAAACACAGTATTTCCCTTCTCCATCCTGCATTAAGCAGCAAGACTCTGCACTGGATTAAGTCTATTAAACAGAATTTTCAATATGACTTATTACCTCAGAGATACTTTTCCAAAATGTTAAATATCAGAATCAAAAGTATCCTATGTCTCTGCCAAAAAGGAGTTTCTAAATGGACATGTTTTTTGGACTTTGACCTGTGAAATCAACCTCTAATAAATTAAGATCTTTAAGCTAGACATAGTCAAAATTTCTTCCCAAATACAAAAAGGGTTTTCTTCCCGCATTAGAATCAGCAAAGAAGACGCTTTTCCTGACTCATTTTTAGTAATATTTGATAAAAAACAAAGTGAAGGAAAACATTTGCTAGTTTCCATAGGCTGTGTGAGTACTTACATCTGTAGAGCACTGTTTGTTGCATTGATAAGGCCAAGGTCTTGGGTTTCCCCCAGAATCAACAAGGCACACTTTTCATGACCCTGGAAAGAAACGATAAAAGAAGTTCGAAATTGCACTCAGCTCTGCAGTTTAATTCTGATAAGAAATATGACACGGGTTTCTTATCATGGTCTTTTCATGCAAGTGTATGTGCTTTGCCACAACAGGCTACAATAAAGTCAGCTTGGATATAAAGGACAGAATTAACATGGAACAGGAATATGTAAGCCCCAGTAGGGCTTTAAGCAATGGTTTGGAGAGAGGGGGTTAAAGTATGACAAAGGAGCTGGAAAATATTGTATGCTCATGGATTGTTTCTATTTGAAATTATGCTGCACTGTCTCCTAGTGGGAGAAAATGAAGATTACATTTGCTCTATTATTAGTGTGAGTTCCTCAATAAAACAGGAAACCACCAATACTGCCCGTCTATCAATAAAAGGGTTTTCTCAAGGATTTACCATTCACTGGGCAGATTTCTGGCCTTCAGTTATCATTCAATTGCAACCATAAAAATCATTCCTGGATAACTTTTCCGAAAGAATGGAAAACTTATATGGAATTTTTGCTGAAAGAAGAAACAAAATGATTTATGGGTTTGAAGGATTTTTTAAAAGGAAGGATCCTTAAATGAGGGGGTGATGAGACTTGTATAAAATAAGATCTAAGAGAGAGGGGGATTGTAAGATTATAATTATATACTGAAAAGATCAAAAGTCATAATTTTAAGTAGTTTCATTTTTTTTTAATGCCTGCATTCATATATTCATTCATTCTGTAGAAAAAGTGAGATTATAGATGGCTCTGCAAAAAACCAGAGCTCATAATCACAGCAATGAATGAAGAGCCAGTGAGTAGACCAATTCTTCAAATTTCTCTGCACAAAGAGAGATCACCCAAAAATACTTCAGCGGTTGCTCCTTGCAAGAAGACTACAGCCTCCAATGGGTTTTAAGCACTGGGAAACAAGGGAATAGTGATCTTGCTGAAACCTTGGACGGCAGCTTTAAAAGGACATTAAGTTTCTTTTCTAATCACATCTAGAAATTGTTTATTAACTACCTTTCAGCTGTTAGAAACCTTTGGAGAGACAAGTCTGAAAATACTGGATGAATGTACCTTCAATCCTTAATTTTTAAAAAATCTACAAACTTAACAACTTAAAAAAATAAAGAGCAAAAAGTTAATTAAGACTGATTTTAGAAAGTTATAAATGGTTCCAGATAAATTTGAAATAAGATTTTTGGAATTACTTATGAAGACTTCTTTCCATAGGAAAGTCAAATTGTTTTAAAAACATTTTAAGTAAGGTAAGCTTTTAAAATCCGGATACTAAATTTTTCAATTAAAGGATAAGAACACATAAACTTGACAAATAGTTACAGAATGGTGCAAAATTTTCTAACATTGGAAATATTAAAGGGCATTTTTGAAAAGCAGAGTCAGAGATTAATATTAACAATGTGAACAGCAATATCTGCCTCTAGGGATAGACTGGGTCTAAAGGATAAAGAGGAATAAGTTTTACCTCACAAAACAGAATGAGCTGAATGTGGATTTACAAATGACAGGTTACAAGAGTGACATGGAAAAAGACGTTATACTGGACATATAGAAGAGATTGATTGTTTTAATAGTTAAAAGGGACATACAAACAATAAAATAAAAGAGTAACCTGGATAATTTTTCTACATTGGACTTACAAAAGAATCGTAATAAAGTTTTGAAGAAACTCATGAGAAGAGACAAAAAAGAAATGAAATCAAATTCTATGGCATTATCTGAATGGATTAAAGATTGTTAGAAGTAAAAGAAAAGAATATAAAGTTTATTTATTTGTTATTTTTAGTAACCCTTCATGGACTTTTGCTGACACCATGACTGAAATTACAATGTTTTATGGATTTGTTTATAAAGAAATGGGGTGTGGCAAAAAAGAGATTATTTGTTGTGATTTAAAAGAAGGTGAAAACATACTAAAATTGTTTGCACTTGTGATGAAGGTTTGTAGTCACTTCTATTTCTTTACTATCTTTTTTCTTTTTTCCCTTTGCATGTTTTATTCTTTCTATGTTTATACTTTTCTTTTACTTGCATTAGTTTTTACTATTGCAATTAAAATTGAAAAAGTCATTATAATTCATAATCTTCCTTCCTTCCTCCCCCCACCTCCCTTGTCTTTTACTCTGTAAATTCTTAATAAACCTTATTTTTTTAAAAAAAATTCAATATTTTTTTTAACTCTAGTGGTTCGTTTCTCTTCTTCCCAATAAAAATCAAATTACATAAACTCATTATTTAGAAATAAAGTCATTTAATCACATTTGGCACCACTTTCATCATAATCTTCCAATTTTACATATTAAAATTCTACAGAAAATAGTCCCCCCCAAAAAATCAATTTTATAGGTCCCATTTTTGGACATTGTACCTTACTGCAGGCCAGGTGAAGAGCTGTGTTCTTGTTGACATCCAGCACAGTTAGATCTGCTTTTGCTCTGTACAGCAGGAACTCTGAAAATTGTGAAAAGTCAACATGAAAAATTGTGTCTATACTTATTTAAAAGATAAGCCATTCATCCCAAAGACATAGAAGCCAACTTCCAACATTAAAATGGCAAATGAGGAAAATGAAAATGAAAAAGCAGGGCAGCTTAATCCAAAAATCAAGACAGGTAACTTCTATACCACTAGATTGATGTCACCGTCCTCTTCTGGAATAATTTGGCTTTTGCCAGAAGGGGAATCATGTTGGAGAAGACATTTCAAAATTCCAGCATCAAGGCAGAAAGGTCAACCAGAAAGCAAAGGAACTGAAGTTGAACTCTGTATCTCAAGATACAGAGAGCCAATGCACTGGCTTGTGACATTTCTTTTTGCTCTTATCTTTTTATGGGGCAATACACTTCACCCTCAAATAACATTAAACCATTCCTCAGTTCTAACCTTTACATGTTACAAAATGTGATGGAGGAAGGCTTCATAATGGTTGTCTCAAAGGTGCTTTTTCAAAAGGCAACTGGACTATAGTTTTTTCCCTTGAGGAGGAGGAAGAAGACATTTTGCTTCTCATCCAAGACATAGTCCAGCTGCCTTTTGAAAAGCGCCTTTGAGACAACCATGACCTGGATGACTGAGAATCTCCACAGACCTTCATAATGGTAATATGCCTGAAACCTGTTTGCGAATGATTTGCATAATTAGGTCACTCCAAAATTGCAAAGAGATAGTTTAAGATATTTCTTAAGAATAACTAGGAGCGGACTTTAAGCAGCAGTTAGCTCTTCTGCTCTCAACCCCCCTCTAGGTTGGAAGGAATCCTGCACTCAAATAACCAGAGACCCTTCAGCTGGCCTTCTTGCTTCCTCCTGCAAGCCAAAGCAGGCTTGGGTCTACAGCAGCGGTCCCCAATCTTTCTGGCCTTGTGGACCGGCACTGGCGGTGGGGAACGAAGAGGGAATGGTTCCATGCAAGCAGTGGGTGAGTGCACTCATGCTTGCAGATCCATTTGCACAAGTAATGGGCATTCAAGTGGAGCTGTGCATGTTTGCACATTTGCCCGCTTGCCAAACCTGGTTTCGAATGGGCCACAGCCTGATGGTTGGGGACACCTGGTCTAGAGTGAGGCAAAGTGTAGCTATTCATATTATGTCACAGATGCTGGAAGAAAGCAGCATATTGTTGCTATTTCTGGATGATGGGGAAAAAATTGATCTCAGGCACAAAAATATCATGCAAAATTCATGGAAGTGCTCACATGAGCACAAGTATTGCTCCTAATTCCTCCCTAGGATGATGATAGACAGAAAGAAGACTACCCATCAGTAGACTAAGAAGGAAAACGTAATTTGAAAATAACTACAGAAAGCTATTCTCCAAACCAACAAAATATCTACAATATTTACATCTTTACAAAACAAACTAGTCAAATGTCTATGGAGATTCTCAGTCATCCAGGTCATGGTTGCCCCAAAGGTGCTTTTTCAAGAGGCAACTGGACTTTCTGGTTTCTCTTTGACGATGTTTTGCTTCTCATCCAAGAAGCTTCTTCAGCTCAGTATGAGCTGGATGAGGAGCGAAACATCGTCAAAGAGAAACCATAAAGTTCAGATGTCTCTTGAAAAACCACCTTTGGCACCTTCTGATGTATTATCAGAAATGAGCTTAGCAGGAAACTGAACCAGACAGTATCAGATCTATGCTGGACCAAGAGAAGACTTCAGAGATACATGCCTAGTATTTTTATGGATTCTCTTAAGCTGATATGATAGGATGGTTGGAAAAAAAAAAAAAGAGAGAGAGAAGCATAAATACAGGAGATGCACCACTTACCAACTGCTGCTGTCTGGCCATTTTCAGCAGCCATCATAAGAGGGGTCCTCCCCAATTGGTCAGTTCCATCTACCTCAGCCTGGTGTTGCAAAAGCAATTGTAAACCATGGATGTTGTCTGCAAAGGCAGCAGCGTGAAGGGGGGTCCTTGGAAGAAGAGGAAAGATGATCTTGACATGCTTTCAAAAAGAACTCTATTTTTTAGATGTGAAAATATTTACAGACCCCTCGCATCCTGGACATAAATGGTTTCAATTTCTACCCTCATAACGACGCTATAGAGCACTGCACACCAAAACAACTAGACACAAGAACATTTTTTCCCTGAATGCCATCACTCTGCTAAACAAATAATTCCCTCAACACTTGCAAACACTTGCAAACTAAGTCTATATTACCTATTACTATTAGTCTTCTCATCGTTCCTATCACCCATCTCCTCCTACTTATGATTGTATGACTGTAACTTTGTTGCTTGTATCCTTACGATTTATATTGAAATTGTTTCCTAGTATGATTTGATTGCTTATTTGTACCCTATGACTATCCTTAAGTGTTGTACCTTATGATTCTTGACTAATGTATCTTGTCTTTTTATGTACACTAAGAGCATATGCACCAAAGACAAATTCCTTCTGTGTCCAATCACACTTGGCCAATAAAGAATTCAATTCTATTCAATTCAATTCCTATTCTGTATGCATAATTGCAAATTATACAGCATTGTTGTCATTTTTAAAATTTTTATTCTACATACTTTATTTATTTATTTTGGCATTTAAAAGACACATACACATTCCCACAATGTGTTTTGATATCATTCAATTTCTTTAGAAGCTCGGTAGTTTCTCACTGGATGATCTCTCAACTCTATTTTTAGAAGGCACGTAGTATCCACTGAAAGCAAACTTTCTGTGTATCTTCTATCTCTTGCCCAGTAGTGCATAGCAAAATCCAAATTAAAACTCACTCTCAATTGCCACACTTTAACGAAATTTAACTGAATACTGATTAAAGAGGTAGAAAAACAAGAATAGGAATAAATGGCAGGACATAAATTTGTTTACTATAGATTACCACATTGCTATTGACAGCAAACACGTATTTCCTATAATAAATGCACACACAGACACACATATTAAGAAACTGATTGTAAACTTGAAGGAAGATCCCTTGAACAACAATTAGTAGCAATAGTTTTTTTTAGCACTATCTGAAAGTGCAAAGCCAGGATTGGCAAATGAAATGCCTGCTGGACTCCCGATAATTGCCTGACTTCAACTTGTGACATTTCAGTAAACTAAGGGAGTGTAAAGGCAATCACACGGGATTTTGTGAGCAGGTCCAAGCCTGGAAAAAGTTAGCGATCCCTGCCACTCACATATAAGGACATTAGAGCATATCAGATCAAAATCCATTTGGCTAGCATTTGATACACACAATGGCAATTCAGAGTTAAGATGTCCTAGTAGGTGGAAGTTTAGGATTAGGTAATCTAATTGTATTATTAATATTAACAGTGTGTTAAAGTATATTGTGAACTTAAAACTTTTAAGGATTAGAAATTGTGGGGATTTTGAAATATATTCCCGGGATTGATTAAATTCTGTTAATATTTGGCTTTATTAGTAGCCCTAGACATTTAGGATATTGAAATTATGGTGGAATAATGAGTAATTTTCAAAATATTAGATATTAGTAACTTAGTAGGGGATAATAAATACATGGCTCAAAGAAATGGTATTTATGCTTAAATGAATTAATGGGAAAAATGATAAAGAATTATAAAGAGAGAATGGTATTGTTGAAGTTGGAAGATCAGGATTATGCATATTTATTTGTATTATTACTGTCAGCATTGTTTATAAAAGATTTGACCCAGTCAATACACTGTCCACAAAATATGTATGGTGTGTATATATTAAAAAAAAAAAAGATTTAAGCTGTCCTGAATCTCATATCGTACAACTTCATGGAGCCTGGGTATTTGCACTAGGTAAGACAGAAACTATAGGAGTTAAGACACCAAAATTCATGCTGCTGAATTTCTTTAGTCTCTTTGGTGTATCTTGAAGGGATAGCTCTCATTTCAAATGATGGTCCGATCAATGATACTGAGTAATATAACCGGCACGTTCACCAAGAACAGGAAGATACAATCACTTACCTTCCTTTGGCATCTCTGCTATTAACAATCTTGGCACCCAATGCTTCAACAAGCATCTCAGAGGTGCCATCCTGGTTGTTAATTCTGGAGAAGAAAGAAAGTGTGAGAAGCAAGCAAGCATTGATTGATTTTATTTATTTCAAACAAGTACAATGGCATTTCAAGACCTCTCTACTGAATCTGGGTTTCAGAGGTCCAAAACACACAGGGAAAATTCCCACCAGTGAAGATGCTCCAAATTTTGGACAATTCCTTCAAGTAAATTCCCTACCAACTTTAATGACTTGTTATCTTTCTTTTTGGGTGGAAAAAATAAGTAAAAGCTAAGCTGGAATAAGCTACCAGAGGGATCTGCTGTTTGGTCCTGCCCAGCAATTCCTTGTTGTGTAGGTTTTGGGAAGAAAACAATGCCAATATTTTGTTAGTGATGTGAAATAAGCATTCCTTCCATAGCTAAGTTGTAGGTTCCAAAATATAGGTAGTCCTCAACTAATTACTTCATTTAGGATCAGAATTTCCATTGCTATTGAAGGCAGCTGTTATAAGAGTCATACTCAAATTTTACAATCTATTTTCCACCACAGTTGTTATCACTGCAATTACTAAGTGAATCATGCAATTGTTAAGCGAGCCTGGCTTCCCCCAATTACGTTGCTTGTGGGGAAACCAGCCGGGAAGGTTGCAAATGGCAATTATATGACCCTTGGATGCGGCAACCATTGCAAAAAAATATGCCAGCAAGTGCCCAAATTTTGATCATGTGACTGTGAGGATGCTTCAATGGTCATAAGTGTGAGGACTGGTTGTAAGTCATTATTTTCGGCGCAGCTGTAACTTCAAACAATCACTAAATGAATGGTTGTAAGTCAAATACAGGTAGTTCTCAATTTACAGGATTTCATTTAGTGACTGAAGTTACAATGGCACTGAAAAATGTGATTTATGACGATTTTTCACTCTTATGATTCTTTCACCATCCTCATAGTCACATGATCAAAATTCAGATGCTTGGCAACTGGTTCCTATTTATGACGTTTGCAGTGTCCCGTGGGTCATGTGACCCCTTTTTGCCACCTTTTGACAAGCAAAGTCTACGGGGAAGCCAGATTCACCTAATAACCGTGTTACTAACTTAAGAGCTTCAGTGATTCACTTAACAACTGTGTCAAGGAAGGCCGTAAAATGGGGCAAAATTCACTTAACTGCCTCACTTAGCAACAAAAATGCACTGTCTGTATTTTTTTCTAATACTGAGTCCCCAGATGTGGTTGGACTAAAATTTCCAGCTTCTGGCTATGCTAGCTACTGGAATAGATTGGAACTGTAGCCAACAGCATATGGAGACCCAGGTTAGGAAATGTAAATAGCATTTCTACTGAATATAAAATTACAGAAAACACAGTAGGGCTATCATTAACAGGCAAGAAATCACTTATTTCCTAGAAAGCAAAGTGGTTAATTGTTCCCTTATCTTTTGTCTTCTTTTTTGGGCAAGTGCATTTCTTGCGATAGGTCTGGGCTGCATGTAATAGCTTTTTTTTTAAAAAAAAAGACTTCCAGTGTAATCCACTTGAGGCCGAGCTACTCATGGAAAAGAGAGCTAATATTCAGAGCTGGCATTTTGCTTTGCAGAAGTCATTCTGCTACCTGTAATTTTATAAAATCTTAAAAATTTAAGAGTCAGGTGAGGTACCAAGAAAGGTTATCTCTATACCCCTGGCATAAGGGTTATCCAAAGCAGGAATGCAGTTTTGAGTGATAGTTTCAAACTCTACTTGAAAAGCAAAATCCACATCTTGTTTTGCTTGGAATAGCTTATCTTAATGCATTTGCACAAACACACACTTCATCTCCATGGTCTGCCATGACTTACACTGCACAGTGCAATGGAGTAAAGGGGTTTCCTTCTAGGTATGCAAATGGATTGTGTTCAAGTAACAATTCAAGACAATCTTCATGCCCTGGAAAGAGAGAAGAGAATTTATTAGATCACCTTCTAATCCCATGGCATTTTTATAGGCAAAATCAAGGGTATGACAGGCAAAATCAATGTATGAGCTGTTTTTTAAACCTTTCAGATGTTTAGGCAGCTTTAACACAGGCTGAAATTGGAAGTTAATAGCCACTTTTTTGAGTCTTGATTTAAATGAGCCAGTCTGTAACACAAGCAGTGTTTGCGTATCATAACAGAAAAAAATGGCTTAATGAATTAAAAGTTTGAATGCAAGACATGCACGCAAACATACAGATTCTTTCATGAAGCACTGTTCCTTCTTCCACCTAAGCATTAAAATAATTAGGAATTTGACACTTCAACACCATTCAACTCAGAATTATAGTGAAGTGCTTCTAAATGGCTGGGTAGAATTAGAAGTCAGATTTTAATTGAAGTTTAGAGTTGATTTATGAGTCCTGGCTTCTTTGCAAGCATTTAGCTATACCGGTGGGTTTATTTAAATGACATTGAAATGGAAAAATCAAGATTGTTCGGTTTGTTCACACAGGGTAGTATGGGAGTCAGCTGCATGCCTCCCCCACCTTCTATATTAAGTCAAGATTTCTGCTTTAACATAATGTACAAATCCTGACAAAGAAAAGTTCAAAGAAAAGGTAAGATACCCTACAGAACAAAGCAAGAATTTCCTCCCGAACTGAAGGAAGGAAATACAAATTAATCAAAATCAGTACATGAATCCCATGATTTAATGCAAAAAATAAAGCTCCTGATCATAATAAAGCTACTACTGCTATTCCCTCACAGGTATGCTATGTTTTCAAAGAACCCATAGAGTTTCCAGAGATCTTTATCAAATGATCCACAATGAGAAATCAGTGATAGCAGATATGCTTGCCAGAAAGACAATTATCCACCACCACTGAATTCTCCTGCAATAAAACAGCTGAAAAGATCAGGGAACTGACGAGGGGCCGTTTTCCATTTTCGTCCACTAAAGGCAGTATGAACAAGATACAATCTTGAACAAGAGTGGATAAACTATTCCATCAGCCATATGTGACCCACAGGATTCCTTTTGGGCCTGAGAGCAGATTTTAAGTAGGATTTTTGGAAGGCTTTGGAGAGTTTTGGAACTCTCTATTTTGCCCACCAAAATCCCCCCTGTAGGCAGAAAATGTGGACACCAACCCTGCTGGCAATCTCCTATACAACACACAGCACCTGGGAATCCAATGAAATTAAACTGCACTTTCCAGCCATAAGATATTTGCCACAAGTAATCTAAAGGTTGCTCTTGGGGAGGCAAATCTCTACATTCTTACCACTGTATGAAGCCCAGTGCATTGGTGAATAGCCACTATAGTCCACTACAGAGTCCAGAGGGTCAGTAGAGAGCGCTGCCTGCAGCAAGGTCCTCAGGATTTCAGAATGCCCACACACCGAGGCAAAATGGATCGGGGTCCGGCCCTTGAAATCCCGACACAATACAAAGGCATCATGGTCCAGCAGTGCTGCAAGGCAGTCTTCACAGCCAGTAACAGCCTACAAAAAAAGGAACAGCAAGCAATGAAAAAAAAAACAAAAAACAAAGTAACTATCACAACTGGAAATAAGTCTTGCAAAGCAGGCACTCAAAATAATCTCTTTATTTAATAATAATTCCAAGTTGTTGTTTTAATCATTCGGTTCTATCTGACTCTTGGCAACTTTATAGGTAAGTGCTGTCCATGCTACCCTGTCAAGCATGGATTCTTTCAGTTGTTGGAAATTCATCTTTGTAACAGTGTTATCAAGCCAGCATGCTCTTTGCTTGCTCCTTCTCTTTGTTTCACTAACCATTCTTAGCATCATTAACGTCTCCAATGAATTTGCACTCATGACATGGTCAAAGGAAATCAGTCTTGTAATCCAAGTACCATGTAATAATAACAATAAATCTTACACTATAAATAATAGAAACTTTTATTTTCACATTAAAACTGATGCTGCTCAACTAGCATTTCTTTTGCCTAAATATTCCTTTCCAGCACAAGCATGTTTACAGTATTCATACAGGTAGTCCTTACTTAACAACCTTAACTGGGATTGGCAACTCCACCACTAAACAAAGCAATAGCTAAGTAGGAAATCACATGACCGCAACTGTGCTTCCTGGCAGGAAGGATTACTCTTGTTGTTTCACATAGTTGATTCTTGTTTGCTTCTAACCACCACCACCACCACCTTGCCGTTTGGAATGCCTGCTTCCAGTCTTGCACACATCAAAAGCAATGCGATTGTGCCACAGGCGAGGCTGGGAGCCATGGATGCTGTATGCAACCCACTCATACTCTTGAAATCTGCCATTGGGCTGAAGCAGGCCAAACGGCCAGATGGTCCGAGGGGTGATAGGGGCGCAGAAGTGGGACTGAGGACCCCCCAAAGTTGCAACCACTTCTATGGCACACAAACCCCCGTGATCTCCCGGAGCTGCAAACCTGGAACGTGTCAGAAATGTCAGCCATCAGTGAGGACCTATGCAGCCGCCCACAAGTGAGGCCGAAAAACAAAGCCCCCAAAGGCGCCGGCCGAAATTGGGCCAAAATGCGCCGCTTCGCTGTCTCTGCCTGTTGTTGCTGCTCCCAGATGCTTTCAAAATGGCGGCCGCGTCAACAATAACAAAATAGCAGCCGCCGTGATCCCAAAATGGCAGCTGCAACAACTAAGGTGGGAAACCAATGACTTAGGTATCTTCGGCCGATCGGGCCAGGCGCAAGGCAAACAGCCTCCTAAGCGCTGCGAAGCTCACACAGATATTAGAGTTTGCACGGAAACCCTGCAGGGACTCCGGAGCCGCCACTAAATGAGAGCTAAAAATAGTGGCGTGGGCGGGCAAGCCGGCGGATTGACAGCCTAGCGCCAGCACCGGCAGCTAAAGTGCCAATCACGGAGCCGCCCCAAGGGGACAGAATCTGGAGGCTGCTATCTTCGATGTGTGGGGAGGCGCGGAATGGTCTGGAGCCCCAGACATGTCACGCGTGCCTCAGCAGCTGGCCGTGATGTTCAGCTCTCTTCCGAAAACCAACTAATCAAAAATAAACAAACTTAAACTATACGAATATAAATTGCTAGGGAAAAGCAAGCACGAAGAAAAAAACACCAGTCTGTCAGCGACTGAGAGAAAAAGACTGGAGTGTAAGTGGACAAGGGGGCGTAGTTACAGCACGAAGAAAGACAGTTTTTTTTCTCTCAGTTTCTGTCAAGACATGAAGAATAAACCCAGCCATGGATTGTAGGAGCAGTGCACTGGAAAAAGGGAAGGCAAAAAAAAAAGCAAGCAATTTTGGTAGACCATCTCTCCTTTGCCTGACCCTTTTGTGACTGCCCTGCTTTTGATGGGTAGAAGTTTACTCTCTTGAAATCTGTTTTAAGAGATTTGTCTCCAATCTCTCTGCTCTGCAAGAAGGGAATAAAGGGAAAAAAAACACACAGGTCAGACACAGAACTACCTGCACTGACTATAATGGCAACTGCATGACTGAAGGATGCTGCAAAGGTTACAAATGGTAGCTGTGAAGCTATTTTTTTTCAGTAATGTTTTAACTTTGGTCACAGAACAAATGGTTGGGAAGTGAGGAATACCTGTAAAGTACACCAAATTCAAAGCACTCTCTGGAATCAATGGCAAGTGCGACAATTCAAAGATGAGGAACAGACGACAATCTACTCACTATGCTCCAATTGGCTTGAAGCGTGGAACACTTAAATGTTTAATTTTCTACATCCAAAACTACAAGACTTTCAGGACCTTGTTCCATCAATTCAATATAGAGCTATTCCTCCACTTACCCCTCGGTGCAGTGCAGTCCTGCCTCTTCTGTCTGCTGCATCCACTGTGGATCCTTTCTCTAGTAAGAGATGGACACAATCTACATGGCCATTCATGATTGCCAACATCAATGGGGTCCTGTGAGAAAATCGAGAATAGGTCAGCCACCTATTGATTTACTAATTTGGCTCATCCCTAATTTAGAAAATAAGCACTATCTTTATGAAGGGCAGGATGGACTGAGAATACCCCAGATGTTAAAATAAGAGGGAAACTCAAAAATAAAAAGTCTTTAATTCCAAGAAGTTTCTACAAAACTATTACAGTTTCATTAATCTGTTCTGATTACTTCTGAGGGCTGAAAAATGAGATTACGGTCATACTTAAAAAAAAGAAAAAAAATCTGAGGACTAGCAAACATCATGCCCGGGACTGTAATTCAGAAAGTGAGTAGCAGTAGGACTAAACTCAATTTGACTTCATATATTTAATTCTGATTAAAATGTAATTAAATACTATGGCTATGGTTACTCTCCCATTTTTAGTAGTCACATTAAAATTGTAAGAATTCTGAAAATTAAATCGAGCATTCTTATTCAATGTGTCAGGTAGGAAATCAAGGTCAAAAGGAGTTAGAGCTTCTAGGTGCTATTGCCAATTTTAGAAAAGAAGAAAAAGTAGCAGAAATGGAAAAGCCATTTGGGTGGAATATACTGAGAAAGCTTCTAGATGTAGCTTTGCACTAAAGAAAGCTTATTTCAGTGCATCTTCATCTATAGAAACAAGTTCGGTTCTCAGTTCTAAGGTTTTTTTCATTATAGATAGCAAGTAGAAGGAAAGAAGTTTGCATTTTAAAATGATTAGCAGAACGAACCAACCTCAAAACTCTAGAAAAAAAACAACAACTGCACATATTTGAATTCATTAGGACACCTTCTTGTGGATCAAACAGAGGGACATGGTTTAAGATTATCGCTATCATCTGCTCATATTATTTTCACTAAAATTTATTCTTCCCTGAGATTTTCAGAAAGCTAAATATTCCCTTTGGCCATTTTTTTAGCACCCTTCTGGTGCTCCAATACATTTAGTTTAGTACCCTGTACCCTCTCTTGAATCTTTTTGAAACGCTCTAAAAACAGAGGTTTAATTTCTACAATTTGGAGTTAGGCTTGGGGCCAGGCTTTAATGATGTTCTATTTCTAATTATATTTTATTTTATTTTTTTACTAAATAAGTAAAAAAGAAATATTTTAATTTATTCAGAATATTTTGTATGCCATCTGCTCCTTAAAGAAATACAATTTAAAATAAATTTTGTGAAAATGATTAAAACAACAAAATAGGATGTTTTAAAAATAATGAGAAAATAAAACTCATTAAAACTATTATTATTAAAAGGCCTAAATAAGCAAATGTAAGCTTTATTTAAGCAAATAAATTTAATAGTAAATTAATCATAAATAAACGGTAAAATGAAGAAGTCTGTCTTCAACTCTGCCAACAGTTTTTGCCGTAGCATATGGGCCCCATCATGGAGATAGAAAAATATATTCTAGAGATCTGATGTCCCTATGGGAGGATGCCCAAAAGCTGCCTGTGGATAATCATAGAGCGTTGAGCAGACTGTATAAGAAGAGGCAGCCATATCAATTTTTTGGTCTTTGACCACATAAAACATACACCCTTGCAGAAACTTTGAATTAATTATCGGAAATTGTGAAATTGTTTGAATATGGAGGCATCATTCACTACCTGTGCTTTGTATCCTGGGCCAGATGAAATTTCTTGAATAGCTTGAAGGGTTGCTCCATAAAAAGCATATCATCATAATAATGAACCACTGGGGTTTCATAAGCACATAAATCACCAAAGCCATCTGTCTCCCTTCTAAGAAAGGGAATTTACTAGCAGAAGTATTTTTTAAAAAATCTTCTCCTTTTCACTGATGCTTCTCGACTCCCCAAATTCAATGCTGGATCTAGAAGACTTGCCAACTGCAAACCAAATCTTTAAGGGGAAATGTATTTCAAGGGTTTCTCCTCAATGTAGAAGCTCACTCCTAAATGAGTAAGAACTCTCTTGTCTGTACTGAGGTTCAGCTGGCTCTCCGGCCCTTTATTGCCCAGACGCATTCAGAGCCCAGCTGGCAGTACATGCAGCCCTGCTTCAGATTTGTACAGTAAACTGGAATTTGTAAGGAACAAGCCCATTCCTGTTTGCCATTGGAATGACTTATAGGCCAAATAAACACACACACACACACACACACACACACACACAGATACATATACATATTTTCGGAGTATAAGAAGCACCTTAGTTTTTGGGGAGGAGAAAAAAAAAAAAAGCTGATTGGCAGGTGGATCGGCCTCCCGGAATAAAAAAAGCTCTGTTTGGGGGCTTCTTTTCTGAAGCTTCGGTCCTGATGCTTTTTTCAGCCTCTGAAACCTCTATTTGAGAAGCTGGGGGGGGGGGGGGGGGGGCTACATTCGGAGTATAAGACGCACCCAGATTTTCACCCTCTTTTTGGGGGGAAAAAGGTGCGTCTTATAGTCCAAAAAATACGGTAAATAGCTGGAGACTTACTGTCCATGGATGTCCATGACATCAGTGATGTCGACTCTCTCCCCACTATCAATGAGAAGATGCAGGGAATCTGTGTTCCCATAGGCAGCTGTAAGAAATAAAATGAGACTGTAATGAACAGGATTTCCCTGCTTCTTAATAACTGTCGTTTCTTTAAAGACCTGGTGGAGGCCCCCCCCCCAAGTCTGATTTGCAAGAGCAACCAAGAGAAAGAATCCCAGCATCTCCACAGGAAATAAGCCGTGCTCATACCAGCAGCATGGAGGGGTGTCCACTTCTTCTTTTTCTCCTTCACAAGAGCAGAAGCACCATGGCTGGTGAGCACCTCCACGCACTCCGTAGAGCCCCTCTCCGTGGCAAGATACAAAGCCGTCCGCCCTTTGTGGTCCCGCACATCCAGGTTCACCAGGGTTTCGGCAAGCGTCTTCAGGGCTTCACAGTGACCATTATAGGCCTGAAAGCACATCCACAGACAGGCTGATTTAGGGAGGCTATAGATCAGAGGTCTTCAAACTTGGCAGCTTTAAGACGTGTGGACTTCAACTCCCAGAATTCTCCAGCCAGCTATGCTGGAGTCTTAAAGCTGCCAAGTTTAAAGACCTTTGCTATAGATCAAGAGGGATTTAATGTAAACGATGCAGACTTATAGCTTAGGTCCACTTTCCTCACTGAATCCAATGTAACATTGGCATTCAAATGCTAATTACTGTAATTAAATTTGACGCAAACTGTACCAATGTGGCTTTATAACAATGAGACTTACAGCTAAGTGCAAAGGGCTGACTGGAATGGTGCTTTCCACATCGTCCAGGCAGTTAAAAGACATTTCCAGGAGCTGAAATGAAAAAGCTTTTGAATCTAATTCCAATTGTACAAACGCTTCAACAATCTAGCTCTTGGAACCCCTGAGATTTATTTATTTAAGCGTATCGGAAGAACCTTTGGGAATAATGACTAGAGAACGTATATATCCGTGATGGCGAACCTATGGCATGCTTGCCACAGGTGGCACACAGAGCCATATCGGTGGGCACGTGAGTGTTGCCCTGCTCAGCTCCGGCGCCCGCATCTGATTTTCGGGCCTTCCAGGCCCACCAGAAATGGGCAAATGGGCCATTTCCAGGCTCTGGAGGGCCTCCAGGGGGTGGGGAAGGTCCATTTTCGCCCTCCCCAGGCTCCTAGAAAGCCTCTGGAGCCTGGGGAGGGCAAAAAATGGGCCTACCGGACCCACCGTGCCATCGCATGCCAAAAGTGTGGGGGGGGGTGTCGCATGTGCATGCGTGGGGGCGCATTGAATTATGGGTATGGGCACACGCACACACGACCCCCCCACGCTCCCCCTGCTTTTGGCACGCGACGGCAAAAAGGTTAGCCATCACTGGTATATATCATTTCACCTAGTCTAGGAATTATACAGTATGTGTTCCCCAAAATTTAATTATCATTAAAAAAATATGTATTAAGACAATGATGAGATACAGTTCATTTAGTGACCATTTGAAGTTATAATAGCATTGAAAAAAGTGACTTGTGACCATTTTTCACACTTATGACTGATGCAGATTCCCCACAATTATGTGATCAAAATTCAGATGCTTGGCAACTGGCATATATTTATGGCGGTTGCAATGTCCCAGGATCATATGATCACCTTTTGCAACATTCTGACAAGCAAAGTCATTGGGGAAGCCAGACTCGCTATTCTGTTGTGTTACTAACTTAACAACAACTATTGTGTTACTAACTTAACAACTGCACTGGTTCACTTAACAAATGTGGCAAGAAAAATCGTAAAATGGAGCAGAAGTCACTTAGCAAATGTCTCGCTCAGCAACAGGAGTTTTGGGTTCAATTGAGGGCATAAATTGAGCACTATCTGTATATTTTTCAAATCTCTTAATATACAAACTGCAGGAAGTGTTTTTCCATTGCAAGTATCCAGCCTGGGGCTTGCAAATGAAGATCTCTGGTGAACCAGCTGTCCATGCAGGGGTGGGGATAGCATTGTGGTAATGATCAGCAGCTAGAGGACGAATTCTGGCCTGCACTGTCTTTCCAGATATAAAGGAGACATGAGATTGCCCACTTGCACTCCAGAATGCTGCAGGAACTAAGGTTTGTGTGATCAACTTATGAGCTGAATGCTTGGGAATGGAGAGATTCCAATCTAGCTCACAGCTATGATGGAGCGTCTGCAGACACAACATTTGCACGAGCTTTCTTAAGCAGTTTTGGATGTAATTAATTTATACCCTGTTTCCCCGAAAATAAGACATCCCCTGATAATAAGCCCAATTGGGCTTTTGAGCGCATGCGCTAAAATAAGCCTCCCCCCCTGAAAATAAGCCCTCCCCGAAAATATTTAAATGCAGAGCTGGAAATCAGGTAAGACGGCAAGAGGAGCCCCATCTTGCTCTTCGCACCCCAAAATAAGGCCAAGCGCTTATTTCGGGGTTAAAAAACATATAAGGCAGGGTCTTATTTTCAAGGAAACACGGTATCTAAAGAGAGACTTTCTAAGTAACAGGATAGAAGAATTCAATTTGGTGAGTCAACATTCTTTCTGGACCAAAAAGGGAAAATAATGGTTTTAAAAAATTAAAACTGGTATAATGGTATGTCAAATATACAGTATGTTAGAAATGTAATCAATCCAAAGGAAACTTTTATCACTTTTGATGGACATATTAAAAAAATATAAGTTATTGAGATAAGACATATATTTTAATTCGGAACATTTTTAAAATATGTGTACAATTGAAACCAAAGTTTTTTCTTCTAGGCACATTGGATAAGCAGTTGGGGAAAAACAGGGGACTTTGAGGATGCATTTTATGAAATACTAATTATGTTACTAATACAGAAATGTATTCAGAAGCACATCTAAAATGAAGACCAAGAAGAGCAATAAAATACACAGCAGTGTATACATCTTTGTATTTAAAGCACAGATATAATGCTTTATCTGGAAACTGGAGAAAAAGGAATCTATCTGCAGTCTTGGAGATTACTGTCTAGCTCATGAGAGTTTATTTAGCCACCCAATTTCTGTATCTCAACGTGTCTTGTTTCTAATCTGGCCATTTCCCAATGCCCTACAAGAGATCAACCATATAATAGTCATCAACAGAGAAAACTATGATCCTTTCAAGTGTCCACAGAAGTTTCCTCACTTTTAAAGTCCCATTTAGTTCAGACTTACCAACTCAAGGTTCTGTCTGTTGCCGTAGGCAGCTGCGTAATGGACAGCAGTGTATCCCTGTTTGTCTCGGAGAGAGGGGTCAGCACCATTATCCAGTAAGAACTCTAAACAACTGGAATAAAAATAATTCAATGAACCCAAGCATCAGATGCATATAAAAGCTGTAAAAATTCTGTGGAAATCCAGATTTGGTTACGGTCACTAAATCAAAAAACCAGTTCACATAAACCACAGTAAAGAAGATACAGTAGCTCCTTCCATGTAATAGGGGAAACATTCAGCGGTGGGTTTCTCATTATGGTACTACCAGTTCGCCCCATACATGCACACTCATTTCGTGTTTGCATGCGCACCTGCCTTCCACACGCGCACCTGGCTTTCTGCACATGCGCTTTGCTCACACGCTTGCCTTCCGCGCATGTGCCCAGTCTCAAAAATGTGCCTAAACAGGATGGCATAGAGCTGGGGCAGGTGGGCAGGCCAACCCGCGATTTCCGCTACTGGTTAGGGCAAACCAATCTGAGCCAGCTAAATACCACCTCTGGAAACATACAGCTTAATAATAACAACAAAAAAGTAGCTGTAGTCCATAGGAAGCTCCCAGGAAAGAAACGCCTATGTTTTCTCTTGTATTGTTACCATGCCACATATAAAACGCAGATGATTTTCTGTTTTATAGCAAATTAATATTTGGGCGTTTAACAAAAACCCATTCAAGAAAAATTTGAGGTGTGTGTGCACACCCATCGAGCATTTATAAAAAAAAAGAAAAGATATCTGTTTAGGGTTGTTTTGTAAGCTGAGGCAGGAAAAGCAAAAGAACATCTGAAGAGTTCATTTTCTATCCCTATTTAACACAAGCTAAATGCTGAACAATGCAAGTTACTTTAATGGAATCTCGAGAAGATGAATGTTCTCTCAAACATGAATTGTGTTGCATTCAAAGTAGTGTGGAGAAAAGAGATAGCCAAGTTTATTCAAAGGATAACAAAGAAAGTTCGGATGAGCTACTCACAAGATGGCCTCCTTCAGTCGTGACTCTTTCAGTGGCTCTTCATCAGTGTCATGGCTGTTTCCTGAATGAGTCTCAGCTCTGCAAGAGCAGAAAATTAGATTAGTTTAGCCAATATACAGCAGACACATAATGTGTGTACATATTATCCCACTGGTGGACAACTGATTGTCCCAAGCGGACTCGTGAGAAACTGGGACTGTTGTGGAGGGCCACCACCCAGCCTCTGCCACTGCCCCGCCCTGCTAACGCCTCCACTGCACCCATGTCCCGCCCCAGCTGTAGCAGGCTGGATTACGGCTGCTTGCAGGCTGGATGTGATTCATGGATTGTAAATACCCAGGTCTACATTATCTAGTAAAACTGTGCATTTTAGAATCTATTTACAAAAATTATTTTATAATAATCACATATGAGAAATTTGTTAAAAAAAGAATATATACTAAAGCAGGACTGATAGCAACAACATCTTAATGGATTATTAAACTGCACACTTCACATAGATGAATCTCACCAAAAGTTAAGAGTTACCCAAATGAGATTAAACTAAATCCCAGGCAATGAGACAGAAGCTTATTATCGGCTTCTGCCTTCCCTTACAATACAGGGAAAAGGCTTACAGACATTAAGGTAATGTATACGCTCCAAGAAACACCATGAGAATCAAAGCTGATCTTTCTTTGAATCAGTGTATCATAAAAGCAGGAAACCTAGTCACAACAGCCTCGAGCTAATGATATTTTTAAGCAGCAGTAATGTAGAGCATGATTTAGATTTTAGTTTAGATTTCTAAACATATGAACATGTGAGACTAAAGGCATTATACTTCAGACAGATAGAAAACTGAAGACCTACTTTACCCTAAATAGCTCAGTAAGAATGTAGACACTGATTCCTTGATTCACAGTGTTTCTTAGGAAGAGCTTTTGTGCTGAATTGCTTCCCCAATCTTATTTTCAGGTGCAAGGAAACCAAATAAAATAATTCCATGGAAGGATTCTCTGATGAGAAAATTGAAACTAATTGTACTCAGATAAGATCATACTCTTTCCCTTTTTTTCTTCCTACCTCCTGTAAGTGTCTGAAGCAGCAGCATAATGTAAGGGGGTGCAGCCTTTACAGTCAGCTTCATTAATACTGGCTCCGGCAGTGACTAGTGTCACCGTACACTGATAGCTGCCATTCGCGGCTGCATAGTGCAAAGGAGTCCTGGATAAAAAAAAAAGCAGGAAAGGGAGTTTCAGATAATGTTCCTATGTGACATTTAAGAAGGTTACACCAGTTCATCAACTCAATGGTAAGTTCATGTAGCAAACTGATCCGGATTAGAAGACAACAGGGTCAGATTGAAGCAGCTACTCAACCAAGTCTAGTCAAGTAATATATTGAAGGAATGAGAAGTCTGAATCCTCTTCGTTGTTTTTAAAACTGCTCCAGTACAAAAAAAGCACTGCACAATTGTAGTGTTTTATTCTCAAAACAACCTTTGAAGATTGTTCTACGAATGTCATTTTAACAGATCCAGAATTCAGTCTATGACACAAGAAGGACTTAAATTCCAGTCCTGTCACCTTTAAAGCAGGTATTGCATCCCAGAACTGCTACCACTGAGTTACATCAACAAACTAAAAAGCGACATACAATGAAGTATTGCCCCAAATTCAACTTTCCAACTCACAAAAGCACAGCATTGAGGGTCAGCCAGGTAGAAAAAAATACATGCAAGTGAGCACCTCAATCTCAGTAGTACTGTATTTTAACAGAACCATTTATACCTCTAAATTCATTTCTCAAGGAGGCCCAGCACATGGCTTTTAATCTTAGACATTTCTTTCTCACCCAGGGTCTCAAAGACACCGTGTTCTATATTTACCTTCCAAACTTATCTCTCCTCCTCAAGTCAGCTCCGCTGCTCAACAGCAAGTTAAGACATTCAACATTCCTGCAGAGAAGCCAAAGGATAAAGAAGATATCTCTTTATATCTGGTTTTTTTTTCCCCCAGATGAAATAACAGGCTGAGAATTTGTCTCAGTTCCAAATGTAAAATGTTAACCCAACAGACGCCCTCCATGTACCAGTCATGCCCAGTCTGGTAGGGAAAGGTAGGGATGGAGAAAGATGTCAGCCTTATTTCTTAGTCTTTTACTGCATGATGCAGTAACAGTAGAAGATGATGTGGCATGAGGAAATCAATCTACCGTATTTTCCGGCGTATAAGACGACTTTTTAACACATGAAAATCTTCTCAAAAGTCGGGGGTCGTCTTATACGCCGGGTGTTGTTCTCCTGTAACCAGGCAGACCAGCCTGAAAGGCTCTGACGAGCCTTAAATGGCTCTGGCGATCCAAGCTCTGGCGATCCCAGCTTTGCCTGCTAATCAGGCAACGCAGCTGGGATCGCCAGAGCCATGAAGAAGAAAAAAACTTTTTTCCTTTCACGTGGCTCTGGTGATCCAAGCTCTGACGATCTGCTAATCAGGCAACTCAGCTGGGATCGCCAGAGCCATATTGAAGGAAAAAACTTTTTCCCCTCCAGCTTGCTTACCTTAGCTGCTAGTTGCAACGCTTGCCTTGTTTCGCTTGCCTGACTCCATTCCATCAGCAAGCAACTCCCTGCCTGCAATCAAGCAGGCAGGGAGTTGTGGACTTCAACTCCCAGAATTCCTCAGCCAGCAAAACAAAGCTGGCTGAGGAATTCTGGGAGTTGAAGTCTACAAGTCTTAAAGTTGCCAAGGTTGGAGACCCCTGTTCTATTGGGTAAGTTTTTTTCCTCTTTGGGATCTTTAAAAAAAATAGTTAATTGGGGGGTTTTTTAGTTGTTCTTTTTTAGACCTAGCCATTTAAAATTTAGGAAGTTTTAAATTTAGCTTTCATATAAAAATTAAAATAAAATAAAATAATATTTGTGCAGCTTTCTGAGATTTAGTGTGTTTTTGTAGTGTTTCACTCTAACTACACAAACACAAAATCTCACAAAGGTGTATGTGGAATTTTGTGTGTGTGAAGTGTGAAAGTTGGTTTTTTGGGCTTTTTGTGGCTGTGTGAGGTTCCTGCTTGTTGCAGGGGTCATTTTGGGTCTAGCACAGCTGCTTTTACATTGTGGGTGAGCCAGTTGTGTTGTGTTGTGTTGTGTTGTGTGTAAAGTGTAAAAGTTGTTTTTTTGGGGCTTTTTGTGGCTGTGTGAGGTTCCTGCTTGTTGCAGGGGCCATTTTGGGTCTAGCACAGCTGTTTTTACATTGTGGATGAGCCAGTTGATGTTTTTTAATTTTTATTTGGTGTGCGTTGGAAGAGGGGTAGTCTTATACGGCGAATATAGCCCAAACCCTATATTTTAACAGGAAAATTCGGGGGTCGTCTTATACGCCCAGTCGTCTTATACGCCGGAAAATACGGTACCTCTGCAAAAGGCAATGCTGTATTAATTAATATTACTCTATGCCAGGGGTTGACAACCTTAAACACTCAAAGAGCCACAAAGGTCCTAACTGGAAGCCCCCATTCAATTCTGGAGCTGACCGGAAGTCTGGTTCCCCCATAACAGTCTCCTCCTAGTGTGGCGTCCTTTTTCCTCTGCCTGTCCTAACTGAAAGCCCTATCAATTGTGGTGCCGACCAGCAACAGGGAGCCGCAGCAGAGGGATGAAAAAGCCACATGCGACTCCAGAACCGCAGGTTGCTGACCCCTGCTCTATACTAATAAAGATTAGCCTAATATTTGCTTTGATCACAGAGAATTGTCTCCACCTGACTACAGTAGTACTCCAAGAATTGGTTATTCTCGAAGTCTATTTTACTCCAACTGGATAGAAGTGGTCAACCGCATACAGATGCTCTTCTACAGATACTACTTGATGGTCATAGAACCGGTCACCCATGTGACTGACCCAACAACCTTTTTTTGCAGCAGTTGTTAAGCGAACCAAATGTTTGCTGCAGATTGGTTGTGCAGAAAATGTTGTAAAATTGGTAATGTTTCTGTGAGATGCTGCAAATAGCCATAAATGTGAGCCGGTGGTCAAGTGGCTGAAGTGAGGTCATGTGATTGCGGGGGGGGGCATAGCTGCAAGAACTTTGAAACTGGGTCATAAGTACATCATAACTCTGAATGGTGGCTAAGCGACCAGTCATTAAGTCGAGGACCTACCTGAAATTTAACCGAATCTAAAGATAATAAAATTGGAAATCTTTCTTTCAGAGTTATCCCAAGGAATGTCTTGCCATATTAACAGTACATTAATTGCTCACCCTCCGGAAGCAGCAGCATGGAGGCAGGTCCTCCCGAGGTTATCTGGCGTATTGATATCAAAGCCTGCAGACAGCACATGCTCGTTGCTGAGTGAGGAGACAATGCTGTACAACTGACCTGAGAATCAGAAGAAAGTGAAAGGTGACTGGGAAATGGGATTAATTTACCATGACTCTGTCGCAGATACCATGGAAATGATGATTCTGGAATATACTGAAATTATCAACCAACCTCTTCGATATAAAGGAAAGCCACATTTCATAGGTATGCATTATGCTAGTCCCTTTGGGGATTAAAAAATGTAACAGAAAACATAGAAAAGTATAATAAGTAAAATTAAAAAATTAAAAAAAGAAAAGTATAATAAGCTAAAATAAAATGTAGGAGATAAGAAAAGGAAATATAAATAATCTAATTTCTACCAACCCTGTTTCCGATTTCTCTCCATAACTTTCTATCCTTGTAAAACATTCTCACTTTCCCCTTGTAGGCTACTTCATATGTTGTCTTGTGTTCTTTAAACTTTCCACCTCTCTTTTTTGATGATCTCATCAATTCCATCCAACCAGATTTTTTTTCCATCTTCCTCTTCCTCTCAATCGATTTATGTTTTTTTTAATTCAATCCTCATTTATTTTCTCAACATAAGGTTGACTCAGCCTTCCATCCTTCTGAGGTGTGTAAAATGAGGACCCAGATTGTTGGGGGCAATATACTGACTCTGTAAACCGCTTAGAGAGGGCTGTAAAAGCACTATGAAGTGGTAAATACCGTATTTTTCGGAGTATAAAATGCACTTCCCCCCCCAAAAAAAAGAGAGGATGAAAATCTGGATGCGTCTTATACTCTGAATGTAGCCCCACCCAGCTTCTCAAACAGAGGTTTCAGAGGCTGAAAAAAGCATCAGAAAAGAAGCTTCAGAAAAGAAGCCCCCAAACAGCTTCAGAGGCTTTTTTTCTGAAGCTCTGTTTCAGAGGCAGGAAAAAAGCAAAAAAAAAAAAAAAAGCAAGGCACAGAGCTCACAACCAAGGAACCTGTTGCTAAAATTCACCTTTGGGAACAGCTGATTGGGGGTATTCCCGGAGGCCGATCTACCTGCCAATCAGCTTTTTTCTTATTTTCCTCCCCAAAAACTAAGGTGCATCTTCTACTCCGGTGCGCCTTATACTCCAAAAAATACGGTAAGTCTAAGTGCTAAGTTATTGCTATAACCAAATCACTTTAACCTATTTCTTTTGGCACTGATTAAAATCAACACCGTTTTTCTTTAGGCTACTTTTTTTTTTTTTATACTGAGGATTACATTTGGCCTTTAAATGATAAATTATATGCTGGACTGTAAAAAGTATCAGGCTAGGATAAAAAAAGTGAATATTATTTGAGGCCTATTTATACTTAATTTTAATTATTAATTTTAATAAATGCAGTTAACTATGTACTTACTAACTTACCCCTTCCATCATACAAAACACTATAAATTTGGATGCAATTTTGACTAGGGATTTTGCTGGTCATTTGCCAAAGTTAGAGTCTCTGTGGCAGCCTTGAACCCATAGGCTTACACCTTGAATTTAGATTTTTGCTAAAAAAATCCTTCACATTTGCCAACTACTAGGTAATACGTTCAGACAATTCCTCTATTTTTTTAAGCATTCACACAGTTGGCTTGCCCTGAATTCAGCCACGTGTACAAAAACAACCGTCTCCTTATGAACCAAGCCCCCCCAGTCCAACAGAAAACTTACCTGAGGAAAGTAGCTTACGACAACAGTCTGAGAATCCAAAGAGAACAGCTAAGTGCAGAGGGAACATGTCATGAATCCCACGCCTGGAAGAATAAAAGATCAAAACATGATAATACTGAAGGCCAAGGCTGCAAACAGAGCAGGAACAAAGTGATCTCCACCCCCACATGGGCACACTGACTTCATTTAGAGCCTCGGTGGCTCAGTGGTCAGAGTGCAATAATTATAGGCTAATTCTACCAGCTGCCAGCAATTCGACCCTGACCAGCTCAAGGTTGACTCAGCTCTCCATCTTTCCAAAGTTGGTAAAATGAGGACCATGTTGACTCTGTAAACCGCTTAAGAGGGCTGTAAAACACTGTGAAGCAGTATATAAGTCTAAGTCAGGGGTGAAATCTAAAATTTGTTACTACCGGTTCTGTGGGCGTGGCTTGGTGGGGGGGAATGTGGACGTGGCCATTTTTAAAAAAAAACTTTTAAAACCATTTTTTCTACAACCTCTTCGGCTAAGAGGTGGTAAAAAAATGCTTTCAAAAGGCTCTGACGATCCAAGCTGAGTTCCCTGATCAGGGAACTCAGCTTGGATTGTCAGAGCATTTAAAAGAAAAAAAGGGTTTTTTTCTTTTAAATGCTCTGCTGATCTGCCGATCAACTTAGCTGGGATCGTCAGAGCATTTAAAAGAAAAACCTTTTTTTCTTTTAAATGCCTGACGAGCGGCGCGATCAGTAGAGGCTTTTTTTTTTTTTTACTTTTAAAAGCATTTTTTCGGCCGAAGTTGTAGAAAAAATGCTTTTAAAAGTAAAAAAAAGCCTCTGATGATTGCACAGCTCAGCTGGGCATGGGGGGGGCGGGGATTTTTGCTGCTGGTTCTCCAAACCACCTGCCTCCATTGCTACCGGATCGGGTGATCCGGTCCGAACCGGGAGCATTTCACCCCTGGTCTAAGTGCTATTGCTATTTATACCTTGCATACCATCAATTCTAAACTACCATCATCCTCAACTAGGTGCTGGTATACTCTATTGTCAGTCAGTCACTGCTCTACTACACAGTCCAATAATGACCTGGTTGTGGCTAACTAGCAGGGTACACATTTGGCTGAGCATTACTTTAAGACAACTGTAAGTCTGCTTTATTCTGCCCTGACGATTCTAATGGGTTAGGAAGGAAACAAGTCAGAATTCTAGATCTATGAACATTAATTCGGAGAAGAAATATGCCCCCACCTTGCAGTGTCAGCACCATTCGTCATCAAAGTACTAATTAGCAGCTCGTGGCCATATCTAGCAGCAACGTGGAGGGGGGTATTGCCATATTTGTCAGCGCAGTCAATCTCACTGCCTGTGAAACAAACAGACTGCATCAATATTTTTTTCTTCAATTCGCTCCGAGGCAACAGGCGTGACTCCACTTTAGCCACCAGGAGATCAGAATGTACCATATAGAACAGGGTTAGGCGATTTGTTTTTACATGGGGCTACATGAGAAACTGGATCCATTGTGGAGGGCTGCCGTCCCGTCGCTGCCCTTGCCCCACCGCTCTGCCCCCGATGCTGCCAACGTCTCTCACACACACACCCATTGCCATGGGCTGGGCTGGGCTGGGCTGGACTGGACCATCCATGGGCCGGATGTGATGCACAGCAGATAAAATGCCCAGGTCTGATACAAAATTACTGACTGAGTCATAAGAGTTGGAAGTGATCATAGAAGTAATCTAATCCAACCCTCTGTTCAGTGCAGGATCCACTGAGAGTGAATGTTTAATAACTTTACATACATGTCCCTTTGTGCCTAACTTTCAGAACAGTAAAGAGAAAATTAATTTGGAGGAAATCAAAGTTGCTGCAATTTAAAATGACAATAAAAATGCTGAAAATAACAGATACAAGTAAGTTCGAATACCTGCAGGGACTGGTAACTTTTTTAAGGCAATGAGCGTCAACAAATAAACAACTGAAATCTTGAATAGGATCCCCAAAACTTACATGATGTGTCAGTCTTGTACGATCCCAGCCTGAGAAAACAATACTGTAAAATATTAGGATGGTTTCCTTAACAGTAAATAGTTGACAACTTACCATTTTGTATGAGAATCTGAGAGCGTGTAAACCGTCCATGAATGGCAGCCATGTGCAAAGGACTCTTCCCTTCTTTACTCTGCAAACATCAAAGCTTTTAGTCAGCCAACAAGGAGGTCCATTTGCTTTTAACCCTACACTGCTATCCCCAGGGATGCTTAAGTCATTTTCATTTTCCCCGTGGCCCTATTTATTCAATGCAGCACATCTAGCCATACCTGAAAGTTCACATCAGCTCCATTATTGACAAGAAGTTCCAGGCACAGGGCTCCGTTGGTGGAGACGGCAGCAAAGTGCAGGGGGGTGAAGCCCTTTTCATTGGGCTGATTGACATTGGCGCCATAGTTGACCAGTTCATTCGCCACGGCATCCTGGCCCATGTAACAGGCAATGTGAAGTGCAGTGTTGCCAAAGGAATTTGGTTCATCAATCTGTAAGAAAACACAGGAAGGTAGCATTTGAATAGGCTGAGACTTTGTGCTGGGCACAAGGTTTGGCCAAAAAGGGGGGAAAAGTTCATATGCTGTGGCTGTCTGACAGCCCAACCAGTTATACTCAAGCTTGTCTTCTCTCCAAGAAATTTTAACAGATTAACAGAGTTGAAAGGGACCTTTTAGGTCATTTAGTCCCCCACCCAAGCAGGAGACCCTACACCACTTCTGATAAATAGCAGTCCAATCTTTTCTTAAAAGCTTTCAGTGATGAGGCAAGCTGTTCCATTGGTTGATTGTTCTCAGTATCAGAAAAATTCTCCTTATTTCTAGGTTGAATCTCTCCTTGTTCACAGTTTCCATTCATTATTCCTTGTCTGGCCTTCAGGTGCTTTGGAAAATAGCTTGACCCCTTCCTCTCTGTGGCAGCCCCTCAAATATTGGAACACTACTATCATGTCCCCCAGTCCTTCTTTTCACTAGACTAGCCCAGTTCCTGCAACCGTTCTTCATATGTTTTAGCCTCCAGTCCCTTTATTATCTTTGTTGCTCTTCTCTGCACTCTTTCTAGAGTCTCAACATCTTTTTTATAGTGTGGTGACCAGATGCAGTATTCTAGATGTGGTCTTACTAAGGCTTTATAACTCTATCTATCTATCTATCTATCTATCTATCTATCTATCTATCTATCTATCTATCTTTATATATAGATAGATAGATAGATAGATAGATATAAAAATATTGTACTTATTTAATTTACCATTACAGTAGTCCTCGACGTACAACAGTTCATTTAGTGACCATTCAAAGTTACAACCGCACTGAAAAAAGCAATTTATAGTTAAAATCCCAGCCTTGCTTCTTGCTTTGAACTGGCAGCTTGCCAGTCTTGCTGCACTCTTGCTGCTACTTGGGTGATACGACTGGTAGGCCTCTCACACTCCATCCTACCTTTATGACAATTAAAAGGTCACAATGCAAAGTGAAATAATTTACACAGTATTGTTTCCTGACCAGGTAGCATACAGGCATGGAGATTAGCAAGTTCAACCTTTCTTTCCCTCCTTTTGGGAGATAAGTTGATAAGACAGGCTATCTTATTTTGACAATAAGCCAACCAACTATTTTTTTAAAAAAATAAAATGTTAAAGTTATGTCAAAGATTAAATTACTGAACTGTCTGGATTGTGATTTACAAGAAAATACAATAGAGACAGAGCTGCTGTTCAGCTACAAACTAAGAGCTCTTTATCCAAGCAAAGGCAAGAGATGTTTCATAGCATTCCTCTTTTTATTCTTATTACAAGGGGATCCTAAAGAAAAAAAAAATTCTCCTTGAACATAGTCTGAAGAATGAATAGACGCTATTGCTCTTAATTCTCTAACTTACATAAAATAATAAAGAGAATTGGTTATTACGCAGAGATCACGGCTTAGCACAATTTCCTGGCTAGATATATTATCTATTTCTGTGGAAATATATTTTGCAGGATTAGCCATTAATGGGTCTTGATTATATACAGAGTCTCTTTACCCAGTTCCTCCATCTGAGGGAGATAACAAAAAAATACTTAATTCTTTTAAAATCAAGGGGGAAACTGGGCAACAACTGGAAACAGAGTTAAATCCATCAAAGAACTGGGTGACCATATGACCAACTTGCGCAAGATGAGAGCACCAAAATCTGGAATGACAGAATATTTTTTTGACAAGCACACTCTGGGAGAAGGTGACAATGAGAACAAAAACCACCCATGAATTATTTTTGAATCCCAAAGAAACTGGAGAATTCCAGGAAGTTAAGGGCCCTGCTATTCTCAACAATGCCATTAAAAAAAAAACCTGTCTTAATTTTCAAGCTTCAGCTAATGTTCAGAGTACTTTGCTTACATCAAGTAAAATCCAGTTTTTAGGAAGTTCCACTGAATTCATAAGGTCCTGCTTCAAAGTTATATATAGGATTATACTATAAAACTCTCTTGATTTGCATTACTGTATCTGAAAAGCTGTAATAGTTATAAAATCTGTATACTGCATCTTAATTTAGATTAAAATATTTCCTCTTGGCAGCTATTCTCAATTTTTAAATGCTACAGATAGCATTTGGGACTGGAAATTGCTATTGCTAAGAGATGCAGTTGTAAAGCACAGTATCAGATGACTGTGCCACTTAGTGACAAAAGTCTGGGTTGCAATAGTTCAGCAAGGAGCTCATGTGACTGCAACTTCTAACTTCCTGCCACCTTTCTTATTGACTTTGTTCACGGAAGGCTAGCAGGGAATGCCAGAAATTGTGCTCACATGATTACAGGGACAGTGTGACAGCCAGAATTCCCCAAGACACATTATAAGTGCCCCTCGTTCAGCATGACTGCAAGTCACTGAATGAGCTGTTGTAATCCAAGGACTACCTGTTACTTAAAACAAGCAACATATAAAATTGACTCACGAGCTTAATATAAACTCACATATGTATCATTACAGTAAGCCTAATTTGCCAGAAAGTATATGCATGCACATCTGAAGGGGACAAGCCTGAAAAGAGGATAGGCACAGTACAGAGCAACTCAGCGTGCACTAAAACTGGTACTATCATCACACTTGCCTCAACTCCAAGCCTCAGCAGATGTTTCACAACTTCAATCTGGCCGCTGGCTGCTGCTGTGTGCAGCAGTGTGTAACCCTTTTTGTCTTTGCATGTGATGTCAGCTCCACGGGCTACCAGTAGCTTCAAGACTTCTAAATGCCCTAAGAAAAGACAATGCAAAAGACTGAAACCATTCAAATGCTTCCACGCTATAGCAAATGGGCTTACAATAGCCTAGATAAGAAAAGAATCTGAAAGGATTACTCAAATCTTATGAATAAATGATCATATAATGTTTTTACAAGATTCAGGAGTTTATTTTATCATGAAACATTCTAGGTAAGAAGGTTTTTTCCATTTGTCTTAGGTGGAGCATGATACAGAATGCAACAGAAGCAAGGTTCAAATTTTGAATGCCAAGTACATTATTATAAAATTATTCAAGCAGTATAGAATAGGAGACTATGAGTAGCATGCAGGGTGTGTAAATTCTCTCCCCCCCCCCGCAATATTCTGCTTTAGCATGAATTCCTGCTATCCTATTAATCACAGTGCAACATTCAATGAGGATCAATAATACTTGGGGTTAAAACCTAATTGGTTTAATGGCAACAATATTCAAATTATTTAATTGGTAGAGGGAGTCAGATTCCCCCCAAAGAGTAGCAACATGTTTTCCAGCAGCCCAATGCCTCTCTTTTAACCAAGACAAGAATTTAAGCAGCACTAGTCTTTCTGGAAGCAACCTTACATTATGGTCCAACTTTAGCATCGTGCATTTAATATCTTTACAGCATTCATATTTCGCCTTCTTTTGATTTATTCCACATAAAAGATATTGGTTAGCTTCAAAGAACCTGTAATTTTTTTATAGTTCTGGTGTTTTATTGTTTTAAAAGGTGTGTGTGTGTGTGTGTGTGTGTGTGTGTGTGTGTGTGTGTATGAGGAAATGCTTATTAAGTTCAATGTTACTTTGCACAAAGTTAGTAGAGCTACTCCCACTCAGACTGAGTAACTAGAAAATGTAGTTTTCTCAAAGGCCAAGTGGATTAATTTAGCTCCAGTCGGCTGCATTCATCATGCAAATTAGATTTTGTCTGTTGCACAAAGTACACACATCTGTTACAGTTTTCGTTACTGTTTTTTGGCTTTCTGACCGTCAATTCCATCCAACCAAATACCGGTAGTTGAAAGTTCAAAAAGGTGTCATGATCAAAGGTTTGTAAGTGTAATATTTAAGAAGTACGTGTGCTGGTTTACTCGGTCTTAGATTGTGACCTGAAAACCTGATCTTTTCTGCTCAACACTCAGAACCCATTGACAGCCTCATATATGAAATAAATGCACAGCTAAAAAAAAGAATATCCTTCTTTAAAGAATATTTTTAAAGAATATACTTCACTGTGTACCCAGTTTATTCATCCGTTGGGTTTAAAAAGCACATTTTTCTACTGACCTCCAAATTGCATTGTTAATGTATTTTTAGTAACCAAAGCTGTGTATAAGATAACTAGACCATAAAAGGTGAATGTTTTGAATTAAGTCTTAAGTCTTAATTACTTAAGAAAGGTATAGCATATATGTGACAGATAGGGAGAATCATCACATATTTTCTATTAGGGATGTCTCTATAGTCCCAAATATAATAAAATAGTAAGAAAACAAGGTAGAAGTAAATAAAGCAAAATTCTAAAAGAATGTCATGGGACATAAAGAGTGAAAACATCAAGTAACACAAATTTCTGCAATACATTTATGGAAACTGCCTCTGGGGAAAAAAGGCTGCGGTTTGTGATAGTATAGCATCTCTATAGCATATAGCATTTGCTATAGCAGTCACCTTTAGATGAGATGGGTGAAATACAAATCTAATAAATATCTTGCTAAACATTAATGCCACCTATTACTGCTGCAGAATGAAATAATTTCACTGAATAAGCATAGAAAACCTGTAATAGGAGATGGACAGGTATTACTTACTATATTTCCCATAAACATATGCACATGAAGCAAAAGTCCCAAGAAGGAGAAATGCTCATGAGGGAAAGGTACTTTAATTTGATGCTCCACTTTCAATTTATACGAAACTCCATGAGATGTGGAGTTTGCTTCCAATAAGAAATTACAATATGAAAGACAAGTTTGTTCCCTGACATTCTCCCCCCACAAAAAGGCAGTTTTTCCTGTCCCAAATTTTTGCTTCTCAGCTGAAGTATAAAAAGAGATTACTGGGGAGTTAATGGATCCAAATAGCAGTTTAACAGCTGCTAATGTTATCTTAATGCCTCTGCCTATAATTAAATTCCATCTAACTGGAGGGGATTATGTAATTCATTACTGATTGCAGACTGAATGTGGCAAGAGTAATGAAATCAACAGGTGATAGGAATTAAAAGATGGATATGATAAAAACCAGCAGATCTAATAACAGTAGTAACAGCTGCCCCTTAGTTTAGTGTGACATTCGACACCTCGAAGGTAAAAGAAATTCCTTTGAGGTAATTCTGTCTGTAGTGCCAGATACAAAGTGACAGGCAGAGTTACTTAAGTGGGACTATTGTTCTGATATGAGGCAGATTCACTGAGCTCCTGCCTATGTGGACCACCCTGGTTCTGCCTTGGATCGCTGCTCCTACCAATGTTATCTCCTATTAACCTTTTCTGGGAAGATAATTTTGCATATAGCATAAATGTGGGAGGAGGAAGAACTGGCCTGTGGTTACTCCTGGGTGGTTCCAGAGTCTTTGGTTCTCTTATCACTAGTGCAGGGGTCTGCAACCTTAAACACTCAAAGAGCCATTTGGACCCGTTTCCCGTAGAAAACACTACGGTTCCGGTCATCTCCACCACCGTGATAGGGCAATAGCTTTTTCATCCCTCTGTTGTGATAGAGCCACAGCAGAGGGATGAAAGAGCCACATGCGGCTCTGGAGCCACGGGTTGCCGACACCCGCACTAGTGCAATGGTCCCCAACCTTTCCGGCTCTGTGGATTGGTAGTGGTGACAGCACTGGGGGCCGCAGTGGGGGAGAGAGGGATGGTTCCGCACAAGCAGTGGGTGGGCTCACGTGCAAAGTTCCATTTGTGCAAGCAGAAGGTACCATTGTGCAAATAGAGCTGAGTGCGCATGCCCACTGCTTGCGCAAATGGAGCTTCATATGCTCACCCGCCACTTGCATGGCCTGGTTCCCAATGGGCCACGGCCTGGTACCAGGTTGCAGCCCAGGGATTGAGAACCCCTGCACTAGTATTTATGGAATCTATGTGAAATCCCTGGGTGAAATCATCAGTTAGTTTGAGTGAGGTATCATTAGTATGCATTAGATATATGCCTCCTCATTGGCCAAACCAGAGATGTAGTGTAAGTCTTGACTGAAGGAGGTTTTGTTGCTCCAAAACCCTTGTTCTCTGCCAGGTCCAGTTCTGACTCTAGACGGGGTCGCACTGCCCCCAAAGGAACAGAGCAGGGATTCTTCTGGACTCACAAGTTGAGAAGCCTTTGTCCAGCTTCAGCTGGTGTGTCAGTTGTGGTAGGTAAAGGGTAGACGAGTTAGGAGGTGGAACACCTATCTAGAGGTGCCAAGCTCCTTTGAAACAGCATCACCCCAGACATTCAGACAGCACCCTCCCATTTAAGAAGGCTGTCAAGATGGAAACATTTCATAAAGATTTTGGCTTGTTACCATTATTTACAGATTCTTGACTGGTTTCTGGATTTTATTAATGTTAATTAACTGGTTTGAGGTACAGCAATATATAAAAATGTTAATAAACAAAATGGGGGAGGGAAAATAGCTGTAAGCCAATAGCAACGTACTACCTCTGGCTCACTACTATTGAGTATCCTTTGTTATTACTAGGCAAATATCCTGGGTGTTTGTTTTTATATATAGTTTCTCTGAAAGACCTACATATCAAAACTATCAAGCATAATAGATGGGATATAAAGAAGGTGGGACTTACCCAGAAAGGCTGCCCAATGTATTGGCTGTCTCTCCTTCTTGTCACATGTGCTCAGATTGGCCCCTCTATTTAAGAGCAAGTTTACCATCTAGAAAGAAGATAGACATTGAATTAAATAATCTAAATAATCTAAAATAAAAACACAAGGCAACCAACTTGGTGTTTCCTGCCACTTCCCCCTATGGATGCTATAGCTCACTTTATTTATGTAAATGCAGAATCTGTGCTTCACAAGGAAGTGGAACAATGAGATCCAGATACGGATAATCTGAAAGTCCATTCTTATTATATAACAAAACCTTGCCTTGCCTACAAATCAGATGTTACCTATTTGTGTATTAAACTTTGCTATGGAAGACAATATAGCCTATGACTGTTATTATGATTATTCATATTAATTAATGAATCATGCATCAGTATGTTATTTGTATGTTAGTTACATTCTGATGTACATTCTGAAAAAACAAGTTCATATGCATCCGATGATTTGTTTCACACTATGTGTTCTTTACCCAAAAAGAAACTCAATCCCTCCAAGCTCTGAGTCTCCAATAGTCTCATACCTACTAGCTTAAAAGTCGAGGACAGAGAAAACATTTTACTGCTAGAAGAGCAAAGACTTTTATCCAACTGTTAACAGTATCCTAAAAGCCAAAACTCCATTCACATCATAGGCAATATGTCCATGTTTCTAACATGGAAAAGCAGCAGGAAGGGTGCAGGAAGAACTATTTGCACACTGTCCAGAGTTACTCTGTGAAGGAGATGGAGTTTTAAAATAAAATTAAGTAAAATAAAATAAAATATTTTAATAAAGTTGAAATCCAGTAAAAAAAAAAAAAGACAGAGAGATACGTATCTTCTCCTTATCTTCTTTCTTTGCTTCAAATCTATTGCTATGGAGGACTGCTCCAAAGGGCTTTGCCTTAACCATAGCACCAATATGAGCCGCAGTGGCGCAGTGGTTAAGAGTGCAGTACTGCAGGCTACTTCTGCTGATCACTGATTGACAGCAGTTTGGCAGATCGAATCTCACCAGGCTCAAGGTTGACTCAGCCTTCCATCCTTCCGAGGTCAGTAAAATGAGGACCCAGATTGTTGGGGGGAAATATGCTGACTCTGTAAACTACTTAGAGAGAGCTGGAAAACACCGTGAAGCGGTATATAAGTCTAAGTGCTATTGCTAATATTGGGGAATATTTTAGCTCAGTGTTGAAATTAGGGGTCCTGGATGTTCTCTGAGCTTGGCTATATTCTTGAGACGTTTCTTTACCCAAACTAGGTAACATCATCAGTGCTGTTACCTATTTTGGGTAATGAAATGTCTGCAAGAAAACAACTAAGCTCAGAGAGTGCCAAGGACCCTTCATTAACCATAGTAGCTGGAGACTCTATTATGTGAGTTTGAGTGTAACTATTTGTTTGTTTGGCTAACAAAAGACTCTGAGTGGCTTTTCTATGGGGAAATATTCTTTACAACAAAATAAATGTCCATCCTTGCTCCATTATACCTCATCTCTACCCCATGGAGAAGTCATGCATAAACATCTCTGGGAAAGACGAAGACGTCCCTTACCTCAAGGTGCCCACTGTGTACAGCATGGTGCAGTGCTGTGCGGCCAGTGCGGTCTGCCACATTAACATTACTAAGCAGTGGGATGATAGTCTCAGCACACTTGCTAGCTCTGTTGGCAGCAGCAACATGCAGTGGTGTTTGCCAATACTTGTCACGAGCATTGATGTCTGCTGAGTGCTTTAGGAGGAGGTTAAGTGCTTTCTGCCAAGGAAAGAATGTAAGACAGCTTTTAAGCCTGGATGAAGTACTATTGCAAAAGAAGTAAGTACTAACAAGTGAGAAGATAGCACTTTGTTATGAATAGGAGGAGTTTCTTTATGAAAGTCTGCAAAACCTGAGAGAATAGGGAATGTAATACAGAAGGTACTGTGAAGAGATAAAATGCTACAATTTAGAGTGATCTAACAATTCCAAGAAAGGACAGTGAGCAACTTCATATAGGGCAATACAGTAGCCTTAAAACAGGCTCAATTATCTTAGGAGTACCTCTCCCTAAATTCTCAGATATCCTGAAATTTGGGCAGGTTCACAAAGAATAATTGATGCTGCAGTCCCATATTCAGAGGCATGGGTTATTAGCATGGTGAAACCCCAATTAACAAAATCTTCAGATTAAGATGCAGACAGCTAGGTTGGTACTAAATTAGTTAAATCTCGTTGGCTTCTGTTTGATTTATTTATTCATTCTTTTCATCTATATAGATGCCTGTTTCATGAACACGACTCCGGGCAGAGTACAATAAAACCAGACCATCAAAGATACAAACGGTAAAAATAATTTCATAGTAAGAAACATTATTTTAGAAGACTAGGAGGGAGCATCTTCAATGTTAAACACTGTGTAGCCATCTCGCCAGTTCTCCGTTTACCTGAGATCCCCAAGCCTGCTGTCATAACCTTGCCTTGAGAGACCTTCGGAAGGCTCAACCCCAATCAATGCTGACTGCTATTGACCTCAGTGAAAGGAGCAGAACTAGCACAGTTCAGTGCCGCCCACCCCCAATTAACAGATTCAAACCAAAAGGATACCATGGTTGATGATACTGAAAACTATTGAGAAGTCAAGCACAGCAAGGACAGATACACAACACTTGTCCCGCTCTTGCCAGAGATCCCCTAAAAATGTCACCAATGGCATTTTCATCCTGTACCCAGGCCTGAATCCTGACTGAAAGGGGTCCATATATTACTCTCCATCCACAGGCCTCTGTAGCTGCAGTGCAACCACCTTCTTAATCACCTTCCCTTCTTAGAAAATTGTCTGGTATGATGAGATCCAGCGAGGGTTTCTGGAGGAGGGGCAAATTAGCCCCTCCTTAAGAACCAGAGGAACAATCTCCTCACTCAAGGAAGAATTGTCCACCTGTAGAATTCAGTCACACAACATCCCAAAGGCAGCTTTAGATAGCCAGGATGGATATGGATCATGCGAACAGGTGGCTGAGCTCACAGTCATAAGGATCCTATACACTTCCTGAGGCTCAGCCAGTTCAAACCATTCCCAGATAGCAAGGCAAGACTATACCAGGCATCCCCTCAGGATTTACAACAAGGCCCATGTCCAATTGAGAATGAATTTGAGATACTTTAGACAGATGCTCAGGATTTTTTTTTCTGCATGGCTTTGTAGAGTGGGGGTTCTCCAAAATCCCTTTATGCAAAATTGTGTGTCACCTGAAACAAGGCCACCAGAAAGCTGTCTGCAGACACAATAAGGGACAGAGGAGTTTTGTCGCTTTGCTACCCTTACTGATCTAATTAGGCATTTGTTATTTTTGTTTTGGACTTTGTTTTTATATATGTATGTGTGGATGTGTGTGGATGTACCGTGTTTTCCCAAAAATAAGACCCTGTCTTATATTTTTTTGGACCCTGAAATAAACGCTTGGTCTTATTGCCATGCGCTCAAAAGCCCAATTGGGCTTATTATCATTCATATATATACCCTGTTTCCAGGGGTGAAATGCTCCCGGTTCGGACCGGATCACCTGATCCAGTAGCGATGGAGGCGGGTGGTTTGGAAAACTGGTAGCAACCCCCCCCATGCCCAGCTGAGCCGCACAATCATCAGAGGCTTTTTTTTTTTACTTTTAAAAGCATTTTTTCTACAACCTCTTTGGTGGAAAAAATGCTTTTAAAAGTAAAAAAAAAAGCCTCTGATGATTGAGCGGCTCAGCTGGGATCGTCAAAGGCTTTTAAAAGAAAAAAACCCTCAGGCAACTCAGCTGGGATTGTCAGAGCCTTTTGAAAGCATTTTTTTACAACCTCTTCGCCAAAGAGGTTGTAGAAAAATGCTTTTAAAAGTAAAAAAAAAAAAAATGCCCACGCCCTCCCAGTCACATTCCCCCCAAGCCACACCCACAGAACCTGTAGTAACAAATTTTAGATTTCACCACTACCTGTTTCCCCCAAAATAAGACATCCCCTGATAATAAGCCCAATCGGGTTTTTGAGCGCATGGCAATCAGGCCAAGCGCTTATTTCAGGGTTCAAAAAAATATAAGACAGGTTCTTATTTTCAGGGAATCACGGTGTGTGTGTGTGTGTGTGTGTGTGTGTGTACACACAGACACACACACACACACACACACACACACATAGTATCTTTTAGGGTGTTTGAAAGGTATGATTTTTTAATCACAGTGTTGCTAATATTTTAAAAGGTGGTGTTTTGTTGTTGTTTTTTAACTGTATAAGCCACATAGAATTTGTGATTGGGCAGTATATAAATTGATACAATAAAGAAGTAGATCTTCTTTTACATTTCATATAGTGACAATGCGGACACAAGGCTTCCTCAGTAAACAAGAAGGCTCAGGAACGAGCCACTACAAGGCAATCACCATTATATTCCTGCCTCACACCTTTGTCCCATGGGAAAATGTACTGCCAGTAACAGCCTGCAAGCCTTTTTGCAGTTCTTTCAACTCTACCGTCCAAAAAGGTGTTGCTACCCAATGTGTCCAAGGAGATAAAGACCGTTCTACAAGATTCTCAAAATATTTAGTACAATGAAGAATAAAAAGACAAGAGGGGAAATGAACTTGGCCCTAAACATGGCAGTTTATTGTAATGTTCAGTGTCTGGAATTTACTTTGTCATTTTACTAGCAGCATGACTATAGCACCCTGTGAAAGACCTGACATTTACCTCATTACGAGAAGCTGCAGCACGGTGTAACGGGGTTAGCCAAAGAGTGTCCTTTGCATTGACGTTAGCACCTATTCAAAGAAAAGAAAAGGGATGAAGCAAGTTCTCTCAAGCATGATTCATTAAGAGACGAAAACAAACATTAAACTGGTTGAATAGCAAGGCATTCCTTAGACTTTCATCTTAACAATAAGACCATTTTTAATGTTTAATCCCAGTGCTTATTTAACAAACAGCTGTTTCGCAAGGAAACTGCCAACTGATTAAAAAGAAAGAACATTAGTACTGCATTTAAGAGGCATCCTTGTCTTTAAAAAATGTGGCTGAAAATTAAAACGACTGTCCCATTATCTGCTAAACATTCTATATGCTAAATCAGCACCATTTATTTCAAAGAGTTTGGGGTGGTGGCGTTTGTGAATCACATCTGAAAAAGATGCAATCTCCAGAATTAACTTCCATAGATTTCCACACAATTCCTCTTACAGAAGGGACCCTTGGAGGTCTTCTAGTCCAATCCCCTGCTCAAGCAGGAGACCCTATTCCATTCCAGACAAGTTGCTATGCAGTCTCTTCTTAAAAGCCTCCAGTGATGAAGCACTCACAACTTCAGAAGGCAAGCTATTCCACTGGTTAATTGTTCTCACTGGCAAGAAATTTTTTTTCGTTCCAGGTTGCTTTTCTCCTTGATTAGTTTCCATCCATTGTTTCTTGTCTTGCCTTCTGATGCCTTGGAAAATAAGTTGACCTCCCTCTTTTTTGTGGCAGCCCCTCAAATATTAGAACACTGCTATCATGTCACTTCTAGCTCTTCTTTTCGCTAGACTAGACCAGGGGTTGGCAACCCGCAGTTCCGGAGCCACATGCGGCTCTTTGGGCCCTCTGCTGCGGCTCCCTGTCCCATCACTGGCTGGCCCAGCCCCTCGCCCCTCTTATTTCTTTTTTTGACTCCAGCCCGAAGCGGCAGGAAGCGAAGGCTGCCTTACGCGCAAATGTGGTGTGAAGGCAGGTACAGGACAGCTTCGCTCCTGTACTCTCCTCCCTCCCTGAGCAGAGAGCGTGCGCACGTGCGGGGAGATCCTCAAGCGAGCACCAAAGCACAGCAAAGGCGCGTGCGGGGTGAGTGGCCGCTCACTTAGGAGGGTTTTAACAGGACGTGGCTTCTCTCCTGCAATAATGATCCAGCCATCGCCGTATCTCCTCCTCCCACTCATATGAGGTCCTGGCTGTGGCTGAGCTGGGAGCTTGTGCACACACGCGGGAAGATCCTCCTCAAGGAAGTGCCGTAGCTCAGGAAAGGCGCCCGCTTAAGGAGGGTCTCCCCACGCGTGCACATGCTCCCGGCTCAGCCACAGCCGGCCATGGCGTCACGAGAGTGGGAGGAGGAGGAGGAGAGTGCAGGAGCGAAGCTTCCCTGTACCTGCCTCCATGCCACATTTGCACGTAAGGCAGCCTTCGCTTCCTCCCATTTCAGGCTGGAGTTCGCACTCTCCGCACTTGACTGAAGAACTGCTGAGGGTGGGGGATGAAACGGCAAGGTAATGGCCGGAGCATTAGTGCAGGAGAGAAACCGTGTCCTGTTAAGACCCTCCTAAGCAAGTGGCCACCCACCCTGCGTGCGCCTTAGCTGCGCTTTGGCACTCGCTTGGGGAGGGACTCCCCGTGCATGTGCATGCTCCCGGCTCAGCCATGGATGGCCAGGGCATCACGAGAGGAGGGGGGAGGAGGAGGACGGTCACCCAAAGGGAGTGGGGAGACACACACACACACACACATATACAGAGAGAGGGGGAGAGAGAGAGAGAGATATAGAGACATATAGAGAGAGACATGGGGGAGGAGAGAGGGGAAGATAGGGAGAGCGGGAGAGAGACAGAATGGTTTTGTGGCTGGGTAGGCATGGCTAGGGGAGTCATGTGACTGGGTGGGAGTGAGTGACATCGAGTTGGCCACGCCCACCCAGGTTTTGTGGCTCTGGTGTGGGTTTTTTTTTGTGAGAAACGGATCCAAGTGGCTCTGAGTGTTTAAGGTTGCCGACCCCTGGACTAGACAAACCCAATTCCTGCAACTATTCAATTGTTTTAGCCTCCAGCCTCCGAATTATCTTTGTTGCTCTTTTCTGCACTCTTTCTAGAGTCTTGACATGCAGTAAGCATCAGTAACTAGAAAACCAGACTAATAAAGGAACTGAAAGGATCAAAGCTCATTCCAATCTTCATGCAGATTTTTTTAAAAAGAGAAAAACGATGTGGGTTATGTTGCTGGCAGTCTTCAAAGACTATCGCTTGCTTTAGGTTATCATGAGCCAGTGTTTTTTATGGCTGTTAATTTGGAAAGATTTAGCACATGGATCAAAAACCATCTGTGTTGGCTCTGCTGTCCAGAAGGCTAATTCAGCCCTGCAACCTACACAGGAAGAGTTACAGTATACAGGGCTGTCAGTTTTAAAATAGCTTCACTGAACAGAATGAGAACATTTCCATAAATCTCCGCTGCTTGAGAATCATGACTAGCAATAAGAATATTACTAACAGCAATCTGCTGGCTACAGCACTTTTAAGGTAGAAAGCACAAAAATGCTTATGAGCTCTCTCATTCATTCTTTGTGACCATCCAAGTCACAGATAGTTATATTTCCTGTTTTAAAAAGACTGCCAGAGGCTTTGCCGAAGTCTGTATCTGGATCTCCCCTACTCAAAGCCAACAATAGGACTCTATAGAAACTTGATTACCATTGCAATACTAAATCCCTGGCAGTTTGGCCAATGATAAAATAAGAACTTCCAAAATAAAATTAAAAAATGGGACCATATCCCCATCCTTACCTGATAATATTAGGAGTTCAACGATAGAGGTGTCCCCTAAGTATGCAGCTGCGTGCAAAGGGGTTCGTCTCTCTTGGTCCTGATTTGGGGAAACAAAATAATCAATATGTGTGTGTGTGTGTGTGTGTATCTGTGCATTCTATAGTCTACATAAACTAAGGATATTTATTTATTGACTAAACATATATTCCACCCTTGCTATCGAGAGTGACTGTGGGTGGTTAAAATCATCTTGTGCTTAGATCTGCAATGCAGTTAGTCCCTGCCCTACAACCATTCGTTTAATGACAGCACTGAAAAAAGTTGCTGTAACTGGTCCTCACAATTTACCATCACAGCATCCCCATGGTCACATGATCAAAATTTGGGCACTTGGCATCAAGTGGTCACATGATCACCATTTGTAACCTTCCCAGGTGGCTTCCAACAAGCAAAGTCTATGGGGAAAGCCAGTTTCACTCAACAAACATGCGATTCAGTTAACAAGCATGATGATTCACTTAATGACTATGGCAAAAAATGTTGTTAAATCATCTGCTACTCATTTAACAACTGCATCACTCAGCAATGGAAATTCCAGTTCCAATTACAGTCTTAAATCAAGGACTACCTGTATATCTCCACAATTTATGAGTTTTTTTTAAAAAAAAACTTTTTATCCAACATGCCAGATACTAGGTAGCAAAAATATTAAACTTGTCTGCCTACAAGTAAGCATTTCTTCTATATATACTCAATGTATCTACCAAAAGCCAGTAACGTTTGATTAGCTAAATAATTTGCCTCAAATCAGGAATAGCTGAGGATCCTTTTGAGTAGACAGAACATAAACTGAATTATACAACTTCAGTAACAGTAAATCTTATAGAGGTAGTCTTTGACTTACTATCATAATTGACCCCAAAATTTCTGTTGCTAAGCAAGGCAATTGTGAAGTGAATTTTGTCCCATTTTACGACCTTCCTTGACACAGTTGTTAAGTGAATCACTGCAATTGTTTAACAACGCAGTTGTTACGTGAACCTGGCTTCCCCGTTGACTATGCTTGTCAGAAGGTTGCAAAAGGTGATCATATGACCCCATAACCATCATAAATACATGCCTGTTACCAAGCACCTAAATTTTGACCACATGATCTTGGGGATGTTGTGAAGGTCCTAAGTGTGAAAAATGATCATGTCACTTTTTTATAGTAACTTTCAACAGTCACTAAACAAACAGTTGTTATGTATACCCAACTATTCTTGTTTTTCTCCTGTGATGATATAAAGTACAAATTAATCCAACTGCCCTCACTATCTAGTCATCATGGCTGACTAGTTGTCAGCCAACTTGACAACCATGTCAAGTTGGCTCTTTTGGGCCACTTTTGAATCCAGTTATTCATTTTAACTTAGCCAACTTCAATGAGCTTAATTAGAAGAAGGTGTTTCGTCATAAATATGTAATCTTACCTTTTATTTGGATGCTTTCTTCCTGATGAATTTCAAGGAAAAATTAACTACAAAGAATTGAGTAAATGTCTCAAAGCGATTTCAAATTGTTCCTGCAAATTCTAAGGTTTCTAACACTCACCAATGGTTCATCAATGAATAAAACTCAGTAACTGTGAACATGTTTTTTATAAAAGCCAATTAATCTACAACTACTGACATTTTTGCACAATCATGATTTAACCTTAATTGCGTGTAATTCAAAGAAAATAGTAGTAAGCCTAATGAGCGTTCAATCCCTGAATTAGTCAAGTATATACTTTTAAATCCTTAGCAATACAGTGACATTCTGTCAACGTACCTGGATTATATACACAAATTTCCCAGAAAGCAGAATAGTACATAGTATAAAACATCTATGCAAATGGACTGGTAGCAAAATGGTTATCTCATTTTGCTCCCTTCAGAATGGCAAATGCAATTACCAAATGTAAGGCAACTAACAGTGTAATCATAGCTTTAAAAAGCTATGATTACATCTAAAAGTACATCTAAAAATTTTGATGTACAAAGAAAAATATCTTTATTGCAATGTTGGAAAGAACATTGAGCAATAGACAAGATTGCAAAATCTCATACAACTCTCAAGACCCAAATTCACCTGAATTAGAATGCTTTCAGTGGGAAACTTTAGCTCTGGAAAACTTTCTGCAGAAAATATTTCTGCTCACATCTCTGCTTTCCTCTCTGACGTATAAATCAACATCTAACTAGCCAGCCGAGTAGTGAAAATCAGAACCTATCCCACTGCGTTAAATAAGAATGCAACTGTACTGACATGCAATATTACAAGTGTGTACAGGTAGGCCTCGAATTAACAGGTGGCTGCTTATTAACTGTCTGAACTTGTGACAGACCCTCCAAAGGTGGTCTCTGACTTACAACCACTCAATTAATGACTGTTATGTAATAATGGCATTGAAAAAAATGACTTATAAGACGTTCTCACAGTTATGACCGGTGCAGCATCCTGAGCAGGGGTAAAATGCACTTACCTTCGCTACTGGATTGGAAATGTGAGCCAGCGTGTGCGCCTCTTCTGCACATGTGCAGAGGGTCAAAAATGGGACGTAATGACGTCCCAGTGGGTGGGCGGAGCCCCCCGCCACCGGCCCTACTGGCTCACACAAGCCAGATAGATCCAGCTGGATTTCACCGCTGATCCCGAGTCACATGATCAAACTCCAGGTGCTTGGCAATTGGCATGTATTTACAATGGTTGTAATGTCCCAGGGTCCTGGGGGTGTCATCTGTGACCTTCCTAGGGAGCTTCTAACAAGTTAAGTCAATGGGGCAAACCAGATTTGCCTAAATACTGCACGATTCACTTAATAGCTGTAGTGATTTGCTTAATAACCGTGGCAAAGGGTCGTAAAATGGGGCATGACTCACTTAACAATTGCCTTGCTTAGCAACAGAAATGTTGGGCTCAATCGTGGTTTTAAATAGAGGACTATTTGCAATTGGCAGTTACTTCAGTAACTCTAGCTTTCATTACAGATAGTCCTCAATTTGCCACAGGTCATTTAAAGACCATTCAAAATTACAATAGCTGTAAAGGCTGCTTTACGGACCACAAAGCACTTCTGTCCATCTTAAAACATCACTGCATTCCCCTCCATAATTACATGACCGCATTACAGGTGCCTGGCAACCAGACTGCCAACCAGATTTACTGCTTGGCAACCAGACTGCCAACCAGAGTGACTGGCTGCCAAGTACCCCACAACCACTTGCAATCTGACCATTTGCAATCTTCTCTGCAGACTTCCCCAGAAATTCTGTTAGGAAGCAGGCAGGAAAGACTGCAAAAGAAGGGGCTGAAGGAAGGCTGAAATCGTTCCATGGGTTGCAGAAATCTCTATCCTTTTAGCCCCAGGAAGGAGTTCTGCTTTGGGCATGGAGGGGAGGGGAAATCCTTTGGCAGGCTGCAGAAAAAGAATTGGAATTCTCCCTGCAGGCTTTTGAACTGAAATTCTTTGATAGGCAGCTCTTTCACTCTGTCCATTTAACAACCCAGGAAATTGCTGGGGTTGCAGTTGTTGAATGAAGCAATCACATGGCATCTTGCTTAACTACTGCTTCACTCAGCAACCAATATTCTGATCCCAACTGTGGTCTTAAGTCAAGGATTACCTGTGCCCCTAGAAGCAAATGCAACAAAGTTTTGAAAACTCAACGCCAATTGAAAGAATAATCTTATTCAAAGTGAATACAATACAGATGGATTTTGGCACTCCAAATATCATTTTCCACCCCGCTCCCTGGTTCCGAGGTCAAAGCAGCTCATAAGAAGCACAATTTGTGGCAAGATTTATGCATTAAATAGGCATGTATTTTATATGTGCCTCTATTAAGTGAGCCAGAATGAAATGAAAAGCCAAATACAGCTTCATGGGATGTACAAGAATAAAATTTAAAAAACCTATAACACAAGCTGTTCTCACTCAGAGACCACAAGACTAATCCAGAACACACTTCATGCCAAACACAACTGCTAATTCCGGTACCACCCACTGCTCAGTACAACTAGACCAATACATCTGGTACTGTGCAGCCAATTCCCAACAAAGTCGCTATTTACCAATAATGAACAATCCCCTCTGCTATGCACTAATTCTGAATATACAAAGTACTTTGCTATCCTTATCTATTTATAACTACAACAACCTTAGAATTATTTAATGGTTATAATCGTTTTACAAATCTGGAACCAATGCCAAGATATGAAAAACGGTTTGAAAAAGGCCCACTGAAAACCCAACCAAACTCAGACTCTCTAAGATGTCGGAATGTCATAACTAATGTCTAACATGTGATGTTTAGGGGATAAAGATGACATAAAATAGCCAGCTGGAAGGAAAGGGCAATTTTGGGAAAATATACTGTGTGCACTTAGCCAAGAGAAGCAGAAACACCAGGAGAAAGAGTTATTCCAAGACTTACCAACACATTGATATTCTCCTTCTGACTCAGTAATGACCGTACCTCCTCTATATCACGGTTAAAAATGGCTTGGACCAGAGGAGGCTACAAAAGAGAGAAAACAGTAAAATTAAATTAAGAATGGTAAAGGAAAAAAAAATCAACCATTAATAGCAGAAACCCACAAATCTGAGTGAAGAATTTTTAAAAACCCACTGTATCTTAAGTCCTTAGGCAGAAGGGGTGATGTGATTGAATCCTCAGCTATTGACTTTTAATGTCATAGCTGCTCACACAAAATAACTGGAATTCTGGATACACTCCTTACCTTCTGCAAAACACTTCCGGCTATCCTAAAATGTCAGACCCTCCACTAGTCACATGACCATGCTTCAAGCGCTTGGCCACCGCTCACATTTTATGACTGATTGCAGCATCCTGTGTTCACATGACCGGTTTCCACAAAAGATACCCATCTGGGAGAATGCCTTCGCACTTACAACTGTGTGATTTGCAACTGCCATAGAAACAATTGTAAAATTGGGTCCAATCACATGGGTGCCTCGACTTATAGCAATCACGAATTACAACCAAAATTCCACTTCCAAATGCACCGGAAAGCAAATCTGCTAGGTTTTTTCTGATCATCTCGGCTTGTAATCCTCTAGTCACAAAATAACAAAAACCACCATTTGATGAAGAGGGTACAGTAGACGAAATGACCATAGTAGCACATGCGCAAATTCCTTTAAGATGATGGCAGAAGAGAAAACTATTGTAGATCTTTTTTGCCTTTTTTCCACTATAGATGCAAGGGTTCACAATCATTTTTGGCCCATTATTTGTGGCAACTATGTATTCTGCTCTTTTCTAATAACCTGCCTGCAAAGAATACAGAAGGAATACCGTATTTTTCAGAGTATAAGACGCATCTTTTCCCCCCCTAAAAGGGGGTGAAAATTTAGGTGCATCTTATACACTGAATGTAGCCCCCACCCTTTGGCCTCTGCCTCGCAGAAGTTACCTCCTTGCAGCAAACAGCAAGAAAAAACAGCTCCTTTCAGCTTCAGCACAGCCTAATTAGCACAAGTTGATTGGATCGGCCTCACAACTCTCAGCTGATTTGCTCTCAGCTGTTTTGCTGCAAGGCTCTGCTGCTTGCTACAAAGAAGTAAATTGCTGGAGCAGATTTTTTTTTTCCCTTGTGCTAATCAAGCTATGCTGAAAACGAAAATGAAAGTAAAGCAGGCTGCAACGAGGCAAAATTGCTCAGAGGCAGAGGGACATTTCTTTTTCTTTTTTCCTCACCAAAAAAGGTATGTGAGTCTTATACTCCGAAAAATACGGTAAACTTGTTGTAGCATGCAAAAACAACACAACATTGATTATACTGCAATAAAAGGCCTCAATCCTTTATTCAAGTCAAGAGAAAAGAAAGAGAAAACAGAAGCTGTATGTCATGCTGATCTTTGAAGTAGACAGACATTTTGGCATAGACTTTCTTGTGCAACTTGCCAAGACCATGGGATATAAGGCAGGATTTTACATCTGCATCATCAAGATCTATAATGGTATGCAGGAATGATGCTGGGAGACAGGAAGGAGAGCTACAGACTAGACAACAGCATGTAAAAGATGTCCCAGCTATAGAAGAGGGAATAACATGGGAAATGTTTCAAAAGAAACCCTCCCTAGTTTTCCAGAAAAGGAAAGAAGAAATATTTTCAGTCATGCAAGATTCTGTTAATGTAACCTTATAATAAAAATAGAACTAGCACTCCTGGTTGTGCTTCTTGTCCGGTAGTCCTCAACTTACAACTATTTGTTTAGTGAATGGTTAAACAGCGGCACTGAAAAAATTGACTTATGACCGTTTTGCACTTACAACCGTTGCAGCATCCCTATGGTCACATGATCAAACACTTGGCAGCTGACTCATGTTTATGATGGCTGCAGTGTCCCAGGGTCGTGTGATCACCTTTGCGACCTTCTAACATGCAACATCAATAGGAAAGCCAGATTCACTTGACAAACATGTTACTAACTTAACAACTGCAGTGATTCACTCAACAACTGTGGCAAGAAGGTCTGTAAAATGGGGCAAAACTCACAACAACCTCATTCAGCAACAGAAATTTTGGGCTCAAATCAAGCCTTATTTGGCCTCTTATCCCACCAGTTTATGAATCAGAAAGCCAAAAGGATCAAACTGTCAGTAAAACCTTTTAGTTAAAACGGAGACTTCTTTTCTTACTTCTTGCAATCAATTCCACGACGCCTGAACCTGCAAATCAGCTTGTTTCTTAAGCATACTGTAATTTAAGGTATTACATTTTTTTACGGATTGTAACTTTCCATGAAATATTTTTAATAATTACATAAAGTTATATCACGGTTTCTAAATCACCATAGGGAAGTTTACACAACACTCTAAGTAAGAATTAAACAAATATTGTGGCATAACATACCACGCCTCAAGCTCTTTTTAATACCTCTGATGCAAAACAGTGAAGATTCATCAGTTTCAAATTCTATCCTCTTGCACTTGCTTACTTCACTGTTGTAGCCTCCTTCCAGGATTATGAATATTTATGTTGGCAGAGAACACAAGGTCTTCCATCCTATACAACAGCCCACACACAATACCTATGCAGACCACAGGCTACCTAACTTGAACAAATGCAGTAGAATAATTAGAGGTTTATACCCACAACTATATCTTCCATGTGATTGTTGGCTTTTCTTCATGATGGAAGACAAGGCAGCATGCAGCTGTCTGACTATATACTTCATTTTCTTCCTAGGTATAAACTGATCTAATGATGCCCAACCTTTTTTCTGATACTGCACTTGGTTATGCAATTGTAAACAAGTTATACACCAAGTGGAAGAGATCTGGACAAGTCTCAATGTAAATATGTGATGGAAGAAGTATTAAACAAATACAGAATAATACATAATTATCAATAAATCATATGTCCTCATTGCATTGTAGTTAACATGATTACTCTTCATATGTATCATCAGGGTGGATAAAAATCAATGATTTTTTAAAAAAAAAATCAAAAAAATCAGCTTTTTTATTTAAATCAGATTTTTTTGATTTTTATCGAATTTATTTTAATAAAAAACTTTTGGGGTAAAAATCTATCGTAAGATAGTTTTCTATTTAAGATACATAAATAATTTAGTTTATTCAGCATGAAATGGAGCTTAGTTATGTAGCATGAGGCTGTATATTCTGCAACACTGGGACTATCGGTGAGTCAACAGTAGGTCAAAGGAGTAGCAGAGATGACAGTTGCTCTTTACAAATTATGATTTAAATCGAGTTGATTTAAATCAAGCCTTTTTACCAGTAATTTAAATCATGATTTAAATTGTGATTTAAATCAACTCAATTTAAATCAAATCCACCCTGTGTATCATCATTCTTCAGTCACTTTAAAAACTACAATTCAGCAACAACTTTTATAAATAGTAAAAGTCTCATTCAAAACTTTGGAGACATGTCACTTGGAGGCCTCATTCTGCATTCTTGATCCTGGGGAAACGTTGGACACCGACAAAATGAATGGCTACATTCACACACAAAGAGCAAACGATTGCACATAATGCTATGCCACAATGTGTATATTTGCATATCAAAGAAACACATGACAGTGTGTTTACTACAAAAACTATTAATATAATAGTTCTATTATATTAATTTAATTTAATTAATTATATCCCACCATACAGTGGCTAACACCATTGTAAAAAACATGAAAACCACTGCAGTAAGTTTAAAATAAATATAAGACAAAATACATCACAACACCAAACCAAATAAAAACTCTGAATGAGAACAATAAAAATAAAAAGATGGCAAAATTCAATGATTGATGGACCATGGTCTACAAACAAATAAACTAACAAACAAAAAACAACAACAACCCAGACTTTAATCTGCTCCTGAAAAGAATTAAGGAGAGGGCCAGCCTGATCTCTGAGGCTGTTCCAAAGCAGCACCTCTACCTTCCACTCCTCTTGCTTCTTGGAAATACAGAACTGTGGCAATTTTCTTCCTGGATCCATGATGGCGAACCTATGGCACGCATGCTACCTGTGGGCATGGGAATGTTGCTCTAGTTCAGCTCCAGTGCACATGTGCGCGCCAACCGATTTTTGGGCCTTCCAGGCCCACCGGAAGTCGGGAAACGGGCTGTTTCCAGCCTCCGGAGGGCCTCCGGTGGGGGGGGGGAGGCCATTTTCCCCCTCCCCAGGCTCTTAGAAAGCCTCTGGAGCCTTGGGAGAGCAAAAAACGGGTCTTCCGGGCCTACTAGAAGTCAAGAAATGGGCCATTTCCGGCCTCCGGGGGGGGGGGGGGGGCCATTTTCACCCTCCCCAGACTCCTAGAAAGTCCCTGGAGCCTGGGGAGGGCCCACCAGAAGTCGGGAAATGGGCTGTTTCCGGTCTCCGGAGGGCCTCAGGGCGGGTGGGTGGGGAAGGCCATTTTTGCTCTCCCCAGGCACCAAGAAAGACTCTGGAGCCTGTGAAGGGCAAAAAACAGGCCTACCGGGCCCACCAGGCCAAAAGCAGGGGGAGAACGGGTGTGTGTGTGTCATACACGCAAACACAGGGTGCACTGAATTATGGGTGTGGGCATGCATGCATGTGATCCCCTCCCTGCGCTCCCCCCGCTTTTGGCACGCGACGGCAAAAAGGTTAGCCGTCACTGTCTTAGATGATCTAACAAGTTGGGACAATTCAAAGTGGAATAGGCCTACTTAGAAAGCAAGCTAAAAGAAGCTTTAAAGGTCCAAAACTTCCTTTAAGTGAAAAAAATTGTATGATTTGTGACAGCATAGTCAATTTGCACCAAGATCTGGGAAATAGCAAGTACTTTTATCCACCATAACAACTCGAACACTTTTCTACCAAAACTCTTTTCCGTCTTCACTTATACTTCACTTTTCTTCTGCCTATAAGAGGCACACTATATTATCCAAGCCCAAATCATCAAGAAGTGTATGAAATACTATTCTAGACCTGTATTCAAGCTTAAACCCCAATTCAAAAGGGTCCAGATAATCACTTTTTCAAGGGTGCTGTATAACTGATCT